TCGAGGACGCTCGAAAGTGATCGAGGACGCTCGATAGATTTCGAGGACACTCGAAAGTGATCGAGGACGCTCGATAGATTTCGAGGACGCCCGAAAGTGATAGATTTCGAGGACACTCGATAGTTAATTTAATTTAAAGGTTTGCAACATGTGTCGATACCCTTCGCCATCTCATCTTCTGACTACGGCAGGTTGTGCTGGGGCGGCTGCCGCAAGTGCAGAAACCCTCAGCGGCACAAATATAATAACCTTATCGGAAATTACATGCGCTCATCGTGTTGTTCGAGATATCAGTAAACGTCGACTCTTCGCGTGACCAGAGGGCCGGGCTTTTCTTTTGTCAACGAATCAGCATTGCCATCCAACGTGGCAATGCTGCCAGCGTTTGGGCACCTTTCCCATGTATATAGATAGGGATGGATTCTTTTATGTAGTTTACTTTTCAAACCAATTGATTTCTCTTTTCGCCATAAACTTAATTATAATAATTGACGCCCTATGAGTTTTTTTTTTACTACCTGTTTGTACATATTATTACTATACATAGTTAGTTTATTATTACTTTATGTTACACATTTAATTAAATAAAGGCATCAATTTAATAAAAACTTGATAATTTGATGATTTTTAATTTAGCTCTAGGACAGCACTAGTTAAGAATAAATAGTGTAGAAAAATAAGTGGTGTGACAAACGAGAAAAAAAATCCTGTTTGTCATACTGGTGTGATAATCTGGTGTGACTACGAGTCGGTAAGGGTGTGTGTGTGCATGTTTGTTACTCAATCACGTCAAAACGGCTGAAAGGATCAGGATGGAATTTGGAACAAGGGTAGACTAAGGTCTGGAATAACACATAAGCCATTATTTGTCCAACGGGAAAGCGGGCGATGCCGCTGATTGAAGCTAGTTAGGTATATACTCCAAATGTATGCCAGAGACAAACAACCTGTTTCACAATTTCCGATCATGTGTTTGTGAGTATCTTTAATACCCAGAAGTAGCATTTACGACACTACACGACGAGACAGTTATGGCTCATGATTTTATAGCTGCACCTGAAGACCATAGCCAAGTTAAAGTAGCTCATCAAAGTTGTTAATTGCTCTGCCTCTGTCGTCTAGCAACACTGAACCACTGAACTGTACTGTACATATAAAGTGTAACTCAATTAGCTACATAACACCCTGTATCTCGTATGCATATCGTATTACCTACCTCTTGATTGTAGCTATTTGTATTTCAGACCGTATTTTTATAAATACGCATCTATTAAGTACCTCTATGCCTTAATTATTGTCGCGGAGAACCTAACGGGTAACCGGGGCTCCGGCTCGACGTGCAGGAGAAGGAACGGGGTGGTTTTTAGTCAGTAAGAGTCTGACACTGCCTTCCGCCTCACCCAGGCGAGAGCAGACATTCGATGATTATCCCACCTTAAAAAAAAAAAGTGCCTTAATTATCTATTTAGTGTTTTTTCTTCTTTCTAAATTCTTTGTAACAAATAAGATGCGAGACTGGAATTATTTCCGGTATATGAATCACCTTCGTTACATAGACTCGTAAGTTGTAAACAGTGGGTGTTACGTGTGTGCACTTTGTCTACCCTATCACACTTTAAAACGCGTGACGAGATGTTTAGGTATATTGTAATGACATCAGAAATATTGTCTATGTTTAGAGCACTTCATCTTTAGACGAAGTAATGAAGCAAACTCAAGAAAAAGGTAGTATGGAAGAAAGGAGTCTTTACTCCTTGTTCAAAGAGTCACAGGGCACGGCTGAATACACCAGCGATGTCAACGGACAGAACCAAGCATCTTATCAAGAACGCGTTGCGAAAAGGTAAAATTAAAAATATGAACTTTCTATGATAACTTCTGAGACTCAGTAAAAGAAATACTCCAGGCTTTTCTCCTATAGTTACTTAGATATCGTGAATGCATTTCGAAGCACTTAATTTTACGTGTACCTACGTCTAGATCCAGATCGGTTCAACGGAGCAGAAGACGATTAAACTTAGAGAGAGCCCTAGACGCCTCTAAATTTATTGGCGGGGCCGTCAATCTATGGGCACGCACAACGTCATGTGGCGTTGCGGCACCCCTTCTAACCAGTAGGTAGCTGTAGCCAAATGCCATTTAGCGCTTGTCTACATGTTACATGTAGAATAGAAAACTAAATTATATGGAATTGAGGTAACTTTTGAGCTGTCAGTGAACACTTGTCTGTGTCATCCCCATACATACGTTTTCTACTCTCTCTGTAGACAAGCGCTAAACTGGCGTTTGGCCAAAGGTCCTGGCGCCCTAGACGCCGTGTAATCCTTAGGCAAACTAGGCCTATAGGTCCTACTTAATACTTATATTACATTATGTAAATATAAGCATGTCCTGTTTTGTGTTACAGATCGGAATGTCGGCCCTCTCGTCAAAGACCAGTGGACAAGTACTCCAAACAATCGAGCATCTCCCATTCTCATCGTAAGAACTAAACGCAGCTATAAAACTTTATCAACTAGTTTCATCTAGGTGCCTATAAAATGGGACATAAAGGAAAAGTACCTACCTATCTTAAAATTGCTTACATTTGAAATTTCATTTTCTATAATTTCGAGCCATTGCTGACACTGACTGTTCGATATTGGAACAGTGAATTTAAAAGGACACCGTTTTTTAGGTTGTTACAGAACTAGAACAGTACCTACTTTCACCGAAACCGCGTCCGACACCCCGTCCGAAAATGCGCCCGGAACAATGACAATATATGCATAAAAGCAAAATGATTTTTTTCGAAAACATGAATCTTAACTACTAAATACAATGCAAGCGTTGTTTCACGCCTGTATATAACTCTCCTAAGTTCCAATTTCAAAATGACAGCACACAAAATACCCGACACTGAGCTGGGGTGGGGACGGCTAGTACTATTATATAAAGCGGAAGTTTGTTTTTTTGTTTGAACGCGCTAATCTCCGTAACTACAAGTCTGATTTGAATAATTATTTTTGTGTTGGATAGCGCCTTTATCGAGGATGGCTATGCTATAGGCTATAAAACATCACGCTACGACCTAAAGGAGCTGAACAGAGCGTATGAAACCGCGCGGAAGTAGCTAGTTAACGATAATTTTTAAAAAGCCGAAAAAATAATAGGTATTTTACCCAATCTGGGAATCTAAGTCAGGTCGGCAGTTAACTATAAAATTAAAAACATAGCTAATTTCTACTCTGATCATTCCAATCTCAGGTTTAGTTATACCGGACAGCTCAAAGTCTTCAAACTCGAAATCTGTGACGTTTACCTCACAGGACGAGCACGGTGAAGTTGACCAAGATGTCGCTGGACTTATGGTGGATCCTGCACCAGAATCTAATAGTGAGTATAATCTTATGTGTGAGTCATATACCTAAATATATTGATCAAATACAAGTACGCTGTAAAACTGTAAAACTTTTTCCGCTTAAAATGCTAATGAAGAAAGACTATGTAAGGCGTACCTAAAATTCGCCGCTAGGGGTGCTAGTGGGATCTAAGATCTTGTGTCATTTAAGACCATGCTAGGATAGGATAAGAGCAGCATAATATAAAGGAGTGCACCTAATTTCAAATTGCGACCTCGATCTAGACTAATGCCATCTAGCGAGTAAATAAAACAGTTACCCTGATTATTGCGCCTTTACGCTACGCAGGGCATTTAACGGCTTTGAAAATAAACGAGTTATTTTTCCCTTTACCAGATAAAGAAGCGGAGAAACAAATACGGTCTATTAGCACACGTATCCCTTGGCAAACAGCACAGTGGCAGACACGTCGAGAGTCGCAAGTCGGCATGGATGAGTCAGATCTATGGATAGCCTTCCTGACAGAAGCCGGATACCTGCAAGCTAGCGACATCAATGCTCAACTATGTAAATTTAGCTCCTATATTTACTTACTACACAATCTTCTTTTATGATATCTTGTATTGCACTTTGTTGCGGAATCCAAGACAGTTGTTCATGCCCCTGGAACGCATCAGACTTCAATGTTTCGTTGCTTTTTCGGTTCGTCTCATATGCAGATGCTTGTTTGCAGGAGTTACAGTTTGATCCTAATCAAGATTTTGGATCAAACCTATTTGGTTTAACCCGTCGTGTGTCTAAACGTGGATCCACGTGAGACACAATGTATTTTCTATTGTGTCTCATATCGGTACATTCAAGCGGTTAATTACTTAATGATCCTTTCTTACAGCGGATACCTGCACCCCTCGGTTTTCAAAGACTGAAGACGATACACTTCTACGCCAAATAACAGACACGGTAGTAATTAGAATATTTCATATTACTAAATCTAAACATCTACCAGTAGAAAACATTTTTGTAACTGTTTGAGTACTACAAATCATATAGTTGGTGCGTATTGTTAATTTATTGTGTGAATACTATAGGTTTTAAAGGCACTGTAACTAATATACTATTTTGATAATATGTTACTTTATAGCTATTGCCATGTGACACTCCTACGACGGGCTTGACAGACCCCTATGAACACGTCCATCGCAAAAACCCAGGATTGTTCTGGGACACGGTACGACACATGCTTTAATTATTTTTATCATGTAATTTTGAACATACAGTTTTTAATACTTTAATGCAGGTAGCAATGGATGATCCTGAGCAAGCTTTTATCAAAGTACGAAGAATTATTCGTGATATTGTCAACTCTCAAAAGTCACTCAAACCTATGTTTGACATTGATTTTGCCCATTTCCGTAATCATCCTACAGTGCAAAAGAAACTTTCGAAAATTCGTCAGCAAATAGCGCCCCAGCAACTGTTCTATTAATTTGAATTATAATAAAATATTACGAAAAAGTGTTTTATTTTGTTTTAGTACATTAAGTAATAAGTAAATTATAAGTATCATACAATCAATAGATAAAACTGTGAGACTGGATTTGTTTATTTCCACTTTACTATAGCCTTAACTTGTAACAGTACAAAAGTCTCACATGACGATCATTTGAACACCATGGTATCAAGCATCGCTCCTAGACCTTGCACTATGTTGTTGGACATCAGGACATCGACTTTCTCCTCTAGATGCCTCTTGGGATCCTGTTTGCCTACATTCTTAATGGCTAGCTGTTCTGGGGTCATTTTCTCTTCATCCTCTAATGCCTTATTGTAATTTTTAGCTAGCTCCAACATGTCTGTGACTGTGGTCTCGTTGATCGAACAGTGTTCCTTGTAGTCTGATAAAGTGAGTCCATCCATCCAGGATTTTTTGTGGAGGTTCAGCAACATTTTTTGCTCCAGTTCATTCTTCCTGTAGTTTATACTGATGGAGTAGTAGTGACGATTCAGTCCATGGATCAGGGCTTGTACTGATGGTTTTTGGAGATGACCCAAATTTGATGTGGTTTGTCTTGGCTCCTGGCCGAGCACCATCATGTTAGGGTTGATGAGGCGGAAAGCATCAATCACTACTTTACCCTTCACTGACTGAATGGGGTCAACCACAACAGCTACAGCCCTCTCTGAGAGAGCTTCAAAAGACTGCTGAGTGTTTATGTCAACACCTGATAACCAGCAGCCAAAACCAGGGTGAGAGTGGTACCTGTAAATGAGTAGTAACAAATAAGTATAATTAATCACTTGCAGTCCCTGTAAAATAAAAATTGTGCTCAAATTCATTTAGCTAGTTGGGTCCCACAATTAATGAAATATTTACGCTCCCCAGTTCAGCGTAGTCAAACCTTGTTCTTTTACTTTTTTAAATAGTTAAGATTGATAGCTGGATACTTTTCGTTACATAGGATTTAGGATTTCATTACTTACATTTCTAAAATGTCATGAAATATTAATGAAATGATTACGACAATGTTCACATAGAAAACTATGAAACTAGTTAAATGTCCAAGATTACTCGGAGTTTACAAGAACAAAGTCATTAACAACAATTATACTTTAAAGATCAACTGGAAAGCAGTTCAACTTAATCAGAGCTTGATCCCACAAAAGAAGCACAATTCTATGATACCTATGTCAATACACAACAGGATTTATGATAACTATGTAACCACTTTTAACAAATAGATACCGATAGCATTGATAAACACCATCCAATAAATAAATACAAACCATATCACTATTATATAGATTATATGGTTTATACTGACCATCCAACGACCATCTCAGGTCTGCCAGTCTGCTTAAGCATGTCCAACATTTTGGCTTGGAAGACAGGGTCCACGGCTTCTACTGATACCCCAGTACCAGTCTGAGGCATGGCAAACACATCAATCACACGCACAGTATAGTCGTCCACAAATTCACCTGGAAATTACAACAGTTTCTTATGATATTATACTATAATACAATAAGTAAGGAACCGAAACAATAAACAAATGTCCAACCATGATGCAGCATTTTTACTACTTCATTTGCATTTAACTTATTCATAAGACATTATACCAACCTAACATGAGACCCATGACCTCCATAGGCACGCCAGCACGACCGTGTTTTAACATCTTCAGCAATGCCAGAGATGAGATGTATACTTGCTCTGCAGTATCAACAGCAGGTGCATCCGTTGGCGGCGGCGCTTGGGACAATCCAGCCATACCTCCTCCAAGACGTAGAAGACGATCCATTTTGTACTTCTTTCTTCTACACTCTAAAAAGCAAAGTCGTCAAGTTAGCATCACACATCATGAAACATCAACATCTATTTGTTAACAGCGTCGGTGATTAAACCATTGTAACATAATGAAATTAAATGGGTTAACGCAAAACAAGATTGTACTTACACAAACAAATTATTATCATTTACACTATTTCCGAAAAACTCCGGCCAAAATCCAAAATGAATAGGATTTAAAACAAGGAACGAATGATTTCAATTTATGGAAACGAAAATGACAGCCCACGTCGAAACTGCAACCTCATGAACGTGTGCTTGATATAAAAAATGTCATTACATTGATCTCAATTTTTCATTAAAATGAGAACTTTTTGATATTTACAAAATGGGCACAAAATATAATAGTGGGAGTAAAAATTATTTTATTTCATTTTTAATGGTAATTATCAAAGTAATTGAAATATTAATGTTTCTTCTCGTTAATTCATAAATACTTCGCTACATTTCTGGCAACACTGTCAACTGTCTGTCAACCATGTCAACTGTCAGGTTGTGAGGTTGTCAATGTCAAAAAAATAATTGGTATCAGGCGGTGCACCACGATTATTTCGATATTTTCAATTACATTATTCTCTATTACTCTTACGCAAGTTACACAGAATTAATTAAATTCGGATATAGAAACAGAATGTCTGAAAAATCTGTTTTACCGAGTAAGCTCTCGGAAGGTCCCCATGGCTTAGGTACCTACAAATAAATGTCTGTCAGTATGTGATAAAAACATTGTTTAAGATACCAATTTTATATACGAAAATTATTTTAGGTGATCCTGAAGATAGAAGCTTGCGCAAAGTTGAGAAAGATGTATTGATTCCGAAACTTATTAGGGAAAAGGCAAAGAAAGAAAAATGTATTCAGGAAGTAACTGATTTTGAAAGTTGTTGCAAGGATTCATCTCTTCTGATGGTTGTCAAGTGTAGAAATCAAAATTCTGCCCTAAAAGATTGCTTGAGCGAGTGGTATCAAAATGAGGATTTCAAAAAGCTATGTACTGAAGAATATTTGGCTCAAAGAAGTGAATACAGAAGAACTGGTATTAGGAAACCTATCAAAAGGGCTTAGCTTGCTGTAGTACAGATTTATTGTTAAAGTATTGTTATTAGAATTGTAAAAAAATATAAATAAAAATCAATTTAGTCATCTTCATTTAATGTGATTGGTAAATTCCGGCTTAATAACAGTTCTCTCACACTGAAAAGTTTTAAATCCTTGGGTAATTCGACTTCAGTCTTATTGGGTTTTACTACTTCTACAGCTATGACTTCCTGAAAAAAAATAACTTCAATAAAATATATTTTTCTAACATGATATAAGAAACATTTAGATGATGTAATAACTAATTTCTGCCTCATTGGCCAAGTGGTCGAAAGTGTGACTGCCGGGCAAGTGGTCTCTAGTTGATTCCCGGGTTGGACAAAGTATTACTGGTATATGGCAATAGACTCACCCCTATTACATGGGACTTAACATAAATAGTGAAAAGTGGGTGTTACATTGCACAGTGGCCTTACCCCTTCCAGTATAAAAGATGTGATGTTATGTTATGTTACATATAATAACTAGTTCTTATTTTAGTAAGTGAAATGAATAAAACCTTGCTAAAAATAGAAGCATAAACTCCAAAAAATTGTGTTGTAATACCCACCTTGACTGTAGTATTTGCTACTCTAACAAGACCAAGTGTTTGAATCCAGTTTTCTTCCTTATTTTCAGACCTTATAATGACTACATAATCAGCATGGTATGCTGCAGGACCTTCCTTGTATAATACTGAAAATAAAATCAACACATTTACTTGTCTGTCAAATAGATGTAAATAATTCATAGTATAATTATTATAAGCTCATACAATAATCTCCACCAAATTTAATTCCAGGTTTTACAACATATCCCTTAGATCTATAGTAGTGATAAACCACATATTTGGATAAAAATCTCCCGTCTACACCTGTAAAGAGGTCCCAACACTTCTCTATGTTTAGTAAATCATTGTCGAGACTGACAATTTGTAAGCATCCCAAACCATAAAGCAAGAAGAATGCTTCCTCAGGAGTCAACATAAGCTTTTCTTGTATTTTAACTTTATTTAGACAGCATTTCGGTCTCATGTTTTCAAAATAGTTTTCTCCTTCAGATTCGCTATTAGGCACTATGACTACCAAATCTTCTTTATCATGATTCTGGAATCTTTCAGTACTATGATTGGAATTATTGTCTTCTTCATCATCTTCTTCACTGGAGACTAAATCAATGACATCTTTTTGATTATTTTTCTTACAGTCTACAATTATTTTAGCTGTAAGACTATCAATATCTTTCATGAAATCATCTGCTTCCACAGTTGCCAACTTATCAGAACTGCCGAATTTTTTAAACCAATAGTTTCGTTTTAAAAATTGTCTTTTACGTATGATGCGCGGCGTTATGTCATTTTGATCGGCTTTAGGTTCCGATCGCGATGTTGTCCCTTTGCCAAAACATCCCATGTGATACAACAGTGCTATCTCCTCTACAGATCTTACTTCCACATTAAAGCCATTGTAATATCCAGTAAATACGATTCGCATTGAATTATCTAATGGAAAACGTAACGATTCAACATCCATCGGAAATGAGTCATTTAGGTCATTAGTTTGACAATCTTCTGATTGCAAAGTAGTCATGACAAAAGAACTGGCCAGTTCCCAAATTTATTTACAGCCGAATGTGTCAGTTCCAAGAGAAGACTTGAAGAGCGCAAATTATGTTACTGCAATATAAAAATTCATTTTTTTATTATTTATAGTACTTTTTTGGTATGAAAGTTATATACAAAATCATTATTATCGTTCGGTGATTAAAAAGTTTGACCACTCACTAAATATCTAGTAAATATGGAAAAACCTAAACAAGCGACTGAAGAACCCGAGAAAGAGAGATACAATCGTGAGTAGTTTTTTTTAGATCAACAGTGCGGTACAAAAACAAACTGTTTATAAACAATCAGTAATCTTTGAATGAGTACGGACTTACGGAGTACACACACACTTTCAGTTTGCACTTTCAATAAAATTATGGTTGTCGCGTTATCATAATTGGTGTAAAAGCCTATTTTAATAAATTACCTGGTATTTTTTATAAAGTAATATACCTACTTTTAAAAATAAATAATAAAATAACCTCTTTTTTCTATATCTATCAAATTAGACGTGGAACTCACTGAAGTAGTGAAGAATCGCATCCCAATAAAATAGCGCAACAAATATTCGTAGTGAAACCATTCTTTAAAATTATGCGATACACATTTCATTACTAAATAATTACAGCGATTATGTTATTTTAAATATATTAATAAAAATAATAAAATTACTTTATGAATTCCTATAATTACCTTTCAACCGAGATTTTAATTCTAAACCAACGCCCTTGTTCTAAATTTCATCTTTCCGTAAAGCCCGATTTAAACTTCAATAAGTAAAGTAGGGAGCGAGTTAAGAACTCAGACAGTTAAATAATAAGTAGTAAGTTATTTTTATGGTTTATTTCCTTTTAAACAGAAAATCGACTACCACTACTACGCTCTTTTCTACTTATTGTATTATATCACCATAACACAATGCCCATTTTCGAATGAATACTGAGTATTTATCAGTAATAATTTTATAGTTGAGTATTTATCCGAGAAATCACCCATCTTTATCCCTACTAATATTATAAATCGGAAAGTGAGTTTGTTGGTTTGTTTGTTTGTTCCACTTTCACGCCGTAACCACTTAACCGATTGCTTTGAATTTTTGCAGACGTAAAGTTAGAAGTCCGGATTAAATAATAGGATACTTTTTATCCCGGAAAAATTTGATATTCCCGAGGGAAAACAAAAGTATTGGTATAGATGGCGCTGTGTGTATTGGTATATGTCATATAGACTACTTTTTATCCTTTTGTGACGCGAGCGAAGCCGCGGGTAAAAGCTAGTAACTAATAAATACGTTTCCTGTCCTGTTGAATATTGAATTGAACGTTCAGATTGGATTTCCAGATTTAGTATAATAATTATGTTTGTATATTTTGTATGTGTTATGGGTTTTATGTAGCAGGCACACAGACTTATATGTATGTTAACAGGCAAGACTGGCAGCTGGACTGCTGTTGTACTTCAAACACTATTCTCTAATAATAACAGGCTTGTTTCATAAAATACCGTTTCAACTAAGTTACTCGGAGAATAACACAATTAGATTTAGTTGTATTAGTTAGCTAATGCTGCACGCTATGCTGACATTATGCATTCAGAGATAGTTCAGAAAATTTTCAGAGTAGATTAATTTCCTCGTATTTATACAGAAATTTAAAAAAAGTAGTAATTTTCTGAATTTTGTCTGCTATCAAAAAGCAGGGTTGACAACCGTATTTTTAATGCTTTGTCTCTTTCTTTCTAGCCAAAAAGGTGTATAACAGAGAAGGTAAGAGCATAATTATCGTTCGAAGTAAAACTAACGTCACTCTTCATAGTCACAAGACCTCTCAGCTGAGGCTGTCTTCATTTTTCTGTTTTTCCCAAATAAAAGTTTTTCGATTCTTCTTTGGCAATAACAGACGTGATTATCAATTCTTTAGCCAAAATGGCTAACATGGGTGATGAAAATGTTAGTCAGGTAATGCCGTCGCTGGGTGATGAAAAAATCGGTAAGTAATTCACTTACGCAGTATTTCCTGAAACATCAGTAGTAAGAATTCTAAAACAAAGTTCATGCAATGATTTCTAGACATGATTGCGGCCACCAGCGTCTTGCAAATCCGCGCCAGCGAAATCCGCCAGACTCAGATCAACTGGCAATCTTATCTGCAGTGAGTATTGATTCTCCTCTCACAAGCCACTCTCTATGTAAATTGTATTTCATGTTTCATGGTCACATCTGTAACTGTATGTATGATTAGGTCACAGATGATCAGCCAGCGTGACCATGACTTCATTGTGAACCTGGACCAGCGTGGCCAGAAGGAGTTACCTGACAGAATCCCAGAAACTTGTGCTGAGGTCTTCTTGAACCTGCTCACACACATCAGCAAGGATCATACCATCCAGTACTTGCTTGTACTGATTGATGACATCCTTTCTGTAAGTCAAACCTATTGTCATTAAAATCAGTTACCATTGTTGAAACTTAATCAAACATCAACAATTTCAATCAATCAGAAAACTGAATTGTTTTATCATAAAATCATTTTCCAATTGGCATCTTATCAGCATGGAATTGGAAACAGAAGTTATTCTTAGTTCCCACAAAGTCCATTTACAACTTTATGACAGCACTGAGTGATGTTGTCTCTAACTTCAATTTATTGCAAGGAAAAATATCTGAATCTATTTATCTACGGTTAACTACAACTAAATTAATAATTTACATTGCAGGAGGATAAAGGCAGAGTGAAGATCTTCCGTGAAGCAAGGATGGGTAACGCATGGCAGCCATTCCTGAACTTGCTGAATCGCCAGGATGAGTTTGTTCAGCACATGACGGCCCGAATCATCGCTAAACTGGCCTGCTGGCATACAAACCTGATGGAAAAGAGTGATCTACACTTCTACCTCTCCTGGCTTAAGGACCAACTTAAGATGAATGTAAGTCATACAACCGTTGCCTAATTTCTACAAATGTATTTACCATGTATGCATATGCATTATTTGCATGAATTTTAAATATTTTATGCATGCATGATTTATTACTTACTTTATCTTAAAGGAATGATGATAATTTTTATAACATTAATATTTTAATTGAATTGATTGATTACACGGAAGCATGTATCATCAAAGCTTTGCTGGTAGTTCTCACTCCATGATAAAACATCAACTATCAATACTGAAAACATTAAGCTTGTCAAATAAAAACCTGCTAAAATAATCACTAACAATCACCTCTTGGCATGCAATTCTGTATGAGTCAAATATTTCAGAAAACAATGCACTCAGGAATTAATTAAATATTCTTATAAAGATTACTAAATATTTCGTGTATAAAATATACAACAAGGGAATACTGTACTAAAATTGTGCCAAAGCATGTTTTATGTCTAAATCATGAAACCCAGGATATGTATATCCTGGGTTTCATGATTTAGATGATTACATGATTCAGCCTGTAGGCTGGTATGGTCACTTTATGAAAATCAAACCTCGATATAGAGTGGAGACAATAATGTACTAGGTATTATGTTGGACAATCTTCTTGAATTTCCCTGACAGATCTTTACCATTACATTCTCACTTTTATTACTGTGTTATGTAACCAAAGATAATTATTCAAAATCAGTACATAACTCGAAACAAGCATTAGACATAATATAACACTTGTTTTTACTGTAAGGAATACATCTATATAAACCACACCCACTATACAACAAACAGTTACAACTGAAGTATCATTAATTTCGTTTTCACCTTTAAGATTATGTTTCATTCACCTGCATTTCATTAACCACAATCACCTATAGATTACAATTTTATCACAATACAATCAACACATACTGTATTCAACAACACAATTGCTTCAACGGACAGTTGTACATATTTCAAACAAATTCAAGTTCACAGTTCAATAGTAGTTGTGTGGCAATGCTTAGTGCCTTATACCAAGTTGGTATAGTCATCAATGTGTCTAAACAGACTGAACCGTAACATAATGTTGTGAGTATCACGTGCAAGCATCACGCATCGTTGGGGCTTTGATGACGGGGGTGAATTGTCATTGAGAGGTTTGTTTTCTGGAAAGGCGGAGAAAATGTCTGCCGAGTTAGAGCATGCCGAGCAGGTTATGTTGCTGCACGAGAAACAGCATTTCGCCGCCGATAAACTTCAGAAACATCTGAAACATCACCACAAGGAAAAAGACAGTGTCGACGCTGGCCCAGAGAAGTATTCGAGCCTTTACAGCTCTTTCGATGAGCTGAAGCCACTTGAGGATTTGCCACCTGGCCTGCATAAGGTACCCCACTACGTGTACATGTCGACACCAAACTGAGTGTTAAACAATACTATTTTACTATAACAGTGATGACTAACTAATCTCTTGTAAATATGTAGGTGTTTGCTAACAGAATGTGAGTTCCCTTTAACTGAATGTGTTTTAATCATTGATATTATATTGCATGCTTACACTAATCTTGTTCATTACACTCACAAACTAGGAGGATGTGAAGGTATGTGCAATGTGCATGCGGCTTTAAGTATTATATTCTTTATTTGTTAAGTATTGTATTTATTTATTATGTAAGATTGATTACGTTTTTTATATTTTTGTTATATTTTACATTATTTTCTCCAGTCTACAAATTGTAATTTATTCTGATTATACATCTAGGATCAAAAATAATGTTATTTTATTTATAAACAACCTACAGTAATTTATTGTGAATTGGTAAATACAGTGGACTCTTCCTACTTTCTATTTCTATGTGATTTAACGCACTAATTTAGTGTTTTTCAGATTCTCTGTGTATAAAACAAGAAATATTTCTTTTAGTTTTTATAATTTTTATTTAGTCTGTTGTTAATATTTAAAATTAAAATGCTGTAATTAAAAAGCTTTTGAAATGTAAACTGAATTTTGGGGCGCGATATTGCTATTTATATTGAATGAAGTGTGTTAAAGTATATTTTGCATGCAGAACAATGAATACATCCAATCCGTGGCTCGCTGCCTGCAAATGATGCTGCGTGTTGACGAGTACCGCTTCGCGTTCCTGTCTGTTGACGGCATCTCCACCCTGCTGTCCATCCTGGCTTCCAGGGTCAACTTCCAGGTAACATTTCACATATATATGATTTTACAACTGTACTATGTACTTACATCTAAAGTTATTCAAGAAAGCCACCGCAAAGGTTCACTCCAGTAATAGACATGTTTTCATTTATTAGACCAAGGTAGCTCTGTCTGGTAATTTTAAAGACTAATTTTTTCTTGAATCAAGTTGATTCAGGCAGTTTAATTTTATTTCTAAACTATAACAAAAATATATAATTTTATCTACACACTAATTATTATTTCATTTTCCAGGTGCAATACCAGCTGGTCTTCTGCCTGTGGGTGCTGACATTCAACCCCCTGTTGGCAGAGAAGATGAACAAGTTCAATGCCATCCCCATCCTCGCCGACATCCTCAGCGACTCCGTCAAGGAGAAGGTCACGCGCATCGTGCTCGCTGTCTTCAGGAACCTGATCGAAAAACCTGAAGATCATCAGGTATGGATAGAAATTATACTACCTACAACAGTTTATAATCTATCTGTCTTTACTTTCGATCATGTTTGTAGACTAGATATGGAAACCAAATAAATGGAAGAGTTGATTTTCTTACATAATCTTAAACATCCAATTAGGCTCTTCTAACCTAAGTCCTACTCACAATACCTATACGTGTTAATACTAATGTGCACACTTTTACCAGGTTGCCAAGGAGCACTGCATCGCCATGGTACAGTGCAAGGTCCTGAAGCAGTTGTCCATCCTGCAGCAGAAGCGCTCCGACGATGAAGACATCATGAACGACGTGGACTTCCTGAACGAACGCCTTCAGACTTCAGTACAAGACCTCAGCTCATTCGACCAGTATGCTACTGAAGTCAAGAGTGGCCGGTACGTATTTTTTAATTAATAGCATCTGTTTATATCCTTAGACTAACATAGATAGAATACATACACAACTGGTGAAAATGTACGTTTCATTTAATGGCATTGTTGATCTATTTTATTGTTAAGAAATAAAATGTTTGAGTCTATGTAAAACGATTGTGCATTAAAATTTCATTTACATGACACCCTGTGTTAAAATAAAACATAGGACACCCTCAATATACTACAATGTGTAACAATTTATTTTTAGCCTGGAATGGTCTCCCGTCCACAAGTCAGCTAAGTTCTGGCGCGAGAACGCCGCTCGCCTGAACGAGCGCGGCCAGGAGTTGTTGCGTACCCTGGTGCACCTGCTGGAGAGGAGCCACGACCCCGTTGTACTCGCCGTCGCCTGCTACGACATCGGTGAATACGTCCGCCACTACCCACGAGGCAAACAGTATGTATTCGTTTTTATACACACTATGATACCTGTTACATATTTTTTTTGTTTTTAAACGTTGCCCCACACTAGGATTTTCTCCTGTATCGTGGGTGCGTTTACAAACATACAAATTCACATACACATCACACCCAGACCCGAAACAACAATTTGTGGATCACACAAACTGTTGTTCCGTGCGGGAATCGAACCCGCGACACGTTGCACGGCAGCCGGTTGCCCAGCCACCGCACCAACCGTGCAGTCAAATATGTATCTTTTATCGCGAAAAGTACACCATATAATACCAAATATGCAACCCCATATAAAAATGGAGCGTCGGTTTATCCATGCTGCATGATCTCATAAAAATATCATAGGATATACCATAAAGTTGTTAATTTAATAGTGATAATCAAAATTTTTGTGATGTATGTACCTACGTAAATATTATGAACTGTGAAGGTGACTTTTGATGTAATGTAAACACTTCACATCTTAAGAGGCTAATAATATAATTGGAATTTATGAGTACATTGATGAACACATCTTTTTCTCTCCATGATATCATAGAAACACAAATTGTTTTCAGGATTTGTGGATGTTAAAAGATAGTGGCATAATATTAATATTTTATATTGGTCACAGTATTATCGAGCAGTTGGGCGGTAAACAACGCGTCATGTACCTCCTGAGCCACGAAGACCCCAACGTCAGATATGAAGCTCTACTCGCCGTCCAGAAGTTGATGGTCCACAACTGGTATGTTTGAAATCTAGTAGTATGGTATAATAGTGATGGAACAGTTTTTTTCAGAAACTTATGATTTCTTGGTGTTGTCTTATCAAGCCGTAATGTTAAATCTTAGAATACTGTAGCAAAGTATAATGTGCAGTACATCTTCAACCTTGTATCATGATTTTGACAATGTTAAGTATAAGAGAAAGTATTTATCTTGTCTGAACTGTTAGCTGTTTATCACAAGAGATTATACTGATAAGTGGATCATTACATAATTTCTACGTCATGGGCTTTGTGTAAACAATGTCGACACTAATCTGTTTACACACTCATTAGTGCTTTATTCTTTATGCATAACCTATAGCAAGATTTACATTCTATGTTTATCTTTACAGGGAATACCTCGGCAAGCAACTGGAGAAAGAACAAATCGACAAGCAGGCGGGCACTGTTGTCGGAGCTAAAGCTTAAATTAATTCCTGTTATATTTATAAATGAAATATTTAATTCCTTGTTATATTGTTGTCTTGAAGGATATCAAGCTTATTGCATATATAGTAACTGTACTACTTAAACAATGGAGGCAAGCACCCTTTTCAATAATCTATATTATCTGTTATTATTATAACTCACAGAAAAATGGATTTTGCGTAAATTATGCCCATGTATTATTACAAAACAATAAAAAGAACACTAAATTATGGAAATATTTAGTGTACACATTCCTTTAAGAGTAAACATTACAGATTTAATATTAATGTTTATTGAAAAGATATTATGTATTCGATTATTTGAAATTAATAGAGTTTTAGTGTTTTGTGATGTGATAACTGGCTACATCAGTATTGTGAATAAAGTTCATCGTAAATATGTTGATATGGAGTATTATTTAAAATCTATAAAACATTAAGTACATTGAATAATTATGCATGCAGCAGGGCGAGTAGTCCGCAATTGTAACTCTCGGCCACAAAATCTACCATTGAGTTAATAATCGTCTGTTTATTATAATATTTCGATTATAACAGTGATGTAGATATTTATCTGGATTTACTCGAATATTTACCCAAAAATTGGGATAAATAATATTTATCCATTTTGGGTATTCACCCGTCTAAAGCTGCTTGTTATAGTACAGTGACTGCACAACCGTTTGCTTTGTAATGAGGGGCGAGTTCGATTCCCGTGTGAAACAATTTCATTCCTTGTTATTACAGTAGCACCTTTTCTTCAATCTATTAATAATGTTTAATTTAGACCCAATCTATAACTATTAACTCCGAAGGCCCCTCCACAGTCTCTTCAATCCCCGAATCCCCCACAATCCTCAAATTTCCAACAGGTCGGTAACGCACTTGTAACGCCTCTGGTGTTTCAGGTATCCATTGACGGCGACAATTGCTTGCCAACAGGTGATCCGTCTGCTCGTTTACCTGTTTATCCCATAAAAACCTAATATTACTATTTGTTTGAATTTATTAAGCGCGCATGAGTTTACAAATGTTAAGTGGTGATTGTTCTGCAGGTGTCCAATTCAATACATAATTCATATCGTTAAAAAATTATCTATTGGTCAGTTTGTCTATGCTAGTACTATGAAACTGTCACTCTAGTGTCACTGGCTCACTGTCAACAACTTATTATTATTGTCAATGTGTTGTACCGTGTTGTGGGTTTACAAATTACAATTTATGTGAAACAATAGATTATAAATGAAATGGAGAGTGTACTAGTACTTAAAGATTACAAAACTGTGCCGGACATTGTGCACGAGTACAGCCCAACGCTTAAATTTGGCCATATTCCGTTAGTAATAGATAATGGTGAGTATTTATTTTGAATGGAAGTTATTTAAAATTGAAGCTATAAATTATGCTAAATATACATTTATCAGGTTAATAATAACATTCTTAATAAACCTTAATCTTATTTAAAGGTTCCTATCAATGTAGAGTCGGTTGGTCAATTAATGATGAACCTAACCTGATATTTAAGAACTTGATAGCTAGACCAAGGAAGGATAGATGCAAAAAGGATGCTGAACCTCCTGCCACACCACCAATACAGATTGGTAACGACATCGTTAATATAGAAGCAGTAAGGTTAGTATTTAACCTGCAATGATCTACCTACAGAGTGTAGACCTACGCATGACACAATGTATTTTCTATTGTGTCTCTTATAGCAATAGACGAGAGGATAATTCTAGCTAGTTTCTTGGAAAATCGCATTAATGCTCACAAAATTTTAAAAAGTAACTTTTTGATAAAATATAATTATGACTGTTTCAAATAAGAAATATTATTCTATGATGTTTATTTTAATGTTCAGATTTCAGTTAAAAACTCAATTTGATAAGAATGTAGTGACTCACTTTGAGGCTCAGGAGCAAGTATTTGATTACATCTTCTCACACCTGGGTATCGACAATGATGGTAGTGTTCCTCACCCTATTGCTATGACCGAAGCCTTTGTTACTCCCAATTACTGTAGACAATGTAAGTATATGATTGCTATTGATTAAATTAAACTTTTAGAAGATATAGTTGTAAATCTAAATCTGTCATTACTAAACAGATGTTATGTCAAATTTCCAGTGATGTCTGAGCTGCTGTTTGAGGGCTACGGTGTTCCCGGAGTGAGCTATGGTGTGGATTCCTTATTCAGTATGTATAAGAATGACATTGGTGACACAGCCCTTATTGTCAACTGTGGGTATCACACCATACATATTATACCTGTGATCAGGGGACAAGTTATTGTGGACCATGCTAGAAGGATTAATTTGGGTAAGGATGAATAATTTTTATTTTTAAACTGTCAAACACCAAGCAGTCACCGGTGACCGCGACCTATTGTTCTTTAATTGTGTCTATAAAACCGGTACTCAACGAGTTAATAGTTAATAATTGCTCTTTTGTATAATGAATAACTTTGATAGAAACTACTTAGATCGAAAACTTAATAATTACCGTTTTCACATAAAAATATTGTGAAATACTCTACTAGTTTCGAGACGCAGAGGGACTCTTTCACTCTCTAAGTGAGTAAACCCTCATTTTTAGTTAATTCAGTTTGTCTCACAATATTTATTATAAAAAGATCAAACAATTGATTGAGATAAGTAATTAATTTCAGTTCTAATTCCATTAGATATCTGCAAGTAATCTTTAATCATAGGTACAGAATAAAGACATCATTACATCAATTTTGAAGCATGCTCTTATAAGTAGGGATGATGACAGTGTATGAAAATTAAAAATGTAATTAGTCCTTAAGTTAGGTGATTAAAAAATATTAGACACGTATTTTTTATTTTGTCGTATATGAAAACAATACTTAAAAAATATGTATCTAATGTTGACGTGACAACGTCTTATCAATTGGTTTGCCGGGTGACACTTCAAGAAACTGCGTTACGCTCTGCTCACGTTATGCGCTCACAATGAGAGCGAGTGAGAGGCACGCGTCCCTTCCACTCGGGCATGGTTAGGCCGCCTAAGAGCGAGAGAGACAGACATAAAAAGTGAAAGGCACGCGTCCCTTCGACTCGAGCACAGTTAGCCCGCCTAAGAGCGAGAGAGGGAGAGTGAGAGAGATAGGCATACACACCGGTTCATGTCTTGCTTCTTTGTATAAATTAATGTTTTAAATATAATTCTTTGTATAAATAAATGTTTTAAATTGTTACTATTATTTCATCCTTCTTCCTACCATACGAATGAATATTCACATTAAAATTATTTTACCACTCAAAGTCGTTGTCACGTAAAACTTTCGCCCGTATACCGACTTTACAGGCAACCAATTTTTTTTTAAATAATCTACCAGACAGACATTCAAATAAAAATTAGTCATCTACCCTATTACATGTGTAAAATTGCTTTTTCTAAAAGTAATCACACCATTTATTATTTCAGGGGGCAGTGAAATGATAAATTACTTACATAAGCTTCTTCAACTGAAATACCCAGTACATGTGAATGCGATCACCATGTCCAGAGTAGAGGAAATACTTCAGGAACATTGCTCCATAGCGCTTGATTATCAAGAAGAGATTAGAAAATGGGCAAACCCTGATTACTATGAAGCCAATGTGCAGAGAGTACAGTTACCTTATGTCCAAACTACTAGCTCATCTGGGTTAACAGGTGAGACGTTGTATGTTTTGTATCTAATTGATATGTACTTAGATAAGTCATAAAATACTGTTTTACAATTTTGGCTCTGTCTGAACAAGGCAAACACCAAAACAAACTCACAACCATATCTTCATATCAAAACTTTTACAATTGTTTATTTGATACAATTGAGTTTAATTTTTAAAGATTAGAAAAACAAAGCAAAGAATGTGTTTGCAACTAGTTCGTGATATTTTCAGCTGAACAGCAAAAAGAAAGGAAGAAGGAGATGGCGCGACGATTGCTTGAAATAAACGCAAGGAAACGTGAAGAAAGACTTGCTGAGGATGAAGAACAGCTGAATCAACTTCTTGCTATTAAGGTACACATCGCATTAATAATGTTAAGGAAAGTAAAACTTTCATATTTAGTTCTTTCTGTTATTTTGATTGCTCGGTTGGTGCGGTGGCTGGGCAACCGGCTGCCGTGCAATGTGTCGCGGGTTAGATTCCCGCACGGATCAACACTTTGTGTAATCCAAAAATTATTGTTCCGGGTCTGGGTGTCATTGCGTATGTGAACTTGTATGTTTGTAAACGCACCCACGACCCTGGAGAAATTCCTAATGTGGGGCAACGTTTTTTTTTTTTAAAAAAAGAAAAAGAAGTGTGAATCTGTACTACACACTTTTAGAATCGAACAACTAACCTAATGTTGAAATTAAAACTTGAAACCCTTTTTCAATGATCACAATAAACCTCTAAAGCATATACGCCATATACGCCATAAATGGCAAAACATATAGACTCTGTACTAACCAAAAAAACACCTTCATTGTAATTACTCATGTTTTACTAAATAAATACATCTCTATATCAATTAATTAATTATTCCAGGACATGATAGAGGATGGCGACACCGACGAATTCAACGAAGCTATAAAAGGATTTGACATCAAAAGCTATGAAGATCTTCAGGTAACATTTTTTTACTCTAAAAATTGTCATAGTCCCTTATAGTAAGTAGATACCAAACACTAGATTGAATTCCGAATTCTATGCTATTACGGAAAATGTCGTATACCTAATTAAAATACCTTCTTTGACGAGGTAATTACAATCTTCTGGGCAGGAGTGCGTTCGCTCGCACACACGATTTTGAAAACATCATACCTATTTCAATATTTGCAAAATTGTATTATAACTTTCGTTTCATCATAACAATTAATCTACAATGTTAGATACTTTTTATGTTATGAAGTTATTATTTTGTTGCAGAGACAAATATCTAACATACACATGCGCATAGAGAAGAACAAACAGCGGATAGTTGCGGCTGCTACTGCCGAAGAGAACTTGGAAAATCGTCCAACTGGCCGGTTGAATCCGCCAACTGAACCAGAGCGTTCCAGACTTGGCTCAATGAGACGCGATCTAAGGTTAGTGTTATTTATGATTTTGGACGAAAAATTTAACTATTTTAATATCTAATATGTAATGCTTAGTCAGTTAACTAAAAAACTTTTGAAGTAAAATGCTTTTAAAACTAAACACAATAATGAATGGCATAAAATATAAATATGTGGAAAGATGGTCTTGGTTACCCTTAGACTTTGACTCCAATTCTAAGTTGAGTAAAAAATATCATGCTAACATTGCTATTAATTTAATTTTCAATGTTCAGTATGAAAATATTTTTTTCATTATCAAAAGTTATGTTGCCCACTGCAGAGACAACCGCTTCTAAAATCCATACTATCTTATTCATTTCAGTATCGCGAACTAGTAGCCCGTCGCGAAGCCCGCCGTGCCCGTCGCGCTGCCATGGTGAAGCGACGCACGGCTGCGGCTGCTGAACGTATGCGAGTCATCTCCCGCCTCGCTGCTGCTGGGGACGACTTCGGAAATCAAGACTCCGATTGGGATGCATATAAAAGGTGAACCACTTAACATTGTCCAATTGAAAAACTCTTGTAGGTACGTATTTTTCCTACTAGGTATCTCGTGCTGCTGAATTTGTAAATTACTTATGGTTTTTACCATTATAAGTCTTAAAATTTGTAAAAAAAGATGGTGGTGAAGAGACCATAAAAGCGAAATGTGTCATTGTATGCCGACAGTTGCTGCCTTTTGCAGTCTGCCGCGCTTTTACATTATCTATGGTCCACGAAGAACTCGATCGCAGACTTTGAATATCTCTTAATATTTTTCATCATCAACAACCGGAAGATGTCCAATATCAATGAACAAAGTTAGTCCTTTATAGGTCACTAGCTATTTCCACGCGGTTTCACTCGCTCTGCTCGGCGCCTTTAATCGTAGCGTGATAATTTATATCACGCTATGATAGCGTTCCTCGATAAATGGGCTATCCAACACACAAAGAATTTTTCAAATCGGACCAGTAGTTTCGGAGATTAGCGCATTCAAACAAACAAAAAAACAAACTCTTCAGCTTTATAATATTAGTGTAGATTATTTAAAATAAACTTTATGTATTTCATTTTCAGTATAAGCCGGGAAGCTGATTCCGACTCGAAGCTGACGGCGAACGCCTCATGGAGTTGGAGGAAGCACTTCGTGAATACGAACCTCCTCCAGCGAATTCCAGTCAACATCATCAACTGCACTTAGCTATAGAACCGTTGAGGTTTGTGTCGAAATACTTCCAACGAGTTTTATGTATTGCTTCGGTGGCATATAATTAATTGCTTTTGTTATTACCTTCTAATATGAATCTTTGAAATGTTCGCGATATCCCTTTTGTATTGTAAGTACTATTGACACGTTTGTGTTTGAGTATTATTTTAAATGCACAGCATACTTTCACTTGGATCGCTAGAGAAGTATGAAAAAGCTATATCTTTTTTCTATCATTCGATGAATTCGCCACGGGACACGTACGTTAATATAGTTACGCCACTGGTCACCACCAATTTCGAAGATATGGCTACGCCAAAAAGTGCAGTTAGATCATCGACAGTTAATAGGACGTCACTAACCATTCTTCTATAAAGCTTAAGGTAGTATCAACGCTCAATTTTAATGCCACACTGCTGCTGTGGCATCAACTACCAGTGATAAGCTTCAGGCAGCTTTTTGCGCAAATGGTTCCATTAGTTTAATAACTACATAGTATGAAAAAGCTATATCTTTTTTCATACTGTATTTATTTTCTTTTTTAAATGTTTAATTTTGTTATAACCAAGGTTCTTAAAGTTCTATTAAAAGTCTTTAATTTTATGTTCCCTAAAATAAGAATGTTAATTTCGTTAGTAGTAGTTTCTTTTTAGTAACTAAAACTCTATTGTTCTCATTCATTTTTGTATCTATAGTTTTTTTTTTCTATCATTTAAGTAATTAAATGTTGGTTAACCTATAATTGGCGACTGTATAAGCCTAAATACTTAATGTTACTTTCATATCACTTAATGCTATGTATACAGAAGCTGTTGGTATACCTATTTAAATAATTATCTCTAGCGATCCAAGTGCAAGTATGCTGTGCATTTGCTATGCTCTCTAGTTGCCAGCAACAACTGGAATTTAAATTTTTGGTTCTTATTTTATCCCAGAGCTCCAGAGCTAATGTTTCAACCTTCAATGATGGGCAACTTAGAAGCAGGGTTGGCTGAAACAATGGAATATGTGTTCAAACACTTCAGCCCTGAAGATCAGCTCCTGTTAGCAAATAATGTGTTCCTCACAGGAGGCAGTTCTCAATTCCCAGGTATATTTTAATTTTATAAATATAAATTACATAATATTATAAATTTTATTCGGAGGCAAGCTGAAGTCTACATGCTAAATGCAATAAGCGCTAGGATATAGGCTTATTGTTATAAATTGTATTTTAATATAAAACCTCTAAAACCCTAAACCTAACACAGCCTATTCAGAGATCCCTTGCTCGGCAATTGAGATGATGACGGGGTATGAAAATTAAAAATCTAATTAGTCCGTAAGTTAGGTAATGAAAAGATATTAGACACGTATTTTTTTGTCATTTCTACGTATAAAATGTACATAGCAGTGACGTCACGCGACATTTCAAATCAATATATCGTCGAAAGTATTCGTTTCTGTAAGAAAATAAAAAATACGTGTCTTATGATTTAAAATAATTACCAGACGGACATTAAAATAAAAATTAGGCATCTACCCTATTCTAATAGGGCTACAGTTTTTCTGCACACCAATACAGCATGAGTTCATGCTTATTAAATTCCTGTAGCTGTTAAAAATTGAATGATTAGCGTAATAATTTATTGTACACGTGACCTCTCGCTACAGAGCGATTCTGGTGGTAAAATCACTCGCAGTAGCCCCTATTGCGGCCCTTCGACAAAGGACAGCAGTATAACATAATACATTTTACAAATGTGCGATATTTAGATAAAGAAATGTCACAATCTTTAGTGTATGGGATACTACAGTTCAATATTTTTCAATTATAATTTGATTTTTTACCTTCCAGGTCTAAAAGAGAGGCTGGAAAGAGAACTTCTAGAAATGAGACCATTCCAATCGACACACAAGGTAGTGGTAGCCAAAAATCCCAGTTTAGACGCTTGGTACGGAGCAAGGGACTTTGCTGGTAGCAATGAGTTTGAAAATTGGTGTATTTCGAAAGAAGATTATTATGAGATGGGTGGAGAGTATTTGAAGGAACATTACGCAAGTAACAAGTATTACAAGAGTCCAGCACCGATTGTGGATAATACTCTCGCGCCTTCCATCGATTCCAACGTCGTGAAGGAAGAAATTGTTGTGGATTGCTAGCATGTGAGGTTTGCTTGATTAAAGTTACTTATTCAGAACATTCTGGTTTGTTTAATATTGTCGTGTATGTACCTGGTTAATACAAGGTGTAGTTTTGAAACCGTGTCATTTCTCGGGGGCATGTCACAGAAGTCATAAAGGTTCAATGTAAGAGAAACGGGCCAATAGTTAAAAATACGGGTATAATAAATCGTTTAAGTTCGACAGTATTTCAGAATAAGCGACAGTAATGTTTCTTATTGGAGTTTTATGGAATTAGGAATAATATCAATTACGTGTTTGAGTTTGTGTGTGTTAAGCCGCGTTATAAAGCTAGTTACAAGACGGCGGCGTGTACTTCGCACTTACGGATTTCCGTAATTTCAGAAAAATGAAAAATATCGTAAAATATCGACTGCCTCGTTGACCGAGTGGTCGCAATTGCGACTGCCGGGTAAGGGGTCTCGGGTTCGATTCCCGGGTCGGGCAAGGAATTACTGGGTTTTTAAAAAATTCTCAGTAGTAGCACGGAGTCTGGAACTGTGCCCGGTATATGGCAATAGGCTCACCCCCTATTACATGGGACTCATAACATAAATAGTGAAAAGTGGGTGTGACATTGTACAGTGGTATAATGTGCACCTCTGCCTACCCCTTCGAGGATAAAAGGCGTGATGTTATGTTGAAAAATATTTACCTACAACTTTTTTTATTGATTCGGAATCAGAATCGATATCCTCCTAGAAAATGACGCGGCTTTAAAAAACACCTTGTATTTTGAGTTGTCCCAACGAAATACGGTTGACCCATCGGATGAATATTGCTAACTGTATCTGTAGTAACTTGGTTAGCCTGCACTGGCTCATGTTTCAATCTCATATTTTGTACTGAAAATATGAATCAAAGCGCGAGGCTGATTTGTTTAGGAATTTAATAAACTAAAATTAGGTAATCGAATAACACACATCACTTTTCAACAATACGTACATATTTCGTACAAATTACTTATAAGTAAGGGTCAAATAAAAATAAAAGCGGGAATTGAAAATAAACAAATAAATAGCCACAAATATCATGGCACGTTTATTTTTTTCCACTACATGGCGACTTCTAAAAGAATCGTGACTTGTTATTTTGCATTCATATAGTTTCATTTTTTATTAGAGCTCTGCAAAATGAGCACTAAACAATAATTTTACAATGTATATTTTTTCCATAAAATTAAAATATAAACTCTGTATTTATTTTGATCTCAATATAAATCACTATGAACTGAAAAAAATTAAATGTTTTGTTAGTTCGCTAATTATAATATTGATTGATGAGACTATAATAAAGAGTACATTTAAAAAATCACATTAAAGCATATATATAATGCTGACTACATAAACGCTCTAACAGCCTCTCCCTACCGTCTACCGCTACGTCACCTCGCAGATTGTATACTCAAAGTATCAACAACAAACAATATGAAAGACTTCAGCTCTACAAAACAAACCAATATAATTATAATAATAAATTTATCACAATCATTTCAGACTACAAAATAACTAAATAATCACCTGTAAAGGAGGCTGTGAGAGCTATAATCACGTGCAATGTAAATGTAATACACCACAATTAACAAATCTAACTTATTTCAAATATAAACTAGCCTAAAAATTTTAACAATAAAGAAAAAACGGTAGTAGTTAAAATATTGGTCATCAAAACTCTGAAGAGCTATAACTAAATGACCGCACAAATTATCATCATGCCATGATGTTTGTATTGAATTTTAATAAAAATTGCACTCAAAGGGATGTAAAATACTCCAAAACTTGGTAAAGTGTGGCTTTCAGCCGTTTATTTTTGTTTAGCGTATAATTAGAAATTGTATAAAACCAGTGACTTAGAAATAGCTCTCAGTATATAAAAAAAGTTAAAATCCTTAGGCTGTACTCTCGTATGATTATAATGTAAGCAACGCAATATGTTGGCAAAGCGGAAGTTCACGTAAATCTAACGATACAATAGAACTAAATATTTATGTACCTTAGACATTATGATTACACAAGGCTCACTGTTATTTCATAAAACTACCACGATCAAGTTTAGTGTAACTGGTCGGCGGCGCTCGGCCCCCTAGACTAGTAGTCTGCCTCGACGAGGGAAGTATACGTTATACATTCACGGGAAGGATATGTACGATTTCTTTAACCAAAATTCAATAACGGCTTACAAAGACACTGGTTGGTCCATCAACCACAACCGCTCTGATGTTAACAACAAAATAACAACAACACAATCTAACACTGCCAATATATTTCACGTGAGTATTCTTTTAACGTTGTGAATTCCTCAGTCTTTTCTACGGTTCAAAAAAAAAGTAGTCGGAGAAAAAATCATACCACCACTTTTGCAATTACGTAAATTCAAGGGTTTCAATATGCACTTCTTAATATAGGTTAACTAACATCGGTATGTAAAATAGTTACACAATGAAGGCACACAGGTTGCAAGTTCAACGTATACTTAGCAGCTCTTAAAAATCAAGGTGCAACCTGTGGCCTTCACTGTCATTTCGTGACCCTTATTTATTACGAAATATATTCACTGAGAAAAGATTTTCCTCTTACCAATATAAATATATGAATTATACTCTGTGTGAAAGATTAAGAAGTGAGAGCATATTTCGTAATTAACAAAGCCCGCGTGCCCTCAACGCACCTATTCGCTCGGCGAGGGTGAAGCAACGATAGGGCAATGTAATAAAGATAAAACAATCATAAAGACAGTGAACATATAATAATAATAACAAAAATATATTACTAATCCTAGAATTCAAAAAGAAACAATCACCCTCGGCAAGAGATCGGGGAGCTGAGACACATCTATATATTTATTTATATATGTATTTATGTACCTAGGTCACTATGTTGGTGTTTCTATTTCCATTCATAATATCTATGGATAATATAATAATATACGGTATACAGCATTGAAAGGCACCTAATACTTGTTGTCCCTATCAATGCTGTTACATACAAACTATTGATAACTATGGTTTTAAAATTTCAATGGTGATCATTTTATAATGGTATCTGAAAGTTTTATACTACTCTTTAAACCCAAGTTCTAGTTTGTCTAAATAATACTGTTATCAATGGCTTGGTAAGAAACTTACTAAAGACGTTAAGATTTTATTAATATACGGAAAAGTTTAGATGTTACTCTTAAAATTTGTGGGCAACTAAATGCATCCTCATATTACTTTACTTTATACCTTAACATACGGTGTACACATTTATTTTAAAATGATAATGAGATATTGGCCTATTTTTTTCGTGTCTCTTTCAAATACAGAACTATCAAAATATAAAAAAATATTGAGGACTATCAAACAACATTCATATGTATATATTATTATTATATGTATACTTATGTACATCTACAAGAAATTTTGATCTTTATAGTACCCAAAGTATAGTTCTGCGCTAAGTCTAACATTAATTCCAATTATATTCTCAGTTCGATATTCGGTATGACTGTAGAATGAGACATTCCTACAAATCATACTCATATTATAATTTTGAATGTTTTCTCGATATACTTGAATAAATAAACACTACCAATATTTACATTTGCTGAACCAGCACATGGACACACACATGGAAATAAAATAATGTATCAAAATAACAACACGGGAAGTTGTAAAACAATAGGTATAAATGTCGGTTAACACTATGTATTACATATTAGAGCTCTTACAATATTTTATTTCCAGTTCTACCCTGACCTGCAGACTTAACTAAACTTACACTACCACATCATTTACATAGAAATGGCACCAATCTATCTTTGATATCAATAATGGCAAACCATAAGGAACCCCCGCAGCGGACACTTTAGCTGCACAGCTCGGTGCGCAAGAACTGTCTCAAGGTATTGGAAGACTACTGCACTATACACTATTCATTATTACTATTATTCGAAAAACAGTAATGAAATAAAGTTCTGCCTCTTGCCAAAATACGTTTGTATATATGTATGTATATTGCGATATCCTAAATGGGTAAATAATTATGTAACAATGTTTTATGATGACTACACTTTATATGAATATTCAATCTCATCAGAAATATAAAATGAAGTTTATCGATGGTGTTATGATTGATATTGCCTAATGTCGCTAACCGCTAGAAGGCACACAAAGTTTAGTAAGAAGCTTCACAAATTATGCTCTCTGTTATGTAAGGCCAGTCGGCCACTTCACCACTAACACCCAGCACTCACTTATTCTGTAAGACACACTAAAGCGTACTCCGGCCGATGTCCCTCACATTGAACACTGAACATAACATTATTCTGAACGTAATACGTTTAAAAAATATTGCCAATTTTATGTTGCAACAGGCACTTCTCTGGATTTCTCCAATAAACATCATATTAAAAGTTATTAATTTTGTGAAGCTTTCAATATTGCCTCTCAGGACTCTGCTAGTTTATGGAATTATTATTTGTACTTCTTATTTACTATTATTATTATTTTTATATGAAACCTGATTTTTATTTATAGTATTCTTATGGATTAATCTTGAGGAGTATTATCTAGAGTCCCTTATATTCTTCAGCGATCAAAATACTTTACCACTCACCAGTAACAGTTCTATATAAAATTACTGAACTTCCATATACACTGACACGTTCTAAGTTAAAGCATCGCAATAAGATATTGTTACATTTCACTACGACTAATGAAGGATGGGTATGACGATGACAAGCGAATGACGAACATTAAAATTTAGAATTTTTAAGTTGGAGATTTACCATTTACGATTCCAAAATTTATCACTAAGCAAATTAGAATATGAGATCAAAAATTTTAGGCCTACAATCTATCATGATGAGACTTTTAAGTATTGATTTATAAACGCCACCACAGAAATTAATATAATCGTGTGATGGTATAGATAAATCACAGTTGTAGGTATAAATCACAATGCATATATTATCATAGGCGGTACCGCTACGTGACTACTCACTACATCCTCGTCTCTATTGTGATGTCCACCTGGTGTTATCGAGGGATTCCACAAGCGTAACGAAACCAACTCGATTCCTCTCTGCCACCTTCCACACGCGGATACAATCCAACAGCGCAGCCTTGCTGGCGCTCTCACCACGCCCGACGAAATCAACAGTGTATAAATAAATAACTCCAAATATAATAAACAAATAAAAGTGCATGAGTCCATGCTGACGATCCTAGCGAGGAGCTGCCTGTCTCCTCTGCTCTCAATTATATCATTCTGAATGATAGCTGCTCTTGTTGATGGCTGCCAAATATATATTATTGCACTCTGGCTGCTTCCTGTTCAACCAAGAGCTGTAACAACGAATTCAGGTCGTTACATTTCTATATTTTAATATTAGAATCCATTAAATTAATCAATGTAATTAACTACATACCTAAAACTGGTGATCAATCTGCAAGATGCATTTGACCGGGCATCTGGGGCTGCGGCGTTGGAGTATGCGAAGGGGGAGGTGACGCTGCAAAAGTTATTATATCGATAACATTGAGTTTACAACAAAAATGTAATTTAAAATATAGGAGGATACTTACAAATAGATGCAATAGACTGTGGCGACATCGCAGACATTTTGCTCGTGTCTTGCATGGAGACTTGAGTTCCTTGAGATGTCATGTAGCGATTTACCATAGGTACAAAGCTGGAAAGAAATTGCCGTCTATCAATCGCTACTATGGATCTGATCTATAAACAATGAATTCGTTCTACGTTTGCAGTATCACCTAATAACTAATGTGCTACTAATGAAGCGGAGAAAAAATAAATGATAATGCGGTGCTTAACCGTACCTGGGTACCTCACTCGGAATGCAAATGGACTTAATGGTGAAATGTTAATAAAGCTGTTGTTTTAATTCAGCCACAATTTGTTTCACATTGTTATTTAATGTTGTGAGAGAAGGGTTGTTGGTTAAATTTCCTAAATATTTAATGAATTTGTATTAATTTGTAATCATTCTAGTGTTTCAGATGTCATACCTTAAGTCACAAACGCCGGGAGAATCAAAGTTGCTGTTGTTAGAGTTGTTGGTGTTGGTAGCAACACTGTTGATGGTGCCGATACTGTTGGCCGACACGTTGCTATGATTCTCGCGATGGACACGGTTGTGGTGTCTGTACAGAGGAAATCAAGATTGTCAGATTGTGGCAGATCTTTTAAACAGTTACATGAAAGACGAGAATAAAATGGCTTAATAACGTGACTAACCTAATTTTCTAAAATAACGATGATAGTACAGTATATATAATCAGCTACTAATGTGTTCGACTTCGACTAATTTCAAGTCACACTGGGGACCCATAGTTATGAACACTTGCGCGATAAACGACGTTTAATAGTTACGTGATAACCTAACTCGTAAAATATATTAAAATAAATAAAGATGTGTATAATAATATGAAGTGACCTTATCAGATAGCTGTCTCGCACGAAGGAGCGGCCGCAGACACTGCACTCGTAGCAGGAGCCGGTGGAGTGCGTGCGGATGTGCAGAGCGAACTGAGACTTCGACGTGAACGACATCGAGCAGCGGTCGCAGTTCAACGGCTTGTCGGCGACGTGCGACCATCTGGAGACAATACCAACACCACTTTAATACATTGCACATAGGTACTTAATAAGGTAACATGCTTACTACACTCCTATCATTATAACAACCAACAATAAGGATAATTATAATGGGGTGTAACCCACCTGTGCGCAGTTACATAGCTCTTCACAGCAAAGCGTTTCTGGCAGATGTCACAAGCATAAGGACGTTCACCTGAAATAGAGGATTCACTATAAAACAAACTCGACTCGACTGAAAATAAATGTAAGCAATGGTCTTTTCAATCAATGAAAGCATTATGAAGGCACATGATGTTAGAAAGACGGCAAGATGCGATTAGAGAGTGATGCAGTCTGAAATTAATGAATGGAAGCCAAGAAATTAAATAAATAATAATAAGTATTGAAACTCAAGTGATGATGTAGCGGATGATTAAGATTATTAAAACTTACGTTGTCGGTGCCACATCATTAAGTTCAGAATGACAAAATATATGCCTGGTAAAGCAATTTGCCGTCTTCTAAACGAACCACTATCCTTCAACCTTACGTGATTCGCTACGCTATATGTATAGTAAACTACCAGACGAAAAACATTGACTGTGATAAATATGAGTACATACATGCTTTATTTTTGTAGCCATTATAAGGCACTATGCATGCAGTTCTATATATTAAAGCTTGTGTATATTATGCAGATTTTGCAGTCTATGCAATATTTTGGTATTTTCCTATCCAACATACAACCGTTGGTGGTTATTCAGTTTTACGAAGAGTACGAACCTGCTTTATACATAGTGTGATTTCTAATAATGTTAGTATCAAAATGTTTTTTATCTGTTAGACACACTAAGCTATGAATCATTTGGTTTACATTGTATGATCCATGTGGTTCAGGAACATTTTAAGGTGCTTGCACACATAACTCAATAACTTTGGACACTGCGTACTTACAGTGCGCAGTGCGCATTAATTTAGTTGTAGCTATGTTGCGTAGGTGACCGATGTATGAATGTATAAACAGCACTAAGGTAGTGTGGAGCCAGTTGTGTATGCAAACCACCGAAAAATAGGGAACGCGATATGGTCGTACCGGTATGAATTCGCTTGTGAATGTTGAGCGTGGATTTCTGCGTGAAGCGTTTGTAACAGACATCGCACTCGAACGGCCTTTCCCCCGTGTGAGTGCGCATGTGTATCTCCAGGTACGGCTTGCAAGTGAACGCCGCCGGGCACTCCATGCATTGGTATGGACGCCCTTGCACTGACCACCCGCGCATTATATTAGTTTAGTTCACTTATTACAATTATGATTATTATACTCACAATAAGACTTACTATTAAACATATGTGGCACCGACAACTTTAAATTCAGACATATGAACATTATTATTATGAACATATTATGGTAAATGTTAAAGACTTTGTTGGTGACTATGAATTTCTGAATGAGGAAAAACAATAAGTAAGAAAAAAGCGTGCGTTGAGCGTTGTCGACTGACCTGTGTGCGTTCGTTTGTGTATATTGAGTGTAGATTTTTGCGCGAATCTCTTGAGGCATACGTCACACTGGTAGGGTCGCTCGCCGGTGTGCGTGCGGTTGTGGATCTCGAGGTACTGCTTGCAGGTGAAGGCGGCGGGGCACTGCAGGCACTGGAAGGGCCGGCCCTGCACTGTGGACGAGCGACACCGTTAGCCAGCACGTGAGCGCCCGCCTCCCCGCGCCGCGCTCTCTAGTAGCCCACATACGTTACGTTCTAGTCTGCGTCGCGCCGGCTCGCTCGCCGGCCACCCACGTACCTGAGTGCGTCCGCTTGTGGATGTTGAGACTGGATTTCTGTGTGAAGCGCTTCAGGCAGATGTCGCACTGATAGGGCCGCTCGCCGGTGTGCGTGCGCGTGTGTATCTCCAGGTATTGCTTGCAGGTGAAGGCGGCGGGGCACGACAGGCACTGGAACGGTCTGCCCTGGACTGGTGCCCAACACATATATTATAGCGGCGGCGAGCCCGCAAGGACGCTAGACGCCCTCGCTCTACGGAGGTCGCGGCGCGGACCGGTCGCCGCTCGCCGCGTACTCCGCTCCAAATCTTTCGCTAGGTATTGTTACAAAGGCTCGCGATCGCTTGACTACTCGGAGACAGACAGATTCGGAGGAGAGGCGGAGTGCGAGTGGAGAGAGGCGTGGGCGGGCGGACGGCCAGTCCGGCCCGCGGGGTCACCCACCTGTGTGCGTCCTCTTATGTATATTGAGGCTGGACTTCTGCGTGAAGCGCTTCAGACACGCGTCGCACTGATAGGGCCGCTCGCCTGTATGCGTGCGCATGTGAATGTCCAGGTAGGGGCGACGGGCGAACGCCGCCGGGCATTGCCCGCACGCGAAAGGACGCCCTTGCACTGCGCCCAGTGCACACACAAAAGCGAGTAACGCACGTCGCCGACGCATCACGGTACCTCGGGTCCGGGCCGGATCCGACTCTGGCCCACCCGCCCACTGCCAATCTCGACCGCATCCCGTCGCACGCGGCGACCGATTCACCCCCAATTTTGTTTACCCAATTTTGATAACCAGCACCGTATCTAAAGTACGATGCTGGGGCGCCAAGTATGCGTCTTTGCGGCGATTGCATTACCGCTTTTGTGAATGAATTAATATCCATGAAGAAATGATAAAATGATAAATGCTAAAACACCGAGTTGTATGCAGAATGAGAGGAATAAGAGGGCGAATGACCGGCAGTTATTATTATTAGGTAATATGATAGGCGGGAAATTATCAGTGATTGCAGAAGTACGTAAAAGCGCGCATTTGAATGAGTTAAAGAAATTGAGATGTTAGTCGAAAGCAACGAGATGGAAGCTATCAAAATAGGGAGAGTAAAACAACGGGTTAGGCGGGCAACGGAAAAATAGGAGCGAAGCATGACGCTAAATGAAATGACTGCATGACGAGTCGCAAGTTAACGCTAATCGTACCGAAAGGAATACTGCGGATTATAATATATGTGGGCTACTAACCCGTATGTATTTTTTCGTGCAAATTGAGCGCGCACTTCTGCGTGAAGGACTTGAGGCAGACGGTGCACTGGAACGGCCGCTCCCCTGCGCCGCCAACGCACGGACACGGGGGGACAGAGAAACAAAACAAAACCACGATGGACAAATAATACTACTGAGCTCAGTAACCGATTGCCGATCGTTTCCAACTGACTACCATGAGGGAATTTTACCACGTTATTTGTCCATCAGACATTCTCTCTCCTATAACTTAACGGAAATCATCACAACGTACACATGCTTTACTTGTTTGTGAATAGTTTTTGAGCGTGTGTAACCTAATGTAAGCTGCCATATACAGACTAGAACCAATATATTATTCATGTATTATTTCCGCATCGCTAACCATGTGCATAGGTCATAACAATCAAAATAAAAACAATACTTAGGTCAGGGAGCCCTTAAAACTATTCACAAAACTTAGGCTTCAAAGTCACAATGTTATTGATATTGATTGAAATTGTGGCAAACACATTGTGGCTCCGACACCGAACCAAAATAAAGGAAATATCAAGGGACCCACCGGTGTGTATACGTTTATGAGTGCCAAGGCTGGACTTCTGAGTGAACCGCTTGTCACAGATGTCGCATTGATAGGGGCGCACTTTGTTGATCAGCGATTGGATGTGCTCCTCTAGAAATACCAATAAAATAAGCTAAAACAACGGTCCAGCTCGTCACACTGCTAATGTTACTGCCTAGTAACTAGCTGAGCTAACGTATAATAATAAATTCATTGTCTACTTAAGGATTTTAGGGGAAAATGCCTACCAGTGTGTATTTTCCCATGTCGTCCCAGGCTGGACTTCTGAGTGAAGCGCATAAAACAGATGTGGCACTGGTACGGCCGCACTTTCTCTAACAGGGCTCGTCTGTGCTCCTCTATAAGTTATACGAGTTTCGATATAGCATCGCAGCACCCTCTCAAACAATATGTATTTCATTAATATTACCTAATATGTTAAACAATTGAAACCATTCACACACATTCAGGGGGAGGTAGGCTATCTCTATAACATAATACACGTTAGTACCGTTCTGCCTCAAGGAATACGTCACGCATAAGTAGGCAGGAGGTAGAGGTAGGGACCCACCGGTATGTATTTTTCCGTGCCGGCCCAAACTTGATTTCTGGGTGAATCTCACAAAGCAGATGCCGCACTGGTAGGGCCGATCCTTAGCCAGCAGCGCACGTCTGTGTTCCTCTGAACGAAACCATCGAATGAGTCAGAATACGGCTAACATTCAACTTTGAACGGACAAAGAGAGGTGCGGGCTTTAGGAGCCAGTGAGGAGGTGGACAGTACGTATTACTGCAGCGACAGTGTCGGCACGGGGCGGTGCTAAAGATATCAACCCACCCGTGTGTATTTTCTTGTGTCGGTTGAGGCTGGAGCTCTGCGTGAACCGCATCTGACAGAGATCACACTTGTAGGGCCGGTCCTTCACCATCAACGCGCGCATGTGCTCATCTAGAACCCAGGCCACAGTCCAACAACACACGTCCCGTGCTACGGGAGCACTTGTCTACACCACGTTATACAAGAACACACAATCGATTTGTGGCGCCCTATTGGCACTCCGCGCGGTATCTGCATACCGCAGCGTATCCATTGTGCGTTCTTTACCTCCCCCTGTTTACCTCACATCAAACGAAGCCTTCCTCACGCCCTGATCTTTTTGCGAAAACACTATTAGCTCTATTGGCACAACTCAAAAACTATTCACATGTCGTATGTTAAGCATATGTATTGTCAACTATTTCAGCGAATTGTGTGTCGCACCAGTGTCCTACTTGGCTATATGTACGTGTACTTCGTTACATTTGATATGATAAGGAAAATGGATAAACAATATTGTATAATAAAGTGTCTGAATAAAAGTCGTAAAAAGCTCCGTCCAAAGGCCGCGTGCTTATAGGTAAAGTATAAATAAGCACTATGGTAAAATAAAAATATAGTAGGCACCCAATGAAGTATTGGAAAACGAAAAAGGGAGACGACATTTGTAATGAGGACAGGTGTAATAGGAATCTGTTATCGAATTTATACGAACTTGTTCAAGTCCTACAAAGAACAGAATCACTAGCTACTTACATACATAATATTATAGGTAGTAATAAAACGAAACATTTAAGTACTTGTGCATAGAAATTATAAATAAAAGTACGGTTTCCTAGCAAGTCCAGGGTAATATATAAATATGTAGCACATCTAGCGTAAAAATAATAGGTATGATATAGACATAAACAAGAAAAAGACAATACATATAAAATACAAAATAGCTCGTTTATCAGGGCGTCAAAACAGGAGATAAGCCATAATCAATAACAGGTAGCCAATGGAAAATTTAAAACAATAACACAAAATAATTTTAATAATTCGGTTCGCGGAAACAGGAGGAGGTCAACTTGAAAATATAATAATCCAATTTGATTTCATAATTATTTTGAACAATCCCCTCATGGTACATAGTAAAATTGGGAATTTATTGAGTTTTTCCAGTTCAGTTCAGGTAAAATGTAACTTCCATATAAGTCTCCTAATACCTCCATCCTAAATTCAGTGTTAAAACATTCATCCCTATAACATATTGAACAATTTAATCTTTGGGGGGGAATCTTTACAATCGTAAAATAAATGCAATAAATTACTAAAATTAAAATTTTCTCTTTGTGCAAAATGCATAGGTTTATAATTGACTGGCGATAACAAAATAATATGGAAATTACATTAAATTGCATTCAACAACAATAATGCAATTATAAGTCTCATTTTGGGATAATACAACAATAACATCAGATAAATAAATATTTTTCAAGCGATCAGCACTTTCATTGAACTTACTGATAACATTTTCACTCAATTATTAGATACGATTCAAATTCTTGTGAGAGTTAAGGTTATTGGCATTGAATATTTTAGTTTGAAAAATATTATTTATTTAGGCGGACGAAAAACAGACATATTTTTGCAAAAAGCAGTGCAAGGGCCTGATTTTTTTCGTCTGTTTTTTGTATGCCTGTGAACAACACCGAGATGCTTTTAGATGCAACAACATCTTGTTAGTATGGTACACTGACCTGTATGAACACGTTTGTGCGTGTTGAGACTGGATTTCTGCGTAAATCGTTTCAGGCAGAGATCGCACTGGAAGGGGCGCTCGCCTGTATGTGTGCGCATATGCACTTCTAGGTAGGGCTTACGGCAAAAAGCAGCGTCGCATACCTACGTCACCAAAAAAAAAACTCATGATCAGTAGCTGTGTTACCTTTGCAATTTCAAACAATTTAAATACCTACTCAAATGGAGTCCAATCCAAAAGCTGAAATTTGATTTAATTTTTTTTCAAGCCAAACTAATTTATAACCGTCTGGTTTCATCAATTACCTAAGCTCGATCAACTAAACACCCAAGTATCGTATATATAGTCCATCTGTTTAGGTAATTAACTAAAGGTAAACAAAGAAAACCACGTGACACAGAGATACTTAACCTACTATTACTTCAAATATTTCTCGTGTTTTAATTTTAACTAAATTCACTTTAAAATCGTTCATTTGTCATACACACACATACAAGTACAAATGCCTAAATCGTACAAGAGCCTAGCCTATGGGTCTATTTCATTATCATGTTTAAATAGAAACTATTCTGAATCTGATGTACGGATTTCTTTCTTGTACGGATATCTGTCTTTGGGCCAAGTTTCTTCAATATGTTTGAACACATTAATTACAAACGATGAATAACCTAAACTTAAATAACTTAATAACAAAAACAAAACAAAGAAACAAGTGAAATTCAACAAAATAGGAACGCGAGCGCAAACGACGAGAGAGCTGTCAATGGCGCCTGATTAACCGACTAAACGTAATACACGCTACTTTCACTGTCGCGCTACATCTTCGTTGTACTCTTTAATTTGACAATATTATTTTGCTTCGTTCTTAAAGAAACGTTTTGGATACCTGGGATTTTAGGCTCTTTATGGTGTCTATTGTAATGAAATATTATATTATTTAATAAATGTTATTAAATTAATATCCTCAAGCAGATATATTTAATATTTATTAAGAAATAAGTGAAAAGGAGCAGAAACATAACATTTAATAGAGAAAACTGTCGTAAGAAGGGAAACAATTTTATTTTCTTATGAAGTATTTTGAATCATGGAAATGTCAACTATAAAGAACTATTTTTATGGTTTGTTTACAAATAGTTAACTACCTAAACAGACGGAGTATAGAAAAATATGTTTAAGTTGATGCCCTTTTTGGGTCGAGGCAGTAGGTACAAACTACCGCCATTCTCCATCATTATTTAAAGACTGTATTATTGAGCGAAATGCGACCCTATTCGTACTGAACTAAAGCTTTTATATCTGGTATTGACAGACTAGTTACCTGGCCTACTTAACACATATTTACGTTTAACATTTTTAGGGTGCGTAAAAACCAGACGGTCAAACAATAGTATAGAAAGCCCCCGTTTTGCCCATTGACAAAACGAAACCCCTTTGGAACATCTGTCCATTTTGTATTTAACGGCCAACTGACATCGCGTGCAGTTTAGCAATTTTATTTGCTGCAGAAACAAGTCACCATGTTATTAAATATTGTTTTTTAATTGTAAAACCTCTGTTGTAACGTGCTAACATGCAGGTACGTTTTATGGGCCATTACTTTTCAATCGTTTTGTAATCATTTATTTCAAAAATAACTTAGTTTACTATGTTCATTTTTTAGCGAATTCGTGAATCGAGGTATTTCTTTTTTGTATGGAGGTACAAGTATTGTTTAGAAATATACGTACAGTACACTGAAAGGGTTTGTTGCCTGAGTGTAGCTTCATATGAACATAGTAAGATGAAGCAGACGACAGTACTTTGCCACAGACCTGAAATAACAAACATTTAGAAGAATTATTATTTACGATCTTTCTGAATACATTTTCTCTCGCTTATATAACATTACACTTGGCGTTTTTAGCAAAGATTTATTCACGATAGATCGATAGGTAGCAACTTTGGGAAGATGAAACACGACTTCTTGTTACGAAAGGAGTATTTTAGAAATACGGAAGTGTTTTAATAGTTTTAAAACAAAATGTTTAGCTTTTAATCATTTATGGAATTAAATATATTATTATGGATACTTCGGCTAACAATAAAAAAAACAAACAAAATTATCGAGAACTCGAAATTATATTTAGACAAAAATATTAACTTGAGTACCTATTTCAGGTACCTAATCATATTGTGTATTTTGGAAATAAATAAAAATATTTCTGCCAATTTTCGGTTCTCACCTTACAGGCCTGAGGTTTAGATCGCGGTGTCGATTGACCCCCATTTGCGACTTCCATTTTAGTTTGAACTGATCCCATGTCCACCCCCATACCCTGTTTGAAAGAGTAAGAATGGTGTTTTTATCGTAAAATCCGCAAAAATGTTAAATATACGAGAAATTAGATTGATGTTTTACCTGAGGGCACTGTCGTCCGTCCATATCCATATCGACTCCTTCGTCGTCCATGCCTTTAAAGCTCAACTGAAACGAACGAAAATAGACAAATCTTAACATCATATCTTTCCGTGTACACTTTTGAAGAACGATGTTTTTATCTTCTGTGCTGGTCTTGGTCTACACAGAGTTAAGTTGGGACTATTTAGATCAGATAGGCAAACATTTTGTTTTTCAAAAGCCTTGGGAAAAATCATTCAATGACTTCTCCCGCCCGGGTGAGGCGAGAGGGAGTGTCAGATTCGTACTGACTAAAAACCACCCCGCTCCTACTCCTGCACTGTGAGCTGGAGCCCCGACAACCCGTTAAGTCCTTCGCTCACCTTTATCTTTCAAAACTCACCTCATCATCTTGTTGCATTTCTTGTTGTTGTTGGTGTTGTTCCATGAGATCTTGCTGATGTTGTACTTGCTGTTGTACTATGAGGCTATCTTTAGAATCCTCTTGGTGTGCTTGGTGATGTTGGTTCATTGAAATAATGGATGCATGGCTTGAATCTGAACGTATTATTGTTGGGGGACCGGTATGTACGTGTGGATGAGATGTGTAGAAACTGGAAGGCAAAAAGATTTATCATTTATTCCCCTTTAAAACTATTGCTGTATTTTTAAAAATATCGGTTGAATCAGGAGGTTTTCAAAACTTATCAGTGGAATCATGGCGATTGTAGGTACAAGACAGAACTTTTGAGTACCAGGTTCCTATGACATTAGAAAAACTAGCTCTTTAGAGTCTTGAGACTTCCCATGACCTGTGGACGGATGTCACGGATGCATTCTTACCTCATAGGTTCAGCTTTGATTTGCTGTTCGAACATGGAGATAGTGGCGAGTAGGTCGCCAGGGGGTGGCACGGGGACCCCCACGCCCCGTGCCACACCCCCGACGCCTACGCCCCAGTGTGCTGGGAAACTAATGGCGACCTCTTTGCTCCCCCATTTTCAACTTCTGCCACCTGTAAAGAACTTCATGTCAAGTGCTGATCGATCAAAACTGCACTTAATCTACCTGAATAAGTACCTAGACCGAAGTAATGGCTTATTTTATGTAGGTAACTACTTCGGTACACTTTCAACAGAATGCAAGTATAATTAATAAGTTGGAAATTTATGTTAAGTACAATATTGAAATTTCCATATTTATAAGTTGCTGCTATTAATTTATATACTAGTATGTTAACCAAATCAAAATATTGTTGTTTTCGTCGTAAAATGATGAATAAATAATGGAAGCTTGATCATACCTGGAGTTATGAGACTAGTCTGAAGCTTAAGTGTAAGCTTGTTATTAGAATTCACAATGCGATGAAAATTTTACCACTCTTCTATTACTCTATTTTTTTATTCACATTTCTAATACGGACTGGGCTGTTTGTTTAGAAGATTAATTTTGTTCTACAAAGTGAGGGTACATGGAAATTGATTGAATGGTGCCTGTGTATGATAAAAAAAACTTATTTTTTTAGCCTTTGATTAGTGTACTGTGTTAGATATACCTACACCTTCTTCAAAGATTATACTCAGATACAAAAAAAAAATCTTGTAGCTGTACTTTATAAAACAAAATTTTGTAGGCCTGTGTAATCATTGCTTTTCCGTAGGTATTCTATTAATTAACGGCCATTGCCGTAAGAGGTGTGACAACAAGGGTTAATAAATATCGAGTAGACAATTTCATTACTTTTTTTCACCCAATTTTATTAAGATTAATTTATATGGTTTGGTTTAGTAAATTTTATTTTTATATTTAACTCGTCGAGTACCGGTTTTATAGACACAATTAAAGAACAATAGGTCGCGGTCACCGGTGACCGCTTGGTGTTTGACAGTTTAAATTAAATACGTCGTCGATCGTGTTTTAACCACATTATCTATTAATCTATCATATTTATAATACAATGTAGTTAGATACAGGGAACAACACTACAAGCTGTGATGAGCAACTGAACAAAGTTATTTACATGATGCATGGAATGAGGAGTGATTGGTAAGGTTGGTTCAGGTTAGTAACTAAATAAACAGGCGCACCATGTTATTGGATAGGCATTAATGTGCGTAGGCTAGGTACTATATTATGAGGCTGAATGGTATTTATTTTACCGATATTTCCGGCTGTTAAAATTAGTCATTTCTGTACCCCCTTTCAGTTTCAAGTACAATATGAGGTAAAAATAAAAAAAAATTGCGAAGTTAAAGATTGGAAATAAAAAGCTCGGTTTTGCGTGTAACAAAATATAATTAAAACAAAAACATGATTACAAAAAGGTGGTTACAAATCAAAAGATACAGGGCAACAAAACAAAAAAAAAATACAAAATGGTATGAATAGTAACAAATACATAAACGCATAGAAATAATATTAGGCAAACAACGTAATATACCAAACAAAAATTAGGTAGGTCGATATTTTAGGGTTATACAGATAAACCAAACAATAACATAACAAATTAGATTAGACATTAAAGTACATTGCTGTTTTATTTATATTGTTAGGCCGTTGACTGAGCACAGTAGATAGGTGCATAAAAAGCCGGAGATATGTATGCGAATCGCAATAGATAGATAAGTATAGGCATGTATATGAATAAAATGATAGCATACACTCACACAAGGGCGCTTATCTTTAGCATATTTGTGTAGCATATGCAGATATGTATGTAAACTTGTTCACATATACAGCGGCAACTCTAATCGGTAGATATACGAAAGTGTAAACAAGAAAACATAATGAAAACAGCTAAAATGTCTAACAAATTATTAAATGGCGGAAGCTCACCGACCGACTGTCTCCACCCAGCCTCCCCCCCGGCCATCAATAAAATGGCCAATTCGTTATTGAATTTTGTCCCCAACTTTCAAGCCGAGGCTGCGCGACGCCGGTTGTCATACGACAAGTAATTTAGTAACCAATACAAGTCTAATGTAAACAAAACGGGTTTATAACACACTATCTATTCAACGTTTCGGTGAAAGTTATGTCATATTATCCTGAGCTAAATCTACAGAAACGACTTTGTGAAATTCTTATTAGTTACTATCTGTAAACAAAAACATCACTTGGAAACGAAAGACTTGTAGCTATTGGAAATACAACGACCTTTCATAATGTACGGAGGGAATGAGATACAAATTTATTATTATTTCTTTTTTATGCAAAATGTTAGGTTTCATCGCGCTTATGTTATTATATCATTATAAATGTATAGCAAAAGTTATATTCTACTCACATAAGTAAAGAAACACCTAAGTATAGTAGTGTATACAGAATCACATAAATTATATCACTAATTACACAATTTCGTTAAGATTGGCCATTCGAATTATGTTTTTCTTAGACACCGACATAAAATGGCTGCTACCTCATTGTTCTGCGCGTTCGTTCGTGCGCATAGAAGCCGTGAACGCTTGGGGACGACTTCTCCGCCAATTAAAATTATGGCGCGAAATTTAAGGCGTCGTTAACTACAATTTAATGTTTTATTTATGATAATCATTAGCGCCAGTTGTCAATTCCAATACACAGCAATTGTATAACAAAAAACAAATGATGTTATGACCAGAATAACGAAAGCCGGAATATAGACAAGGTTATTACATCCATATTTATCTACTTTATCGGTACCCAATGGAGGAGAAAATATTTTCCTTTGTTGATGGCGAATACCGTCTAAATGCTGATTTAATTGGTTCTCAGAATTTGTAAAAATGTGACAAATAGGACAATAATATTTCTTATATTTTTTATTAGCAACTAGTTTGGACTTTCGCATTTCTTCCGCCATGTTACCACCTTGCTTACCTATAGATGTTAACCTATAATTGGTTGTTATCTGTCTAAGATTGCAATTTATTGATTAACTATTCTATTTGAAAACTAGGCCAGTTCCCTGTCACCCAATGGTACTATAGGCGAAGTGAGTAGGCAGGTAGATCTCAAATTGTTATCAAGAAATACCTGTTTATGCTAATGTAGGTATAGATATTCTTTATTTGTTGATTTTTATTGTAAGTACCTACCTATTGTAAGTGACTACTTTCAGGAAAGCTTAACATCTATGCTAATCTTATACCTACTTATATAGAGAATGGGTAGGTTTATTTAATTTCTTTTATAGAGCGAAAATACCTAACATTTTGCACCTGCCAAGTACCTATTCGGTGTTTTCGGTAACAACGGTATAAAAGCTCAAAAAAGTACGCAATGGATAAGATTTTAACCTCTTAGTGTGTTAATTTAACAAATCAACCGCTTAATTAATATAATATTGATGGATAAATACTATTAATATACTGTTTTGGTAATACATTTTTATGAAAGATACTAATAACATGAAACAATAAGAAATATACCTTATAATGTGCAACGGTTATTATTATTTTAAGAACTATACTATACTACAATGCCATCGAAGTTAGCCGTGAAGTTAGATTCGATTCGGAACTAGCTGTAAAACATGCCAGTAAATAGAAATTAATAAATTTGCCGCAGCTGTTCCTGCACAAACCGGTCTTTTTAATAGGTTTCAAATTCAAATTCTTTATTTTGTTTAATAGCTTCGTGTGTGTATTTTCTTGTTTGATTATTATAAGACCCGTGAACTTTGTTAAATATGGCTATATGTTAAACAAATTATTCTGATAAAACAATGTTCTCAGTATCTAAGTAGAAGAATAGATATTGTTCAATCTTGCCTCTGTTTAAAAAATGTTTTAATATTCAACAGTATGATGAATATAAAGTGATTTATTGTGATAATTTCTATAGAAATAATGTTGATATTTATTTTAAATTCTAAACAATATTAATGTGGAGGAGAAATTATTCCTTTATTCTTATAATGTTTTTATTCGACCAATAATTAAAAAATATACACACTAATAATTTATTTTTGATTTATAGATTTTTGTTGTCCTTAATGGTAATTTGCGTTGCATAGACAATTCTTAAAAGACCATAGCTCACTTCATTCAGTCTACGTTTGTTTATGTTTCAGTTTTGACAGTGACGTTTCCTCCTAGATTGTTTATGGTTCTTTTTGATAAATCGTAACCATGGCGGTGGGTGTTTTATATTTTCCTGTTAAATTATCTATTTGAATCGGTTTTATTTACTTATATTATACGTGGAAATATGTTTCAATGCTATATCTATTTAAATTAGTGTCCTATCACTATTGTATTTTTTAAATTATTGTTATATTTTGGTCTCAGATTCGGCATAACCTAGACTTGTATGTTAACACGAAGAATATAGTTTAAAATAAATGTGATAATGAGTGCAAAACGTAAATGAAGTATATACATTTCAGCGTGTACCACCGCCCGCGTTGAAGAAAGACAAGAAGGAGAAGAAGCCTCCTAAGGATAACTCCAAAAATGTTATGAGAAACCTTCACATCAGGAAACTCTGCCTGAACATCTGTGTCGGAGAGTCTGGTGACAGGCTAACTCGTGCTGCTAAGGTTAGTTTCATTAGGTATCTAAAGTCAATGTGCTTATTGATTTTTGTAATTGTTTGAGGTAACCCCCAAAACATGACTACCGTTCACGCTATAACTACACTGTTTGAAATACTTAGTCAACAACTATTCAGTAAAAAAGCAGTCTTGCCATTTACTTACTTATTTCTACTTGTTGTTAGATTTTACACATAACTAACAAGTTGAGATTTCCTAGTAGCTAACAATAATTACAGTAACCCATGTGATTTACTTTCATGTTTATAAATGAAACTAGGAAGAGTAGCATGAACTTGTTCAAGAGTGACATACACTTGTGTTACTGTTTGTAAATTCATGCAAAATCAATATTTCCAATTTGCAACTTCTGAGCACTATTACCTTACTGTTCAGAATACTTACGGAAATTACATTTACTAAACAAAGACCCCTTTCATCCAAAGCATTATCATAGAGTCTGAAGTGTGAAAAGAGGTTATAATAATGAGGGAGAATAACATAATATATGCCATCCAAAAGAAATAAACAATATTATTCTTTTTTTTCTATTTTCAGGTGTTGGAACAGCTTACTGGCCAACAGCCAGTGTTCTCAAAGGCCAGGTACACTGTCAGGTCTTTTGGTATCCGTCGTAATGAAAAGATCGCAGTCCACTGCACTGTCCGTGGTGCTAAGGCTGAGGAGATCCTCGAGAGGGGTCTTAAAGTAAGTATTTACTTGTGCATCTCATCCTTTTTTGGTTTTAATAATTGAATTTTTCTTTCTACAAGAAAATAAAGCCAGGAAATAAAAGATGAATAAATTATCTTTATATTGATTATTGCAGTGATAAAAAGCTTGTTTGGAATGTATGCTTTCTCTGTATATATTGGGAAAGCTATAAAGTAATAAATTGCTATTGTTGCATAAGGCTGTCCAGTAATAATCTCTTCAGTCAGACTTATTATTCTGTAATTAAACCAGATCTAAGCAAGATACAATTTGTTTTTCTATTGCCTGAAATAATAGGAACCAGGAGGTTAACCAATACATTTTCTTCTAGGTCAGAGAATACGAGTTGAGGCGTGACAACTTCTCAGCCACTGGCAACTTTGGCTTCGGTATTCAAGAACACATTGACTTGGGTATCAAATACGATCCCTCTATTGGTATCTATGGTCTTGACTTCTACGTTGTACTTGGCCGACCAGGTAAGAATAAAACCTGTTTGGTTATTTTTTAAATTATTAATCTGCATTTTTATCAAGCCAGTAAGAGTTTTGGATCAAAATATTGTTGAGGTTATATGCTAACTTTTTCACAAGAACTCGTATTATGTCTGATATGCAATTTAGTTGCACATCTGTTCAAGAGTGACGTCAAGAACATAACTTCACTCTGTAAAAAATGTGCCATAATAATTACTGTATTTATAAAGAATATACGGTTTAAACCTAATATTAATTAAAATATGGTGCACATTTTAATAAACTCATATGGCAACTTCTCCTAAAGTATTCTTTGTAACATATTTTTAAATATGTTTTTTTTCTTTCCAGGATTCAATGTAGCACACAGAAGACGCAAGACTGGCAAGGTTGGATTCCCCCATCGTTTGACAAAGGAGGATGCCATGAAGTGGTTCCAACAGAAATACGATGGTATCATCCTTAACAGCAAAAAGTAAACTTAAGTAAACAAAATTTATAAAGGTTATAGTGTTTTATTTATCTTTTCCTATTTTCAATTCAAACATCTTTGAATTTCATTTCCAAAATCCAGGAGCCAATACTTAGTCTGTTTATAGGGAACAGGCTCATTAAACCACCATGCTTCCATTTAGTTGTCTTCCAGATAGATTTACATTAACTACTATATTATAGTACTCACCTCTATTACATGCTGGGACAGGATAACTAAAAAAAAGTTAGTGTTACAGTGTATAATATGTTTAACTCTGCCTATCCTTTTGAACAATTTGAGATACAATAATTATGTAAACTAAAATGCAATTTTTCAACTTCTATTTCCTCGCGGTATTTACTCAATCCCTTATAAATAAATTTCAAGTAATTGATAATAATGTGTGTTGATGAAAAAGGAAAGCAAAGCAAAGGTACACTTTTAAATGCTTGAAAGAGTGGCTGAACACCCACACTGTTCACTTATTACGTTATACAATTGAAATAGGTATTCATTGATGAAAATCGCACCGTAAGGCTCTTAAAATATATGTAGGTACTGAAGACTACATAAGTAATTAGGTAGGTATTACCGTTCGCCGTAAATATAATTGACTTCAGATGAATGGCAGACGGGCTCGTGCATAGTAGTGAGACGCTACGAGTGTGACTGCATGATTTTGGATTTGATTCCTGAGGTCACAGAAGAATTATATAATAATATATAAAGATAAAGATTAGTTGTGCGGCTTCTGTAATTGTTGCGTACATTTTTAAATTTGTTGTGCTTATAGTTTTTTAATTATTTCACAAAAACATTTCCTGCTGGGGTAATGTTACCCCAGCCAGACCTTTTTCTTTCTTATGGGAATATTTAAATAATTACTAGCTATAAAATTACTTGTCTAGATGAAGTAAATGTTGTGCCTTGTTTTGTATTTGTTCTTTCATCGACAGTTACCATTTTCGACAACATCTGGTCTGGCCCTGGGTAACGCACACACCAGAAAGGGACTTCTGAAAGTCAACAAAAAATTAAATGTGAAGCTATTTGCTCATTCCAAAGTACGGAGAAGAGCAAGAAACTCCATAGGTTACTCTTTTTCAATCAGGTAGAATTGTAGTCGGGCTCTATGGTTTTTGCTAACCCATGGATAATCCTTACTTCCTTACTATTTAGAATATTATAAATCGGAAAGTGAGTTTGTGTTTGTTTGTTCCGCTTTCACGCCGGTAACTACTAAACCCATTGCTTTGAATTTTTACAGACGTAAAGTTAGAAGTCCGGATTAAATAATAGGGTACTTTTTATCCCGGAAAAATGTGATATTCCCGAGGAAAAACAAAAGTATTGGTATAGATGGCGCTGTGTGTATTGGTATATGTATAGGCTACTTTTTATCCTTTTGTGACGCGAGTAAAAGCTAGTATTATATAAACTTATCGACCTTGGAAGTACCAGTAAGTAGTTCCCCTATACTTAATATACTCTTTGGTAGATGCACAATTAATTATGGTAGATAATGCAGTTATTTCAGTTGTTATGGTAACATACCCAATGTTTGGTTGTTTAGCAACGAATTCTGATCGCAATAGACAAGTTTAGTTTCATTATGAACGATTTTTTATAGCGTATATTACTTATTTGTTATTTAAAATATAGGTTAAATATGGCTTCGAGATTCACAGACGACGAAGATGATGTTTTGGCGCCAAAGGAACCGCAGGTCACTTCTTTAGAACCTGAAGAACGTAAAGCAGCTCGATCCCTCCGTATAAAAAGAAGACAGGATGCACTCAAAAGGTAGGTACTATGAGATAAGTATAGGTGATTTAGCTACCTACCTATGCTGAAAGTACAGATAACAGTTTTCAATAATAGGTACATGGTACATATTAAAAGCATCATCACTCGGTCTGAGTCAGTGACTAGGTATCATTAATTTAGGCACACCTTTACAATTTTTTTATCAATGGTAAACATAAACGTTCTTACCTAACCATGACTAGAATAATCTTAGTAATATTTAGTAGTTACCTACAAAGGAGGACTTGCAGAGGGATAAGTACTCGCCATATAGGTAAATTCAACAAGGTATTAAAATATTAGTTCCATAACTTAACAGAGCTGATCAGCCTGCTGAGGAAGCTGCAGCGGAAGAAGAACCGAGTCCCATAGAGCAGGCGACATCCACTGCTGCTGAGGAACTACAACGACTGGCGTTAGATGGCGCTGCTAAAGTTACCAATGTCAAGGTCACCACTGATGAGCGCGAAGTTATCAGGCGCACAAATTTCTTTGAGAAAATGTCAAGTAAAATATTTTATTTCCTTTGCTACAATAAAAAATAATAGAAATTAAGTACCTATGTAATTAGTTGCCTTCATGACTTCATGAGTGATACTAAAAGGAACCAATCATACATTAATCATTTTTGTAGTTAGTCTGTTAGGTACTTACCTACATAGTAGGTATTCACTATAAGTACTAGGTATCTACCGACCTACCTACTTGCTATCTACTTACTTGAATCCTTCATAAGTTATGATCTATCTAAAAGTTCTTTTAAATGCGTAGGTTCATTACAAAAGATTGAGGAGGAGGCAATTGAAGCACAAACACAATATGAAGCTATTTCGGAAAATTGGGAAAAAATGTTAGAAATCAAAGATCCTTTAGATATCGACGCTGAGATGAAAGAACAGAAGAAAACATGCGATGCATTGCTTGAACAAAAAGATGCACTTATTGCCGAACTTAAAAGTGATCTGAAACGGATGGATGAGGCTTATTATGAAGATTTGGAGAAACAGGTTGGTAGTTTATATGTATACCTACCTTTCACCATAAGTTTGTTTGTGTAATCGCATTTTTTTCGAAATAAGACAATCTCGTACTCAACTTATAGTCAATGTTGAATTGTGATTTCTGAGCAACGGTTTATCGGGTTAGATGATCAGCATGAAAAATTCACCACATCGTAAAACATCTGGTAATTCTACAATAACTTACCTACATCGCGGGACGATCTCCGGCCACGGTAAGCGCGGGCCTGCGGACGACGAGCATGGGCGGCGAGCGTACGGCGCGTCGCTTTCCGTGCGCGCCTTAAAGAGCCATCAGACCACCACGGATGGGGCCCAACAGGGCTGATGCCGATTCGGAGTCGCGGAGAACCTAACGGGTTACCGGGGCTCCGGCTCGAAGCACAGGAGAAGGAACGGGTAGTTTTTAGGCAGTAAGAGTCTGACACTCCCTCCCGCCTCACCCAGGCGGAACAGTCATTCGATGATTTTCCCCCCTTAAAAAAACCTACATATGTAGGTATGTACCTACATTTTAGTTTAAGTTTTTTCCAGGATCACGACATCAAAGAATTATCAGACAGAATCGAGAAACAAATAACAATAATGCAAAGAGCTTATGCAAAGCAGCTGACTCTCATTGAAGCAGCAGTTAATATCGAAAGGCAAGCAATGACGGAACATAACAACAAGAGATGGGAGGCACTCCACAAACAATGTGACAAAGAAGAAGTCGCTCATATGGAGTACCGATTCACACAGGTAATCAGACACTTCTACTACTTGGGATTGTCTCGCAAAGGCAAATTTCGTGGCGTTTTTCAACAATTTCAACTCGACAAGTGAACTCCATCGCGATCCGCAATGTTATTGGTTGTGATAATAATTCCGAGCCATTGGTCGGGTCGCCTGTGATTACGGGTGAGAATGCGATCGAGCTTACTTCGAGAGTTCGAATTGACATCTTACAGAATAGCCTAGCAGGCTGCAATGCTATCTGATAATCCTGAACCTTTTAAACTGCGATCTCCTGGATTAAGGCTACCGAGCGTTGAGATTGAGAGTATGGCAAATCCGCGTATGTAGAGGAGACTCAAAGTCCAGCAGTGCTCTATTACAAGCTGTTGATGAACACTCCTTCGACATTACCTTAATTTCAGCTAGATGAGCACAAGCAAGAAATGGAAGCAATAATGTGGGACCACCACGAAAAATATCGAGAGGCCAAGATAGAACTGGAATCATTAATACAAGAACTGCAACAAGAATTGGAAAAATTAAAGGCTATATGTATAATTAACACTGAGAAAATTGGCTATACGTATCAGGTAATAGTCTCACGATTTATGTGTAGTAACTAATATTAGAAGGTAACAAATACTATACCAGAACAATATTTTTAGGTTCTAAAAAAACGTGAAGAAGAAAATGTGTTTGTCAGATCCCAACAGAAACGGAAACTCAATAAAATGTCTGACATAGCTAATGCTTTGAGATCGAAAATTCGCAAAGCAGCTGAGGATGGTGCCATAGAGGAAATAAAAGCAGACGCTGAAATTAACAAGTTGATGCAAGCAATGGACGATTTAGAGAAGAAATCTGATCATTTTCCCGAGTTAACCATTATAAGTTCTCCCAAGTGTGGCGTATGTGCGCTTCAAGATGCATGGATTTGAGTAAACAGTTGCGACATGGAGAGATAGCATTGCACGCTCATATACTAGCAGAACCACCTCCTCCACCACCGCAGAAACCTCCTAAAAGTCCTTTAAATAAACCTGGTAAGTAGGTATAACTGGTAACACGTCGCTATAAATATGTACTAATTTCTTTAAATTCCCAACGTGTTAATGCAGCAGTTGCCTGTTATATGATTTATCCATATTTATGTATTTCTAGAGGATGTCAAGAAAGGACAAACACCTGCTAAAGAACACGTTATTGATCCTAATGACGGAACTGAGGAAGCAAAAGAAAATTTGGTAATTTATGTAAACTTTATATACTATGTAGGATACATATTAAACAAGTACCTACTCATATTCGTAGACTTAGGTTAACTGATGTAGGTAAGGTACTAAAATATTTGTTGGTTCCAGGTTCGGCATATACTACAACTTGTAGCTGATAACACAGGGTTTTTAGTTGAAGACCGTTTACTAAAACTCATAGAAAAGTATCAGTTGAAGTCCAGAAATTTGTGTACGTTGGATGCAATATTTATGGTGAGTTTAATCTAAATAGCTAGATAGAGAACATAATTACTTCAGTCATTGAGTTTTGTTTTTTAATACATGTAGGCATTAGAAATACAAGCGGAAGAAGATATAGAACTCTTGTGTGGGACGTTCCTGAACTATGCGTTTTGTCCTATTTGCGTCGGTTTGGAAGTGGCGTCGGAATTCGCCCCCGGTGGCTCAGGGGGCTCGCAGGATCAGTTATCTAAAATAGAGTCCCAAGCTGCTGTTACTACTACTCGGCCAAAAGGTACACAAAACAGTTAAACGGAATTCTACTTGCTTCAGCAAGTTGTGCACTTATGTAATAGTATTGGTACTATGTTCAAATGGTAGTTCGTTCGTTTGATAGTAATTAATTTTCTTTGTTTTATAGGTGACAGAATGTCCATGGCCAGAGGTCGTACAAGTGTCGCTGCTCGAAGTGTGTCTGCCAGTACGTCACGATCTGCTCACCTCACCTTCAGGTTTGGAAGTGTCAAGTGGGTAAACATTTTTTCTTATTAACTCGTCGAGTACCGGTTTTATAGACACAATTAAAGAACAATAGGTCGCGGTCACCGGTGACCGCTTGGTGTTTGACAGTTTAAACTAACACTCGTACTTTCAATTTGAAATCTATAGGACAATTCAGAAAAAACTGTACTCTTTTTTAAATGGCCGGCACTGCACTTGTGATTTCTCTGGCGCTGATCGCTGATCAGTCTCGTCTCGTCTGCCTCATTCCATATAATAACTTTTGAATTATGAAGATTTAATTACTAGTATTAATTATTACAATGTAGTAGGTACAGGGCAGACTTATTTCCTACTTCTGCTTCCCAGGGCTCATGAGTTATCACCGGTGGAACAATTGTTACTGACAGAGGCTGATGAAATTATGCAAAAGTACGGAGATTATCAAGGTACTTAAACTATTTTATTTTTTTGCCAACATCTTCAACTTTTAATTTGACTTATGACGTGCGTTTTTTTCGTAAGAAACTGTTATGGTGACTGCGGGGACCCCCGATGGAGGTTCCGCTGCCGGCAGAAGGCCGGGAGGACGCGGCGTTACAGTAGCAACTCAACGAAAAGATGTGAAGACTCCTCCCAAAGATGACGTCAATCCCTTTTTGTGTCCACGTAAGTATCTATTTACTACAAGGTAGTACAGTGTACACTTATTTAGGTACTTATGTAAGTTCTATATAGTTTTAAATACACATTTAAGAAGGTAGGTAGAATAAAAAACGTGCTACAAACATTTCAATCGTATTTTGTTATCTTTCAGTGGGACATGTCCTGGAGATTGAATCAATGCAAGTCTTAACAGCTTTGAGTGAATTCATATCAGTCTTTGTTCCACCTGAGAAGCAAAAACTACATAACATTTTGTAAGTATTTCAATGATTAAAATTATTTTACATTCGTTATTTGCTTTCAAAGGACCTGTTTCTCAAATATTTGAAATTGCTTTGTATAATTTTTTTGCTTTCAATAAGTCTCGTATTCTAATCATTACATATACACATTTTTTATCTACAGACACAGCTTAAAACCACCGAATTTTGACACACCATCTCGCAAACTTACCGAGGAAGAGATCACCAGCTACTGGACGCAGTGGAAAAACATATATCCCCCAGAAAAGGAAAAATTTTGGGATGGGTTGTTGACCGGTCTTAACAATTATTTGGAAATCCTGCAAGGTATTATGTAAAAAAGTTAAAAACTGTTGAACAATGCACTAACAGTAGATACAGTTAGTAGAGTACCGCATAATTAAGTACTTAGGTACCTACTAATTGTTGAAAAAAATAAACTTAGATCATCATCATCATCAACAGCCTATAAATGCCCACTGCTGAGCAAAGCCTCTTCTCACACGGAGAAGGTTAGAGCATTAATCACCACGCTTGCTCAATGCGGGTTGGCGATTTCAAACTTATAATTAGAAATTATAAGTCCAGGTTTCCTCACGATGTTTTTCCTTCACCGTTTGTCAGTGATGTCTAAATAATATTAGAAAGTACATATAACTCGGAAAAAGTCACATTGGTACTTGCCGTTGGTAGGTTTCGAACCCGCACCCTCATGCATGAGAAGTGGGCGTCACCTCCGGGCCACCACGACACTTAGATAATTTTAACGAATTATTGTTTTTAGAACGGGAACGAGTGCACGAGGAGGTGGTGGAACTGCGTCGTCGTAACGTAGCGCTCCGTCAGTTAGTGCGGGGCGCACTTCCCGAATTACCTGCACCGGTGCCAAAGTACGCGCAACCCGCCCCGAAAGCATTTGCCGCACCAGTTCCGGATACAGCACCTACAGCATATGCTAGGCTACCACCTATCTCAAATAGGAATTAATGAAAATTACCATACGCCCCATTTTGGGAACCGCTTTGTTCGCTAAGTCAAGATGTTGAAGAAATCTGAACTTATTCAACAGCCGTCATACATACATTGATTATTGTATTAACTACATTATACCATTGGCATTAACCATTATCATTGGCGTCGTCTTAGATGTTGTTATACTCTTGAGTTATTTACGTACTTGTTTAACTTTATTTTTATTAACTAAATTAGTGAAAAAATAAATATTGAAATCATTGCTTTCGTTTCATTTTATGTATTTTAATCTATTATTACATGCTGAGCATAATAAATAATTGACAAAATTGCTTGAAAAATCTACGCTGTTTTGCCCCGATTGGATTAAAAGGGCATAGAGTATAAAAGCTGAAGAGTTTGATTGTTTGTTTGAATTTGTTAATCTCTGAAATTACTGGTACGAATTAAATACTTAATTATTTTTATGTTTGATAGTCCATTTCAAAGAGTATAATAAGTATAGGGAAAGTCCATTTAAAGAGATGTCATGGTATTGGATGTACGATGATTAAACTAAACGAATAAGTAATAGTATACTGTCTTTGTATCTGAAATGGAAGAATAACTCAGCTCAGCAGTGACGTGAAGGATCTGGGACTGCACATCGACAATAATTTGACGTGGCGTGTTCAGATCGCTGGTGTTTGTAAACGGGTGACGGGCACGCTTCGGTCTTTGTATCGCCTTAAAAATTTTCTTCCGTCCTCCACCAAGATAATTGGTCTTTCCTATCATTGACTATGCTGATGTTTGCTACTACGACCTGAATGCAGATCTCATCAATAAACTGAACCGCCTTCTGAATAACTGTATTCGATTCATCTTCAACCTGCGTAAATACGACCATGTTTCTGCATACCGATTGCAACTAAAGTGGTTGCCCATACGTCAACGCAGGGAACAACGGGCACTAACCACTTTATACTCCCTGCTTAATTCCCCCACTTCTCCAAGTTATTTAGCCTCCTACTTTCAATATGTGAGCACCAACCACAATAAGTATCTCCGTTCCACAAACAATCTCCTCCTCCAAGGTCCCTCACACCGAACCGACTTTCTCCACTCGTCATTTTTCATTCAGTCAGTCTTACTGTGGAATGCGCTGCCCACGGATATCAGGACGACCTCCAGTCGGCTATCCTTTAAATTTAAAGTCAAAGAATATCTTCAGAACAAACTGACACAATCAAGTCTCAATTAACACCCTCCTCAGAAACTTTATATATAATTATATGAAATATATAAACCCATTATATATTTATTTTTATATTATATTTTATATTACATATATATATATATATTTAATTATTTACATATTATATTTATGTTTCATATTAGTATGTAGTATTGGTATGTAGTTTATGTACTAGGATACCTTTATACATATGTACGTACATTTATCACCCTCGTTTTTATTTATTTTTTGAAACCTACTGTAACACTTCTCTGCATCACCCTATGGTTGGCTGGTAGAGAATGCCATTCGGCATTAAGTCCGCCATTGTATACAGTTGTACATAAAGTGTTAAATAAATAAATAAAATAACTGTCGCAATAATACGATTATCTTGATAGTATTCATTGTGAAGCACACTATAATAAAAATAAAGAGAAACTAATAAAATGAATGCTACTAAACGTAGTTGATAATTTTTGGCAACCCCACGGCTGACATGCTTAAGACATTGTGATTGTGACGGATGCGGTGACTTGTCTGTCATGTCATACATAGTGTCATTGTCAGATCACCTGTCGGTGAGGAAGCGTACTTATTCGGGAGTTGGTTAGTAAAGTAAAGCAGCGTCACGATAAAAACGCCGATGCAGATAAATAAAATAGTGAAATTATTATACTCCTAATCTAAAAACGTCTCTCTTTTGATTCCTACATAACAAACTATAAGGAGGCGCGCAGGTTTGTACCACTAAATTCTATAATTATTTTCATGTTTCTTACAATTTCCTGTAATTTATTTACTTATTAAAAATAAATGAAATATCACACACGTAAACGAAATTCTAAACTTTGACCTAAAATATGAATAAATACGTCTAAATCAACATTATTTAATTTGCAGCCACAGTAATCATGATGAAGAAATTGTTTCATCTATTTGGAGCTATTCAATTTTTCTATGGATGTTACTATGACTACGTATATGTCAATATACCAGCAACCCCAACTTCATTTACACCTTATGGAGGCAAATTCAAATATTTAACATACCTAGATGCGGTAAGTCTTATGTAACTATTTGAGTTATTGTTGTGATAAAAAGAACAATAACATAATCATTGGCTTCGAGTTTTATCATATTATTATGATAGTTTAACAATGTTATTTGATTTACAGATGATACAAACTGCATATTTCACCTTGGCGTTCCTCAATGATATTGTTGGAAATAATGAGCCATCACCATCAGAGAAGCCCCTCATCAGGAGATTGAAGGACAGAGTGTTTAGTGCTCTAGCTTTCCCATTGGCAATATTTGTTGGAGTATCATTCTGGGCCATATATGCCATTGATAGAGAGTTAATCTTGCCCAGAAGCATGGATGCTTACTTTCCACTGTGGCTTAACCATGTGATGCATACAAATATAGTTGTGTTCATATTGATAGAGCTCCTAACTTCATTCAGAATGTATCCTAAGAGAAAAGCTGGCCTTACTATTCTATCTACTTTTATGATTTGCTATTTAATTTGGGTACATGTGATCTACTTCAACACTGGTATTTGGGTGTACCCAATTTTGAGTGTTCTAAACTGGCCACTGAGAGTAGGTTTCTACTTATTCTGTCTTGCGTTTGCTTGTGGTGCATACTGTTTAGGAGAAAAAATCAACAAAGCAGTTTGGTCCACTGAGGTTGAAAAAACAGTAAGATCTGGAAAGAAAAAGGCTAAATAATAATTGAGGTCGTGATTACTTAGCTAGAATAGCCTGGTGGTAATCTCACTACTTGTGAGGTTTGTAATTTGTTTAAGATATTCTTATTGGTGGATGGTTTATGAAGTAGGATGCATTTTAATTATGGCTTTGGAAGGAAATTTAGATTTTAGAATTGAGAAAGAGTAATATAATAAGTAAACCATTTGCATTTATTTTATTATTTGATCTTAAAGGAAGTGATAATAAAAACCCCATAATATTTTTATTTATGTAATGAGGTGCCTATTGGTGCATCTGTATCCAGTCCAAACATTTACCTACATTAGAGATGTTTATAATAATATGTAGAATGATATTATTTTATACACACCATTCATTAATACCTAGTTGTGTGTAGATATTGTGTATTTCTTACTAGAAGTGTTCTTGTGTACTCATTTATGTCTACATTTGAAAATGTGGCGTTCTTTTTATTGTATGATTTATTCTAGAAGTATTTGACCCATTAAACATTTTTATAATTATAATAAAAAAATGAAAACCATTTAAATTCATAAACAAAACCTATTTACAGAGATCTTCTTGCGTAAAGACGAGACAGTGATTTCTGTCTTAAACAATGAGTAAAAAAAAATTACGTGACTTTGAGCTATTTAATTTTAATTGTCGTGTTAACATGTCGTGATAGAGAAACGTTTCGTTGTAATAAACCGTAACAACCGGTTTTTCATCCACCTACATAGGTACAGTTATTCAACTTAGTAATATTCAAATATTAAATTATTATTTCAACAAGGCTATGTTTTATCTACTGAATGGTCCTCAATGCGACTTGTTTCTTGATTACGTAATTATAATTGAGATAACCACTTATATTACAATGATAACATGAAACAGACATTGGTTGTGAATGAATTCAGCAATAAATATACTATTTATTCAGAAACGAATACTCATTGTTAGCAGCTATAATTAATTTCGCTGCTAAAGTAAATGAAGGTTTTGTGAGTACCAATTTTAACGTACAAATAAAGATTTAACCGTTTAAATAGTTAATTATATAAATAGGTACTTATGTATATCGTACTGTAGTTAAATCTAATCGTACTGGCTAGCATGACTTGATTCTTTATTATCTATAGTAATAATAATAATTTACGTGTCTCTTAAATATTACGTCAGCATTGAAAACATGTAATTGTGAAGCTTTAATATATTAACGAAAAACAAATTAATCGCTTATTGGCCTGAATATTGTGAGAGTGAACGATAGATAACGTAATATACTAAAAACCGCAAGGATATTCGTATTTCTCAAATGTTGATTGATACTAAGCTTTATTAGTATCGTAAATATATTCATATTCGGATACTCTTACTAAAGAGTCACAAATTGTTGAAGTATTTTTAAGAAGTAAATAAAACGAACTTGATAAATCAATGTAATTATAAAGATAATTCTTTGATATAGAGAATATCATTCCAAAGTTCCAAACAGGACGATAAGAACTAATTAGAAGTGTTACTCATTTGTCTATTATCTGATATGTAATTGTTATTATTTATTTTGTTTTTTATTTTATTGTAACCTTGATAAAGAAATTGTTGATTACCGCTAGAGATTGATAGAAACCAGTGTTAAATTTAATATGGTTTAATAAACATTTTATATTTTATTTAATATTTATTTTTATTTATGAGAAATACCAAATATTGTTTCGATAGATTAACGTTGTTGGCGTAGATTGGTAGACTTAGGTATATTTAAAAATAGCTCTCTAATTCTCGATAGAAATGGCTAGCAAGAGAAAATCAAAATAAGGCTTATTGTTTGAATGCGTTGTTGTTGATCAAGGACCGGCTTATGATGTGGTTATGCACTAATTCTCTCTAGAATTTACTACACGCCTTGGCGATTATGATTGTGGTGGACTTTGACATCGTAACGAACTCTGTTTCTATGGACTTTGGCTCATGACTAACTACTAATATAAGCCGAAGGTCGTCGACTTTGGTATAAAAATAATCAATTTCGAGAGAATGATGCGATGCGATCAAAGTTCTACTTTAGGAACAAATTTGTTGAGTCAGAAAATAATATTTGAGCGTCGTATCTTGTGCATATTGTTTGCCCTTTGGTGCCTACCTATTTTGGTCCAGTGCCTATTCTGCCTAAATAGACAATGAAGTGTTCAATCACTGTACGAATGAACTTTAAGCATCCAAACATTATTGTAAGAAAGCAATAAATTTTATATAAGAAATAAATTGTTTATAACAGCGCGGTGCGTTTTATTGTGACCTTCATACTAATTCCCCGGTTTCGTGTCTTGACTGATTGCTTCTACACAATAGAACAGGTTGTAGACAATTAAAAGATTTTCTTCGATAACTTGTTGCTGATAATTAATTATATTATTAGTGTCTGGTCTTAACCTACTGCTATAGACGTTAAAATCATGTTGAAGGAATTACAAACAACTTTTTAAGCATAAATACGAATTTATTTCTGAACAAATTAAGTACATTCAAGTAATAAAATACTCGTCAAAATCACAATAAAATAAAATACATAAACATTACGATTAAACCCAATAGTGTATTATAATCTAAAATATTATCACTTAACAGGACTAGAATATTCAATTATGCAATATTAACTAAAAAGTCACTTTCAACGCCATTATATTATGCAACCTTAATTAATACAATACAATGATTCAATACCTATAACAACACTTCAATAAAATACTTAAAATAAGGCAAACATTATTATGGCGAGATTGTGAACACGACAAGCTATTTAAAGAACAATTCATGTTTTATAAATGCCTTACAGAGTTCTATAATTCTTATCTTTACATTTGTTTTTCTTATTATGCAAAACAATTATAAATAGACACACCAGAAAATAAAATAAAATTTAATTATTTCGTCAACTTTTTTGCAATATTCTTTATCTGTGGACCTTGACATTCGCGCCAATATTTTGTAAATAAAATTATCCTTATTACTACTTCTACAGGATCTTTTTACATAAATTACTATATATATAAACCTACCTTTTCAGATTTACAAATGATTTCCATACCTACGATTTAGGTAACACTAATAACGATTTCATTAATTTTGCGTCTGATCAAATTTTAATACAAAAAATATATAATATCTATATCAATAGGGTTGCTATCTGGTCAATGTAAATTATTCTTTATTTTGTGCTCGCAATGTGCTCATATCTCTAATTCCCTATTAATGGGATTAAACATGCAAATAAATAAAAATAAACCTTGCCATACAGCAACCCTATTCATGCATCGTCTATAAGTAAAAAACTTAATCTATCTAGAAACTACAATCTATATTATTTATTTATTATTTCATAGCCATTTTATTATTGGAGTGTTATTTTAATATAAGTCCTATTTAATCGAGCATAAAGTTGATTCTTTCCTTTTTTATGATTGGCATGTTAGGAATAGGGAAATAAGTCCTAAAATAATGGGACCATTGAGAAACAAAATATTGTTTCTACAAATTAATCTATGGTTTCTTATTTTGAATAAACTCATTCGAGATCAAATCAAATGTTTCTATATGAAATAAATATGCAGTTACAATAAGTAAACTAAAATATACTGGTTAGATTAGATGTGAATGCATTCTATTCATGTAAGTAGGTAAGTAGTGTTACATGATAAATAAAAACGATTAGTGGAATAGTTGCAAAATTGTTACTGCTGCTAGTTCATTTATTATTTGCTATTTTTATTGCTTTTCAATGTGCAATCTATAAAATTTTAATACTTATAGTAAGTTATCGATATGAAGAACTGTTATTTTATAATAATACTAATGTATAGCTGTATTATCGGTAGAGCTGCAATGGTGTTAGGTTGGTCATTTACATTTATTCGTAATATTTTTACCTACTGGCCTATAGCACTGGTTTGCTCTAGGCATGCGGTAGGCACAGACTGTTTGTGCGCGATGTTGTTATAATAAATTACATATAAATAAGTAGCTTACGGTTCCATAAATACATTTCACTGCACACTTATATAAATCGTTGGCTTACTAACTTATACTAAACATGACCGATTTAGGCGATTACAGTTTATTCTAGCATTTGTTCTATACTATTTGCAATCACATTTATACACAATTTGGAATGGCAACGTGTCTATGTAATGTCCGTGTGAATGTGGAAGAATATTGTAAGTTACTTACAGTGACCAAAGGCTGACTTTATTCGAAGGCAGCTTAGTCGCATTGCGATGAGCTACGTCTTCACTTTACGGGAACTCTTGTAATGGCCGTTCTTCTTCCAGCCATTGCCCTGCGACGCCTCACCGTTCATGACGCGGGTGCCAAACGATGTCGTCTTGCTTTTAGTTTCGAACAACACGTCCGAATCCGTTTCACTTCTGATAAGTCTTTACTTGTAACTGTAAAAGAATGGAGATTTGTAAATTGTTTTTTATTTATAACAAATAATACGGTATTGGGCTGGGATGGCATAGCTTTGGTAAAAAAAACTAGGAAAATTGACGGGACTGTGTTTTATGTGGAAATTCATTTTATTGCTTATGACAATTATAGCATGAGTATGAAAACACAAAATCTGACTAAATGTGTGTGTAGGTATGTCGGTATGGTTTAAAGTTTTTTGCTGAAGTAGGATGAGTAGGCAGAATGCCAATAAGCATGACATAGTGACACTGAGCGATAAGAGATTATACCTACCTACCTACTGATCAGATGTTATTCTCATTCTTGATTATAAATATTGAGATTTATTGTGCAAAAGTCAAGGCTAAGCAGCTCAATCTACTCTAATCTGTTAACTTTTTTTTTAGATTTTGAAATTAAAGCCGTAGGTAAATGTAAATGTAGTGAAAAGCTTTGATAGATCGCAGTAGTTTGTCGATATCATTCAGAGTGCCAAGCACGAATAACTATCGCATTCGTAACGTAATAAGTATCGAGCGCGTTCGGCGCTCTGATTGGCCAGCTCCAGTTTTCCAACCAGCGGAAAAATCTCCATTGCTATACAAAGACCTCTTCTTTAAGTTCTCTGTTCGTTATTTATTCAGTATTTACATTACATTGTAATTTTAATGCCATTTAGCGCTTGTCTACTTGTAGAATAGAAACCCAAATTATATGGAATTGGCCTTAAATTTTGACACTTTTCAGTGTCATCCCCATACATTTAGTTTTCTACTGTCTTAGTAGACAAGCGCTAAAGTGGCATTTGGTTAAAGGCACAGGCGTTATAGGGAGGACATCATTATCAGCATTATATCAGCCACAGGACGTCTCCTGCTAAATATAAATCCTCATCTTGCTAATCAAAGGATAAGTCGTTCACTGCTGAACATAGATCTCCTTACTCAAAGAGTGAGTAACATCTGTAATTGTAGATAAAGTAATGATAGTATATAAGAAAGCAGGCGGTCGTACAATATTTACATGGTTTCTCCTCGTGGTCTGCGAGCGGTAGCAGCCTGTACTTGGGGCGCGCGCGCGGCTTGCGTGGCGCGCACAGGCGGCGCAGCGCGCGCGCCACCGCCCACCCGCCCGCGCCCGCGCCGCACAGCGCCGCCACGCCGCCCAGGCTCGCGTATACTACTGACCATTCTGGAACACCAATAAAAAATTAATAACAATGTTTATAATAACTATCGTGAGATATACTAAAATCTCGGGTTACTCACATGAATATACTGAGAAAAGCTCTACTAGTTTCGAACCACAGAGGGTTCTTCTTCATGAGCAGCGTGCACGGTCGCGGCGACGTCGCGCACGACAGTGACCTTTTCTCAGTATATTCACGTGAGTAACCCGCGATTTTATATATGAGATTCAGATTGAATAACAATTTTCAACATGTGATGCGAAAGACAGTCAGAACTAAAGTGGAATTAGTAATAGAAAAAATTCAACACATTAATTTTCTTTTATAAAACGTTCACTATGTCTACGTCAAAGCATTTATTTCCAGTAAACAATAAACAAGAACTTGAAACATGAAAATGGCTTTGGTCGTCAGTCAGTTCATTAGTTCAGTTCGTACATTAGTTAAGTGACGGTAACTTTCAATTATAAACTAAAGATGCCCTTTTGTAAGAATGTTGTTTTCGGGAATGCCATAGTCCACGAGTGGGACGAGACATCGGGGTGGTTTTTACGCAGTAAACCCGACAATCCCCTTAGTCTTCCTCAAATGAGGGGTTTCATGAGAATTTTCCACTTTGGTAATTAAAGGTAATAAAAACACAGTTACCACAATCAGGTTGCGCATCAGGATCAAGCTGCGAGAGTAGACTCTGCATCCAGAAGGCGTCGCAGCGACACGTCCTGGTGGCGTGGTCGCAGACGCCGCGGCCCGAGCACGCGCTCAGACAGCGCAGCGAGCGCACGCGCCCGCCGCCCCACGCCCCCCACGCACCCGACGTGCCGCGGACCAGCGATAGAGCGCGGATACCTTCTACTGCTTTACCCTGCCGAAATTGACGTTAAGTTAGTCTGATTGCTTTGGTTAAGTTGCAGATCATAAAGTGTAGAAGATGAGACAAGAGTTCCGCACTCTTAAATGAAGCGCGACTTTCAGTAATTTACAGGGAGACTGAGACGAAGAAATTCTATTCAACTGTTGGTTATTAGGATAAAATCAGTAATAATGAAAACAATTTATTGATATAAAAATAGTAGTGGTATTTAAAATTAAAATACATTTTGTATAGCTGAGTAAGAAAAAGTAAGTTACATAACATAACACCACGCCTTTTATCCCCGAAGTGGTAGGCAGAGGTGCAAATTACGGTACTTAATGAAACTGTACAATGTAACACCCACTTTTCACTATATGTTATGAGTCCCATAGGGGGTGAGCCTATTGCCATATACCGGGCACAATTCCAGACTCCGTGCTACTACTGAGATTATTTTTTAAAACCCAGTAATACTTTGCCCGACCCGGGAATCGAACCCGAGACCCCTTGCCCGGCAGTCGCACTTGCGACCACTCGGTCAACGAGGCAGTCAAAAAAGTAAGTTAAAAGCATTAAACTGTCAAACACCAAGCGGTCACCGGTGACCGCGACCTATTGTTCTTTAATTGTGTCTATAAAACCGGTACTCGACGAGTTAAAATATTATTTTTCGTTTACCTGTTCAGATAGGAAGAAGATCAGCTGCGCATTTCCAGAATCAATTTGTCCATGAACTTCGGTAACGTTAACTCTAATATCGTCCTTGAGAAGTAAGGTCATCTTTTGCACTAATGAGTCTAATTGACTCTGTGTGAAGGCTGATATTGGAATGTTCATGGTTAACTCCATAAGGTTCATTTCCAAAGGATCAGGTTTTACTTGGACACTCACTGTGTCTTTGTCTGATTCTCCTTGGTCATCCGTTACTGTTAGTTCGTATACGTATCTCCCTGCCTCTATGTTTGTTAGCTGTAAATTAGTTTTAAATTAATTTTCAATTTATAAGTACATTACCAGAGTCATTTTTATAGATTTTTAACTCAAGAAAATAAACCAAATAACTTAAAAACCCTTGTGCATTGCGCTAAAACTTATTTTAATTGCGCAATAAGCAACTTATGAACTAAAACCTCACCATTAACACGGGTTGTGTATCAGAATTCAGGATAACAGTGCCGGCAGCGAGGCCAGATGGTGAACGACTCCATTTCCACGACACTATGCGGAAATCATCTGAGGACTTTGATCCATTCAGTATCAAAACCGATATTGGCAAGTTTAGCACTAAGTCACCGCCTGCATCTGCTTTTGGAGGACTGTTTTTATCTGTAATTTGAAAATAAAAAATAGATGAAAAGTCAGAAGAACAAAAATGAGGTATAAAGCCACGTGAAGCTAAACCTTGGCCGCCTTCGCTAAGAAATTAAGACAAGTCTGCATAGGAAATAAATATTGGAAACTACACTCTACTTTTACAGTTATTAATAATACGATACAAGATTACCCAAACTAGGTATTATCTCATAACATTAAACACGTTAATCTAGTGTATTATTAGTACTAACCCATGAATACATTTATAACAAACCCATGCAATAAATAATATACAAAATGCCAATATTAATTACTATTGAATCCATTGCACATAGCTAATTTTAACGGGCAATACCTTAGAAAAAAATAATTAAATTATAGAAAAAAGTAAAAATAACAGAGTAAAAAGTGCTTTAGTGCATTGGATTTAGAAGTGCAATTAGAAAATTATGTACAACTTACTTTGCGTGACGGTGACGGTGACATTATCAGATGCAGAGTTCCCGTTATCGTCGAGTACGGTCAAGGAGAAGACGTATTGTCCTTTAGTGAGTGCGGTGGCATTCGCGACTGACTCGTTAAAGTTGATAATGTTAGAGTTAGTAGGACCGGAGAGACAACGCCAGGTGTACGCGACAATCCTATGGTCATCGTGCGATGTCGAACCGTTCAGGATGATCCAAGTTTGAGGTAGTGATATGAACTGTAAGTACACACCATTATATCTACGATAGAGTTGTTTAGTTGAAGTTATGTACTATGATACGAACCACAACCATAGTTTATGAAAGATAGATCAATGTAAAACTGAATTAATTCATTTATATTTATTTATTTATTTATTAACGCTTCATGCACAAAGTGTACACAAGGTGGACTTAATGCCGCAGGCATTTTCTCCCAGTCTGACCTTTGGGTGATGCAGAGAAGAGTGAATGGTAGGAGCAAGAAGCAAGCAACGATTTAATTGAGAAAATAGAAGATTATACTAACATATTTCAAATATGAACATAAATATAATAATAAATATATACCTACACACGAGTACACTGCAATATACATACATACATACATACATACATAGACTCATAGCATATAATATAAATATGAACATAATTACTAATACTCTGTAAATAATTATTGTGATGATTCAGCCAACCTCTTCAAGAGATTTCCTCTCTTATATTATAATTACCATTAGTTTACATTGATCAACCTTTAGCATTAACTTCTTGTCTGTTGATATATGAGACACAATAGAAAACACATTTTGTCTCGCGTAGTTTTGTGTTCTGGTAGACAAGAGGTTAAACTGAAAACTGTTACCATACTTTATTTCTAAAATCAGTTTTAAAACTACAAATAACCGGTGACAAATGATTCAATATGAATATCATCTACTTATTTAGTTAGTTGTGAATAGTGTATAATAATAACAAACGATTGTTTAGGATATCCGTTACGATAACTTGTATAGATCGACTGTAACATGCAGTGATTATATTTTATCATACTGATAGCCACCCTCTGTAATTTTATGAGCTTATGTATAAGTGTTTTAGTAACTATACACCTAAGGCAGCATGCATGTGCCTTTGATTATATAATGATAAGATGAACGAAATACGTTTAAAAAACTTACTCGAAAAAATAAAAACGTCAACGCAGTGTCCAATAAAAAAATATTTTAAGAACAAATTCAAAAAGATTGTTAAATATTTTTTTTATCGGAGATATACATTTGACGGGAGGATTTTCGTTGTACCTGGTATCATTTTTGCACCGTGTAAGCTACGAGCCGCACGCACACACATGCAAAAAAATTTGCAACGCCATTCTTATTGTTATTGTATAGTGACGCTCCATCTACACATTTTATAATCAAAGACATATACTGCATAAGAAATAAATAAAGTGAATCATTAGTTCCAGTATAGACATATACAATTATACATCTTATGTTAATTTTAGAAAGACATGTTAGGTAGATATTTATAAAACTAATAATAACAGTGAGAGCTAATATCAACTATAACCTATTTCCCGATATAAATAGCTAAAAGATAACCATACCTATACATATATAGAAACTATAACTATACGTACGTCTAATATGTACGTCATTTTCATACGTAAGTACTGTGTGATGTTATTACTAGAAAGTTTTTGTTAGGTCATTGGACATTTTTCATCTATCGGTTACCTAGATCTAGAACATGTTTATTTTATTTTAGTAAAACTCATTTCCTGCCCTACTACCTATGATTTGCTCTCATAATTACTTCACGCTTCGATAGAGCGATAGCAAAACGAGCTGATAAAATATTTTATTTCTATGTCTATAAATAGAAAAAAATGTCTATGACTTTATTTGGATTACCTAATAGGAATATAATATGCCTTTAATTGGGATAATGACAGGGTATGAAAATTAAAAATCTAATTAGTCCGTAAGTTCGGTAATAAAAAAATATTAGACACGTATTTTTTATTTTGTCGTATAATAAAACAATATCTAGATAAAACGAATCAAAGTTTAGGAGTGGGGGCTAAAACGTCATTTCTACGTATAAAATGTACATAGAAGTGACGTCACGACATTTCAAATCAATATATCGTCGAAAGTATTCCTTTCTGTAAGAAAATAAATACGTGTGTAATGATTTAAAATAATCTACCAGACGGACATTAAAATAAAAATTAGGCATCTTTAGAAGGTAGGAAGAAAAGAACATAATAATACAATGTAACACCCTTTTTTCTCCACATATGAGTCCTATGTATTAGAGGGGTAAGTATTTCTCTATAAAAATACATGAATTAATTGTGGAATAAACTATCTAATGTAATATAGACTAAGGTTTTGCTTATCGAATTTAGACCTTATTTCCTAAAACTTTCATTATCCGATTCATCAAATTTCTGAGCGATAGCGTTGCGTCCGATCGATTTATTATTATCAGTATTGCTATGTATAGGTAAATGACCCGTCCGCTGCACTTGTAAACAATGGCAAAATTTAGAAAAAAACCTATTAGCTTTACATTAATATTTTTGTTAACATCTCATTATGGTAAAAGAAACAAAAATAATTTAATGATGTTTTGTATATTGATAGATTCTTTCACATACCAAAAAAAGGCTTTGAAATTAAATATTGTCAGCCCTAATCCTTACTAATAAATCGGAAAGTGAGTTTGTTTGCTTGTTCCGCTTTCACGCCGTAACTACTAAACTGATTGCTTTGAATTTTTGCAGACGTAAAGTTAGAAGATTAAATATATTTTTATATTCAATAATAGGGTACTTAGATTAAATAATAGGGTACTTTTTATCCCGGAAAATTTTGATATTCCCGAGGGAAAACAAAAGTATTGGTATAGATGGCGTTGTGTGTATTAGTATATGTCACAGGCTACTTTTTATCTTTTTGTAACGCGAGCGAAGCCGCGGGTAAAAGCTAGTATTTTATAGTTAAGTTGAAAATCCATTAAAGAGAGATAATTTACGGTAGTTTAATGTCCTAGTCAATACTTACAGATTCTGCTCTGGCTTCAGCTACGGGCGGAGTGTTGGTCGGTGGTTTGACGAAGACATGAACATCTGCAGTGGAGGACTGGCCTGAAGAATCCGTCACTTTCAACACGAACGTGTATACGCCTTCCGATAGATTTGATAACTGGAATTATATGAAAATATTTATTTATTTATTTATTAACGCTTCATGCACAAAGTGTACACAAGGTGGACTTAATGCCGCAGGCATTTTCTCCCAGTCTGACCTTTGGGTGATGCAGAGAAGAGTGAATGGTAGGAGCAAGAAGCAAGCAACGATTTAATTGAGAAAATAAAAATATGGTTTTAGCATAAGTAGTACCTCTATGTACTATCAAATATGGACACGGTGGGACATTTCTCAAAATGCTGCATGCACTCGGAGTTTGATTAAATATAGAAAGCGTTAATAACACCCACACATTGAAGTATGAAATCGATAAACTCGACTTCGAGCTAAGCAACCGACTTGTGACGGATTCATTTGACAAGAAGAATGGTAGATACAAATGACAAAAATTTATGAAGTTGCAGTTAAACTTCGTGGTGAATTCGTGGCTCGTGAATGAAAATATGATAAAATGTTGATCTTGTCAACGTTCGACTATTAAACTGTGATGCAACTACTAATCTCTGTCATTCACACAGATAATAGTAATGCTTTAATACGCTTTACATAACATAACATAACTTCACGCATTTTATCCTGAAGGTGTAGGCAGAGGTGTACATTACGGCACTTAATCCCACTGTACAATGTAACACCCACTTTTCACTATTTATGTTATGAGTCCCATGTAATAGAGGGTGAGCCTATTGCCATATACCGGGCACAACTCCAGACTCCGTCATCACATTAATATGTGATGTTGAGCGAAGATACAGTAGAATGCGAGCGAAGTAGGTACATATTTTCATTATAATTGGAGGAAAGCTATAATGAAAAAAACCTCATTAACGGCAAAGGCAATGTCCGATAAAAAATCTACTTGACTAACGATTCTATTATATTTTTGTGGTAAAACTGTAACGAACCTACTTGTTACAAAACGAGGATACATGTTGTACATGAAACACCATGGCATGTGCTAGATTGATAAGTGGTGATAACAACATAAGGATATCATTATAAACCACGTTTTTTCATTATATGCTATCTATAATATTTATGTTAATGACGGGTAGACTTAAATGGAAATGTAACATAGAATAATGCAAGGTCTTCGAAGGGTTGACAACGCCAGCAATTTTTTTTTCTATTCTTGAAAAGTAAATTGCCGCCCATACACTGTCACACACATTTTGTAATTTTTTGTATTCAGTAATTTAATGTATGACCCAGAGATTATTGTGTCGGGACACATTGATTAGCGATATCCGCCGTATAGCGCCACATTTTAAATAATTGCCAATTATATTTTTGTTTCGTTGGTGTTAAGCACCAAGAAGGTTCATTTGCTTAAAAATGTCTAGAAACATCACGAGATAGAACGAACATTAAAACCCGCTAATTAGAGTACATAGAATACTTACTAGGTAATAAATTACTTACTTGTAAATAAGGTGAGTGTGTATTTTGCATGTCGACCGCTTTGTTTTCATCTTCAGCAGATTTGGTCCACTCCCAGGAGGTGATTTCATGGTCGTCAGTCGAGAGGCTCCCGTTTAACGTCAAGTTATTGTTCGGCAAGTATATAATTACGTCTTGACCTGCGGTTAAAATTATTAATGAATACTCATGGTATATTCAAATAGATTTTTCACAAAGAGTGTTTTAATAGTATTTGTCAGGAAAGTAATGATAGAAATGACGTATAACTGAGAAATTTGCTATCACATTTGTGTTTGGTACCTACGTTTTGCCATTATTAATATTATGAGACTGCGCAAGCTAAAATGAAGAAGTCTTGAAGAAGATTGTCATTTACCAGTCAGTCTTCCTCGGCAGTCGACTAAAAGTGCCGCAGAGCGATATTAAACCTTTTACTGCGGACAAAAATTGTTAAAGGCCTCCGCTAGCGTCGGACATCATTGCCCGACACGGCATTCAATGTGTTAAACTAAATATATTAAAGTAACGACGAAATGTCAATTAACTCACCAGCATTAGCTTCAGGCGGATAATCAGTGTGATTCAACACAGTTATATTAGCTGTGGTAGAATTCTTAACATGATCTGAATCTTCAACTGTCAGTTTAAACGTATAGTTTCCAGGTTGCTTCAAATCATTTAGCACTAACGTAGGCCCATCTTGCAAAGGAGGTTGGTAGCCAATGGGCCCAGATGTCAAGTCCCAGTGCCAGGAAATTATTGCGTCGTCATCCTGTTGGTAGGTAAATAAAAATATTGTACATAGATAATATTCCGTGTCTTAATATCTGAACGGGATAGTGCTCATATGATATGAGCACTATCCTATAGTTAGTATTTGAAATACTAACTCAATAAGTAATAACTCAACGCATGCTGTGATGTCCTTCAAATGTTGTGCATTAGCAGTAAGATGTTAATTCCTAATTTTAAGTTAATGATAAAAATGTAGCAACAACTGGATGTCCAAATAAATAAATGCAGCGTCTACATGTTGCCAGTTACGTTATAAGTCTCATGTATGTGACTATCGCCATGCGGGCCATGCCATATGTATATGTTTGCTGTATAATTTTCAAAATCCAAAACCGTCAACATTGCGACTGAGAAATACTTGGCATACAAACAAATATGTAAAAACTCGCAGCTCGTAGCTTCAATAGAAGCAAAAAAACAACAATGTTATCCAATGTCCCAATGATCAACCAATAACATTGATTTACATTAGATTTGAAAATAGATAGACCTAACAAATTTTCAGAAATTGATAAAATCAACAAATATCATTAACAGTCGATTAATGAAGTACTAATTAAAAAATTAAATGTTAGATTTCTATCTAATATTTTTTAATAATTTATTTTATAAGTAATCTGAAAGATTACTTATAAAATAAATAAAAGAAACTTATAAAATAAATAAAATAAAATAAAAGAAAGATAAACTGGCAACACTGGTAGCCGGTTGTCAAATATCGACCCTGCGATTTAATTTAATTTTAAAATTAGTTTTAAGTGATATTATAGTTTTAAATACGTCAAATTATGTTAAATTGCGTATATAAGTATTAGTAGCAGTGTTTTCCTGGTGATGGTGATAAGACTTTATCCACAAAGTTGAAAAGTTCCCGCGGGCTGTCAACGGTCAACGGACGGAACAAAAGTTTTATTCAAATCTTAAAACCAGGGGAGTATAAGTGATAATTATTGTAGTCTATCATTACACAATAATCAAAAGACCATATTTCTTAATATTATACATATCTGTCTTCAGTTTGCGTGATAATTTGTCAACACGACAACGAGAACAAACAAAGAAACTTTACAAAAACTTTACTAAATCTTTCTACTTTAGTGTAAACTTAGACGAAACTAGTCGTGTAATTAATGTTTATAAGCCCAATTTATGACGAATTCAAGCATAAATAACTAAAAACTTGAATCTAGTCATTTCTTTGGCACCTACCTCCTACCTACATTTATAAAAAAAAAAATATATAAAATCATCATACCAATATTAATTAAACATTTCAATTAAAGCTGTCTTTTTTCCTTATTATTCTTTCCTTTCTTGTTCTTATTACAAGATCTTACAGATTAACATACCAACTTCCCTCATCTCAAGTCATCTTCCCTGTCTTTTTGCTGTTCCTTTTTCTTTTATTTCAGAGTATCATCCCTATCAGTATGATGACCAGATCGAAGGAAATGGAGTGCAAACTGAGAGCAGCGCTAAAGGAATTGGAGTCATCGAAGCACCTGTGTAACCAACTGCTACAGGAACGGGACGATAGTGAAGTGGAAGTGACAAATATTATTAATAAAAACACTAATCTCAAAACTGAATTGGCTGAACTTCATATGTGTCACACAGACCTACTTGAACAACATGATATGCTACTCAAAAAGGTTACTACCTTCCAGCAGTGCACTGACACTCATGAACATGCTCTAACACGTATATCACAATTGGAGCATGAATTAAGAGAAGCCTACAAAACAATACATACATTAGAGGCATTTAAACACTCAGTAATATCAGACAAGACTCAGAGCTTATACGAAGAGTTAATTGGGAGTGGTTCTGGTGACACATGTGAGCCGGCCATTACAATAGACTTAACTGGCGATGATCCCGTCACTGTATCAACCGCATGCACCATGCTAAACAGCCACAACAAAATTAAAAAGTACATTAAACTGAATAAGACAATTAAAAAAATTAAAAAGAGGCACAGTCTATCTAAATTAAACTTAAATTTAAGAAAACAAAAAGTTAAACTAGTTAGTGAAATTAAATCTTGCCATAATGAATTAGAAGAAAGTAGGGCTTTATATGACTTGGACATCCAAACTCTTAGACAAGAATTGTTACAGAGAGAATTATTCCTAAACCAGATGTTCCAAAAGTATGAATCCGCCCAATCTGAGATTAATAATCACATGATTGAAGCAGGTAAACTAGTAGACTTAGTAACTTATAGTGCTGAGAGATATGAGTCTCTAGCAAATAACCTTTCTTGTAGTTGTGCTCACACCCTGCCTCCTGAGCCGGAACATAATATACCTGTGTCACATACGGTCACTCAACCAGCTATGACCAGCAATGTTAGTGTGTTCACTGACTCCATAGGAGCAGGTATTGGGTCGCTCATTTCAAATTGCCTCAATTACAGTATAACAAATTACTGTTATAGTAACATAAAGTTTGGTCAGATGATACAAAAAATAAAACAACAATGTATCACACAAACTCAGCCGGTAGTGTTGTTGATGGGTGATAGTACTGGGGTAAAGAAGCGGGATATAGTGGATGGTGTTGATGCTTTATTAAAACCAAAAATAGGAAACATAATAATGTGTGCTTTTCCGTATTCTGACAATTTGACAGAATCACAGAATAAAAATATAATTATTTAAATAATTTAATATTTATGCTGACATGTTGTTGTCATAAAGACAATTATTATTTTTTGACACTAACAAATTTGTTAGTGGTTTTAATTTGACCAAGGAATACATGTTTATTCCTAGAAAATGTAAAGTTTTACTTGCTAGTTTGCTAGCAAATAGTATTAATTTAGTTTATAATAGTTTAAGTGACGGATCTATATTATGTAGACAATCTAATAATATAGAGATTAGCTGTACTTATTATGATAGTACGAAAGAGACTCATGATTTGATGACAAATGTGGGTACTCTGGATAACTTTTTAAACTAAATAATAAGACAACAGAGGATAAACAATTAATGTTACAAATTCCATGCATTGTTAAGGTATCTTCTGGCAGTATATATAAGTCTAAATCTATGAAAGTAGTACATAAGAAGAATAAACAAGAAAAGTTGTTAACATTGTTTAATCAAAATATGCAGGGCTTTTCATCAAAATCTCTAGAAATTGAATTATTTTTAGAAAATTTAATTATGATATTGTTTGTATTACTGAACATTGGCTGAAGGATTATCAAGTAGAATCTATAAATTTTAAAAACTATTGTGTTGGAAACTATTTTAGCCGTCAAACAATGATACATGGTGGTAGCCTAATTTTAGTTAACAATTCAGTGAAATATAAAGAAAGACAAGATATTACATTATTGTCAATAGAGCACACAATAGAGTTGTCCTGTGTTGAGCTGGATAAGCATATTGTAATCTGTGTTTATAGACCTCCTATGTCACAAAATTTTAATAGTTTTAGCTCCATAATGGAAGATGTACTGCACAAAACGTGTTCTAGTAGTAAATGTACCATAGTATGTGGCGATTTTAATGTTGATCTCTTGGAAAATAACTCTATTTGTACTAACTTATTAAGTCTCTTCAAATCTTTTGATTTATCTAATGTTTTCCTTGAGCCCACCCGTATAACATCCACCACGGCAACATGTATAGATAATATTTTTTGTAACTGTGATTATTTACATAAAGATGTTGTTAATAAATTATCATCTGATCACAGTGGGCTGACAGTTAGCTTTAACACCATCACAACTGTTCAAAAAAGTGAAATTATGTTTAGACAGATCTCAAATAAAAAAATTGAGTCATTAAATCATAATTTAAAAAATGATTTATGCGGTCAAATACATGATAGTGAATACCCGAGTGAGATTTACGCCAACCTATTGTCAATTATTAAAACTCAATTTGATAAATTATTCCCTGTAAAACGCAAAAACATTCAATGCAAGTTGGTATTCTGTGACTGGGCTACACCAGGTATACGCATAAGTAGGGAAAGGTTATTTGAGCTTTACGGTATGAAACCATTTAATCATAGTGAGGCTTTTCACATTTATGTCTCCAAATATTCAAAAACGTTTAAATTAGTTTGTAAGCAGGCTAAAGCACTTTACATTACTAATAAAATTAAGACTGCAGAAAATAAAATAAAAACTACCTGGAATATAATTAATGACGAGACAGGTAGAAATAAATCACGTAGTGCTGAATTTAATCTAAATACTGCGAATGGACGTATCAATTCAAATTATAAAGTTGCACAGGAATTTGAAAGTTTCTTTAAAAATATTCCGATTAAAACTACGGAAGCATTGAAATCATCTCCGACTCTTTCCGTTGAACTTCTTAAAAGTAATATCAATGAGTGCCTTTCTGAGTTTCGATTTCAATACACAAACCCCCAAGCAGTAATTAAAGCGTTCAAAGAGATCAAGGTTAAGTCTACTGAAGATCTCTGGGGCATGTCTGTTAGAGTGTGTAGATCTTTATAGAGACTATAGCGCCTCATTTAGCGTTTATTTTAATAAAAGTGTAGATCACGGAGTTTTCCCGGATTTAATGAAACATAGTAAAGTAGTTCCATTGTTTAAATCCGGTGATAGTGCAGAACCCAATAACTATAGGCCGGTCTCTATTTTGCCAGCGCTCAGCAAAGTGTTTGAAAGGCTGATGCTTTCTCAGATGTTGCGTCACTTTAACATGAATTCTATTTTTCATGATCAACAATACGGATTCACCAAAGGTCGCTGCACTACTGACGCGGGAGTAGCTCTAATTAAGCGGGTGTTCGCCTCTTGGGAAGAAGCACGGGATGCCATCGGCATATTTTTGTGATCTTTCGAAGGCATTCGACTGTGTTGAGCATGAGACACTATTGCTGAAGCTGAAACACTACGGCATTCGGGGGACGTCGCTAAATCTGTTGAAATCATACCTTCAGGATAGGCAACTTAAAGTACAAGTAAATAAAGTAAATTCACAGGGTGCTAGCATATCTATGGGTGTACCGCAGGGCTCGATACTAGGTCCATTCTTATTTTTAGCATACATAAATGACTTGCCCCATTTATTTAAAAATGAACCGCAGATGGTATTATTTGCTGATGACACTTCATTAGTTTTTAAAATTAATAGACGCACAAATAGTTATGACGACGTAAATAATGCCCTAATGAAAGTTCATAATTGGTTTACATTAAATAACTTAGTACTAAACAATAAAAAGACAAAATGTATTAAATTTGTTTTGCCAAATGTTAAAAGCAACGATTGTGACATATTATTGAATGGTGAGAAATTAGAGTTTGTAAAAGAGACAACTTTCCTGGGAATTACTGTAGACGACAAATTGCAATGGGGTCCTCACATTACATCATTAGCGGGACGATTGAGCTCTGCAGCTTATGCTGTCTGGAAGATACGACAGTTAACTGACATAGACACGGCAAGACTAGTGTATTTCAGTTACTTTCATAGCATTATGTCGTATGGCATCTTGCTGTGGGGACACGCTGCTGACATTGAATCTATCTTTATCTTACAAAAGCGCGCCGTCAGAGCTATCTACAATCTAGGTCGTCGCGAATCACTCAGAGAAAGGTTTAAGGAGATCAACATTATGACCGTTCCGTGTCAATTTATTTATGAAAACATTATGTATGTTAGGAAAAACCTACAGTTATTTGGTAAAGTGATCGGACAGACACCACTATCAAACTAGACATAAGAATAGATTAAGTCAGCCAATTTCGAGATTAGCGAAAGTAAGTAAGTCGTTCATGGGATTCTGTGTTAAATGTTATAATAAGATACCAGGCGATGTACAACAACTAAATGAATCGAAATTTAAATTATGTATAAAGAAAACTTTATGTAGACAAGCATATTACAAACTTAATGAATATATAGAGGATAAAAATGCTTGGATGCAGGCTAGTCCGGCTCCACAGGATAACTAAAAACACTTGTTTTAATGAAATCGTAAATAATACAGCCATATTGCTAAATTGATATATTGTTTAACTTAGATAACCATTGTAAATGTGAGAGCCCTGTAATTAACTTAATATTAAATTAGATTAGTAGATTTCATTTGTGTCAGCTTGGAGTTGTCATGCTTACTCAAAGGTCTCATTGGCGGTGGCGCGTGCAGTGGATCGCTCGATTCCCTACAATATGGTTGAGTTGGGCGGTGCTGGTGTACGTGTCATGTTCGTGAACGGGCGCCGTCAACTGGGACTGGTCAGCTCCAGACTGTATTACTGTCCTTAAGGTTATTTTCTTTTTTGATCACTTTGACTGGATTTTAGTGTTACATTGTTCTCGCACAATCCAAACAGCAAAACTATGTAACTAGTAAATTGTATTGTGAACCTGATTGAAAAAGAGTAACCTATGGAGTTTCTTGCTCGTTCTTCTCCATAGGAATCTACGCCTTGGAATGAGCAAATAGCTTCACTTTTTGTTTTTGTTGACGTTCAAAAGTGCCATTCTGGCCTAATTGAAATAAATGATTTTGACTTTTGACTTTTGAATCTATTCGCTACCTGAGTTGCGTTATTAATCGAATAATCGTGAATACGAATATGGAACTAGGGGCTAGTATTGAGTCAGGCAATATAATAGGAATATACAGAGTCAAATCACGATAAACATTTTTATTTATTGAGACTGTTTCAAATATTCCACACCAAATTACAATATGCAAGATTTAAAAAAAATCAGCTCAGTAGCGCCATTGGATACCCATTCCGTACCATGTTTTTTTCTTTTTTTTAACAAATTTATTCATTGAAATTTTACATAGGTATGGCCCTAAATATAAACTCGCTAAACTTTGACGTTTGATGTCTAGCGGTGGTTGTAAACAACAGAAGTCGTTGGCGAAATAAATAATTTCCTTACCTTACTAGCACTCCCATCAAGTACAGCAACAGTATTAGGAAGTTTCACAGTTTGACTTTGAGGTGTTATGACAACTTGTGGCGGCGTGTTGACGCGATGTGGTGGTAATACGGTAACATTTGCAAATCCTTCCCCATACGAATTAGTTCCATTAACTGTCACTTTGAATCGGTATTGCCCTTCTGTTAGATCCGTTAGCGTCACTTTTGCACCGTTTTGATTCATGTTACCTAAAAAAATAAGAAACGGTTGAAAATCTAACGCAGTCGAGTAAAATGACGATAACAACAATTAATTATTAATATTTGAAAACCACAATTAACAAATAACTGTATTCCAAGGCAGTAAAGTTAGTTTTCCCATAAAATCAATTTGTATTCTGAAACACTTCCTATGTATTCGCAATATGATTGAATATAGTTACCTTTTAGATTTTGAAAATAGATATAAAAATCAATTTTATGTACATTTTATTGCTTCATTTAAATTCCTGCATATAAACTTATATTTTTATTGCTTGAATAATATATTTATAGTTACCTGTAAAACCTCCTTTTGGTTGATCTACTAGTGTCCATACATAGTTGTAATGGCTCATTGTTGCTTTCTCATCGGGAATAGTATATGCTGCCAAGGTCACTTCATTGTCTGGCAGTTGTACCTAGAGATAAATAAATCGCAAATAATTTGTATAGTTAGGCTAGCATACCAGTCAAAATTGAAGGTCATTATGTAATTAATTTGATTATAGTGAAGGGTTATTAATAGCAAAATCATTAATTAATATTATTTGATTTTAAAAATTTTCTTTGCTATAATAATCAAATATCAAACCTGTTTGGACAAGATAGAAACAGTCAAAGTTTGAATACTTTTCTGAGAAGTAGTTTCAGTTTTAAGAATATCATTTTTTGGATCGGTTTCATCATTTTTCTTTATAGAATCAACTGGTATTGTAGGGCCTTTGGAAAAAGGTCTGATCATTTGAACGCATGCACCCTGCGCATTTTCTTCTGTACCAGGTACACATTTGCAAATGCCATTGCGTAGTTTCAAACCTAGTGGTATGCACACAGAGTTGAAAGGGCAATCGCCGGCATCTACTTCACACGGTATCTTTTCTAGAAAATTATTTGTATCCATTATCATGTCACTATCATTGTTATCTCGGTACTTGTCAAAGTTCCTTGGTTCATCCTCATCCATTGTAGGCAAGTTGTTGAGGAAACGTGATAAAAATGTTGAGGCTTCATCACCGTTGAGTAGGTCATTGCGGTTTATTGAGTACGGAGAGTACACTGACTCTTCTTCAGGAGAAAAATTATTGTTAACCTGTCTGTAGCTTGACTGGTCTAATATGTCTGACCAATTCTCTGTAACATTTTTAATAAATTAAAATTGTAATGTTATTGATAAGGCAGTGAGTCAAATATTATCATAAAATTGTTAGAACTTATCTTTGCCTACATCTAAACAAGAAATGATATGAAACTTAATCAGGCATTTAGTTTAAACATACAAAATAAATGTTTTAATCTAAAATAATAAACTATACATTACCATTCGGTAAAACTGGTTTTACAAGTATCATAGAGACATGTGAGGCCTCCCATTTTCGACTTCCTGTCCTTTGAAGAGGTAGACACAGTTCGTCACTGACACACTCTACATGGAAACACCGCTGGTCATATATGAACACTATATTGCAGGACTCGGACATGCAGCACTCCATCACACATTGCTTTAGGCCCTTTAGACCTGGTTTCTCTGTGTAGTTTCCAGCTGTTAGATTACCTAAATAAAAAGATGGATAAATAAAATAATTATAATTAAGTGTATTTGCCATTATACCTAGTTCTTTTTTATTAGAGTAGACATGTGATATCAAAAAAATTGTGTTTATTAATTAATGAAATGAAATAAATAATAATATACTATTGTAATTATATGTTAAATGAAGGATGAGAAAAATCTAGCAATTTCTAGATAGAACACTGCATGTAATTGAAAGTACCTACAGACATTTCTCTATTAACAGCTGTTCCTTGAACTTGCATGTTTATTATGCGAAAATTATCCTGCTATCATTTTATATGACCTTATACATAAGTAAATATTTAATGCAAGTATTACAGCTGCATAAACTTACCAACTGGCATGTAATTCAAAAAATTCTTTGGATATAATTTGGGGCACTTGTTATTTTCGTAAATGTCTCTCCATGGTTTACTGTACTGCGATAAACACACTTTCACATTAAACAAAGCCACTACAATAAATAAACTCAAACATACACTACTAATACTGTTCATTATGGAATTATTAACACGATTTAATAATTATTTAGTCGCACAATGTTTTATTTCGTCGACAATTATGGTTTTAGTTATCTATGTTACAGGAACCTAAATGTAATATAATGAGATATGCAATATTTGCGTGGGAGCACCGATAAAAATGACTTTATATTATTGTTTTATAAAATTCTGATATCCCAACAATAACATAATCGAATAATCGAAATCCCTCATTCTGAATGATAAAACGTCAAGCAACTACTGAAATACTAAAGTTCAGGCAGTTCGAATGATAATTGAAATACATTGTTTTTATTTGAATATTAGCTGTGTCACTGTCGTTATTGTAAAAATAACTCGGATATCTCTTTCATTCAAATTTGTAATATGCTAAAGATGCTAGATAATATCTTACATGAAGTACTAAACGCAATACAGTTCGCAATGAAAATGAATTTTGTGTGACGTTTTGACATTTTATCTTTGATGTTGTCAAATGACAAAAGAGACGTGACCGCAAAAATTATAATATCGACTAAAATCATGTATGTGCGTAATAATTTAATTTTATAGTATTTGTTGTTCAAATAAACACTTAAATAAAATTAAAACTAACTAATACTAAATTAAATATATACAACATAAGATTAAAATTATTTAAAAGAAAAACAAAAACAACTATTTACATAAAGCACGCGCTTAATTCAAAAATATTTCGAAACGCTTGGTCGACACATCTCGTGAGTCATTTTCTCTGTCAGAGGTTAAGCATTGCCACGTTGTATGGCAATGCTTAACATCTGAGCCTTCTTAGTACTTTCCCCACTGATGTCGATGCGGACGAATTTTTGATTTAATTGTTTTTTATTCATAAAAAGCTTTTGGCGTCGTTGATTATGATGATTGAATATGATGGAAATAGTACAAAAAATTCTTGCTCCAAAATATAATGTTGATAACAATTTTCGTTATTTAAGCACATTCAAGCATGACGAACTCATTCGCTTAATCAAAACTGTAACGCACGGCTAACTTTTGTTTTGATTACTTTCAAGTAATAAAGTATTACACAAAATAAACATTTTAATTAAAAAATATTTTCATTTCCAGCAATGCTGACACGGCCAGGGGAACTTTATGAATTAATTTTAAAATAATTCGAATTTAATTGCCTAAAAATGGGTGCGGGTCAAATCGGAGGAATAGCCACTCTGGGTAATATTATTTATGTTTTAATGATGTATCGACTTTTGAAAAACTTTTCCTACAGTCGGGTAAAATAAGGTTCCAGATTAGACTCTGAAGATAGCTGTAGAACCTAATATTTTCGGGGTTCGATTTAATAGTATCACTTTGAAAATGACTTAGGTGACGAAAAATTAGTACAATAACATTAAGTCTTTATGAACATAACATTCACATTGATGTTTTATTAAATGTGCGATATTACAGTGGATATGGATTTTAAAAATGCCGCCGGATTCCATGGTGTACCAGCGGAACCAACAGAAGCTCAATATGTTGTAAGTGTCTACTTTATTTATTAGGTACCAATTTGAATAGTGGAAAATATTTTTTTGTGCGATGGGGAGCAAACGAGCACGAGGATTACTTGATAATAAACAATCAGTGCCGTTTGTGGACCCACGCAACTCAAAGGAGGAACGGTTTCCAAAGCTTGTTTCGAGGTTTTCGCCAAAGAATAATTATATACATAAGTAGGTTCTCACATAAGTCTTCAGTTATCAAAAGGTACCTAGGTAGGCCCAGGTAGCTTCTGTTGGTTTTTAAAAGGACGTTTGTTTTGGTATAGATTGTACCTATACACTACAGCTTAATGGGATCTACGAAAGGGTACCTATAATTTGTATCATTTTTTTTTGGTGCGATCGAGATGCCGTTTTTACGTGCGGTGCTGAATTCATGTATGACTTTGCCAAGAACAGAGTTTCTTTCCAAAGTTGTGAGAGAGAAAAGTTACAAACTCAACTGTTTCCAGCCTTGGATATAGAATTTCCACCAAAAAATAAAATAGGCAATGTTGTATTACTTAAAAGATAAAATTAACTGCTAACAACTTATTTTCTCAGATACATTATTTATCACACGCGATGATGTTCTGCATGGGTGTGCTGATAGAGGCTCACGTAGTACTAACCACAGCCAGTTGTGTCCACGGAGAGAAATATAAATTCAGTGTAGTTGGTGGTACTCATAAGTTTTTGGAACATGCGGGCATAATGAGAACAGTGCATCATCTCTGTATTCATAAGGGTAAAGTATTGTAGTTAAATAATTCCGTTAAGATTTCAATGTGATTTGTTTAGGACATAAAGGCATAATAAAAGATGCTGGGTGCGAGTATCTAGACGTGACTCTCGCGGAATTCACAAAGAAAAGGAAAAGGTAAAGTAAATGAGAAACACTAAAAATGTTCTAAATATTTTGTAAATAATAAGATACCATGCAACGGGCCTTCTATTTGATTACCAGATTTTTGTACTAGATTATAATTCATCCATACGGCCGGGCCCCAGCTTAATCTGTCGTGTGTCTAAACGTGGATTTACGCGATACACAATGTATTTTCTATTGTGTCTCATATACAGGCATTCAAGCAGTTAAATCCTTAGATGAATAAAAGCTAAAACAGTATATTAATTTAATTAAAATTGTCAGGTTACAATACTTCGCAACGGTGGTCTGACTGTTTGACGGACAATTTGGCGCTACTGGTTCTAAATACTCAGTTCTCATTCAACATACGAGAGCCTGGGTCTGATTTCTTGTTAAATCGCGTCCGTTATGGTGTGAGTGCTCCAAAGGATGAGAGCCTATATTCGGACACATCTTGCAAGTATTACGGCTGGGGCAGTAGGAGAAATGTAAGTTCATAGTTTTAATACCTGTCAACATTTAACGTTCTATCTATGAAGATTATTTTCAGTGGTGAGTAAATATGAGATGATATTGTAAATAGTGTAATCTTAAAAAAAAAACTGAAAATGTTTTTGACGTTATGTGAAAACAAATGTCTTACCCATGAACGAGCCAATTGAAATTTAAGAAATTATACCACTGAATAAATACCTTCTATTCTGCAGTCTATACCTAACAAAAATATTAGTTCAAAGACAAAGATTAACTTAATTCTCTGAGTTAAAAGCATTTCATTTTTTTATTGGAGAAGTAATTATCGCTTTCCATCAAGTATTCAATCATCAAGAATCTTCGTCAGTCTACCCCTGAGTTGTAGATTCCGACCACATAAAAGTGTTTGCAATCTTCAGCTTATCTATTTCCAGGGCTATTTAATTCCTTTGCTGATTGATCTCCAAAAAATGAATGTGGTTTTATTGCCAAGGAGCAAATGTTTGGCAATGTTCAACTATGAGGAGAAGTTCCTGTGTATCCAGCAAGGACAGTGTAGGGTAATGTATCAATTTGGTTTACATAACATGTTACCATTTCATTTTTTAAGGGGGGAAGATCATCGTATGGCTTCTCCCTCCTGGGTGAGGCGAGAAGGATTGTCAGACTCTTACTGACTAAAAAGCCTCGGTTAAGTTCTCTGCGGCTCCCTATACGCATCAGCCCTATTAGGCCCCATCCGTGGTGGTCTGATGGCTCTTTGACGCGCGCGCGAAATGCGAAGCGCCGTACGCTCGGATCTGGTTCTGGTAGAGCAGGCTCGCGCTTACGGTGGCTGGAGATCGTCCCGCGATACCCGACGCCCGGAGTGTCCTTTCCCTCCGCGACGGCTGGGTTATGAGGAAGCAGCGCTTCGCTGCCTCATGCGCCCCGCCCCCTCCTTAGCCCTTAGTGAAGAAACGTAGTTTTTATAAACAAGGAAATTCCAATCTATTTGCTGTAATAGTTGCGCTCCTTTAAAGCCTATTTTAATACTTCATTGTAATTTTCTTATTATTTGTATTTATTTCAGTCGTCGAAATTCGGAGCACTATGTCCAGTAAGTATTAAGAATTTAGATTTATTATTTAAAATAAGCATTAGGTTCAACGAATCCACCCGTATTATTGAGGGGCTCATAAGAATAAAGTAACTGGTGAAAATTCTGGGTGCACACATACGATTTAAGGCTGGTTTTAGTCGGACGCTGACGGCACGGTCAGTCCTACTACTACTACCTATCAGTCACATCTTCGGAATTAAAAGGTGTGACGTTTTGTCATGTACTGTAAATACACAACACATGCATAAGTGTATCTACTTAAGTAGGTTCGTTTCACCTTCGCGCTCTCATGTTTATCGGTTGGACATAAATGGCTTATTGTCCTATGTACCTACAGTACAGTGCAAATAATGCAATAAGAGCACATGACCTAACCGGACGCAAACTGGTGGCCGTGAAAAAGGAGTATTTATTACGTATGATTGTGGTACGTGGACCACAAATACACAAATATTCTTTGTGTTATGTAAAACAAAACCATCAAAACATTGACCTGACACGGTCAAAATGGTTTCTAAATGTGTTTACTCGTACTTGGTGTTAGGAATGGAATTCCACGTTATACTTTATGTCAGTGCCATTAGTACTGAAAATGGCTCGATATGTTTAGGTCATGGAAAAGTTTGATATTGTAACAAGTTGACAACTACTTTTATTAAGGGGGGAAATTCATCGAACGACTTCTCCCGCTTCGGTGAGGCGGGAGGGAGTATCAGACTCTTACTGACTAAAAACCACCCCGTTCCTACTCCTGCACTTCAAGCCGGAGCCCGGTAACCCGTTAAGTTCTCCCGCGGCTCCCTATTGGGCCCCATCCGCGGTGGTCTGATGGCTCTTTGAGGCCCGCGCGGAACGCAACGCGCCGTACGCTCGGGTTTGGTTCTGGTCGGGCGGCGAACCACCCATGCCCGTCGTCCGCAGGCCCGCGCTTACTTTGGCCGGAGATAGTCTCGCGATCCCGACGCCCGGAGTGTCCTTCGCGACAGCTGGGTTGTTAGGAGGCAGCGCTTCGCTGCCTCATGCGTCCCGCCTCCTCCTTAGCTAGCGTCATGCTTCGCAAAAGGAGGAGACGGCATCCCAGTCCCCCTCGCTCCGCATCATGGCCCGCACTGGGCCGGACACGAGAGGACATGGACATGGTACGTTGAAATTTTTGTTATACTTCGATTAATGTTGTATCTTCTTGACCTATTCTAGGACGACGTAGGCTCCGTGATAGTTTGTTCCGGCTTCGCACAAGGAATAATGACTTCTCGTCTAGTGGACCGACCCTGTGGAGTGGGCTTTTTGGACTTAAGCAAATACACTAAGTTCCTGACCTGTGGAGTGGATGACTCTCGAGACGTGCTTGACCATGACACTCATATGGAATACGATTTCACTACCGTTCCTCTACCTTCCACCCCTAGCGTCCTGACCGTGCCACCAACCAATGCCAGTTCCGACGAGCAACGTCTACCAGCATATTAGATAATGTAGTAATATCAGTCGAGCATGTATGCATGACAGTATATCAAACTACACATCCATCATAAATTGAACTCACACAACACAAGTCGTCTGTATTGCACGAGCTCCCTACTATGTTGGATATGAAAGTAGGTACGATTAGATATTGTGGATACATAGTGGTGTTTCTATGATATCGTATTATACATATTTTTGTGATTTTTTTAACAAATACAAATATTAGTTGGTATATTGTTTTATTGTTAGTTAAAGCGTCCTAAATATGTACATTGAGTTTTATTTATACACTAGAATGTAATACAATATCCTATTTTAATAAAGTTCTCCGTGAGATTTTAATTTGATGTCCGTTAATTGGGAAGAGGAGCATTTCTACTTTGAGTGGTCCAATTTCGTCCGCCTCTATTTTATATGACCGCACCACCGTGGAGATGATGCTCTTCATAATAAGCATGCCAAAGTTTCGTCCTGAAAGAATTTTTTAAATGATTATAATGCTTTTGTGTCAGAAACACAAAATATGATCTCGAGCATGATTCGTCAACGGAATATAAATAATTTTTACAATGCATCACTTAGAATATCATATTATGATACTGAATACTGAAATTGTACTTGATGAGCATAAAAATTTAAAATAACACTTTAGAAACTAGTACCGATGCAGTTTCTGGAGCCATAGCTGAAGGGCAGGAAGGCGGCTGGGTGTCTATTTTGAGACCTTTCTGGTAAAAACCTGTCAGGGTCAAAAACTTCAGGTTTGGGTCCCCATGCCGCTGACTGGTGGATTGCGAAAGCTCCGATCACGGCACCAGCACCGGCTGGCACTGTTACTCCGCAGGTAGCTGCGATGAGAAAATCTGTTTAGCATCTACATAGTCATTTTATTTCAATTTAATAAGAAGCTTCATATCCATCTCAGTAAATAATTTATGTAGTAGGTATAAGTATAATTATATTCGTTAGTTTAGCAGTATATATATATATTATATAGTATGTATGTCTATTTAGATTTATAATATATCATATTATTATATTTATTGTACTTATAGGTTTTTTATGTGTGCAGTATGCATATTTTTTAATAACAATTATTTCTTTTTTTATTGTGTTCCGGCTTCACATCAACCGCTTCATTTCTCTGCACTTCCCTATGGTTGACTGTCAGAGAATGCATTAAGGCATTAAGTCCGCCATTCACTGTTGACTTTGGTGAAGAAGTAATAATAGATAAAATAAATAAATAAATAATAATTTTCATAATTTAGGACTTACGCAGATAAATATCCCTGTCTATATTCCTTGCGATGATTGGTACTACCGTGTACAGTCTCATGCTCTCCTTGATCACTCTCTCTAGATAATGCATCTGCTGTAAATCTTCTTTCGTGGACCCTCGAGTGGACGAACCGAATATTGACTCTTGTCTAAAATATTATTAAAAACATTTTGTATCAATTTGGACATAAGAACGTCAGAAAAAGAAATTAAGAGGAGAATAATTACTCTACAGTAATTAAGAGTAACATGAGTCATGTTCTAGAAAACCTAGCTAGAAAAACTATCTAGAAAAGCTCTGTCTCCTCATTTTACTCTCATTAAAAAGACTGCCTCGTTGGCCGAGTGGTCGCAAAGGCGCCGGGCAAGGGGTCTCGGGTTCGATTCCCGGGTAGGGCAAAGTATTATTGGGTATATGGCAATAGGCTCACCCCCTATTACATGGGACTCATAACATAAATAGTGAAAAGTGGGTGTTACATTGTACAATGGCATAATGTGCACCTCTGCCTATCCCTTCGGGGATAAAAGGCGTTGTGTTATGTTATGTTTTTTTAAGGGGGGAAAATCATCGAATGACTTCTCCCCTCTTATGGGTGAGGCGGTTGTCAGATATTCATTTACTAAAAACCATCCCGTTCCTATTCCTGCATTTTGAGTCGGAGCCCCGGCAACCGGTAAGTCCTTCGTGGCTTCAGGTATATTTAAATGATCTCCTAAATCTTCTTGCTAGAACTATCCCGTAGAACGTTTGTATACTCACTCCTGTAGCACCCTTTCCTGTGCATCCTGGTGAATCCCAAGTAGGACGAGAGTGTATGCAATGACGAGCGCCGTAGTATCATTACCAGCGATGGTGATTGAGTCAATGTGCTCCCGTAGTTGTTCGTCCGTGAACTCGATCTCTCTACCAAACAATAAGTCAAGGACTGCGCGAAGTTTGCCATCTAAAATAAATAAAATAACATTCTTTGTAATACTGTGGAGGCGTCAGTTTGTTTGTTCGCTGTTGCTTCGAAACAGCTCCGCGGTTTTTGATGTGGTTTGCATGTTAATTTTTTTCATTGATAGAATGAATAGGTATTTCGTAGTTATGGGAATTACGTTTGTGTACGGTACGTACTTAGTTTGTTTGTTTTTAATACATAAGTAACTGTCCGTTTTTTGTTATTACTCCGGATATAATTACCCATGGGTAAAAATATTCGGAAATTACTTAAATGGGCAGTTTAGTATTTGTTTGTCCACTTCTCTAACCGACGTAGGCAGCTTACAAATAGTTCGCAAAAAATAGACTCAATAATGAATGAAGAATGACATCATAAATCATATTGTGCCTATTACGCACAAACATTTTTTGTTGTTTCACACCTTCGATCAACAATAAATTCACAATATCTGATTTAGTTAATGGATAAATAGTATTATTAGATATTACGATATTACCGTATGCTTGTAATTGAATTAAAAAGTCATTTTATACTTAATGAAATGTTGATAAATAATTGTTCTCCCTTTGTATTTGAAATCGACTAGGCTATATTCTGATCCAAAGATGTCAATTTGAACTTTCGAAGTGAGCTAGATCGCATACTCGTTCGTCATTGGTCGAGATTATTCTCACAACCAATGGCAAGGCTGAACGCGATCGAGTTCACTTTTATCTTTCGAATTGACAGTTATAAAATAGGCTGGCTGTAACCATCAGTTGCTTGACTAGTGATGGAGTTAGGAGTTACAGCACGTGAAAGTCGTCCACTCCACTGTGGGCGAGCCGGCGACAGACGCTCATTTTACTGACTATCAGACTAGCCACAAATACACATGGTACGGTATAAAATTCCAAAAAAAATCTCTAACTAGTATCTACCTATATTTGATATGAAATGTGTTAAAACATATGTTGTTAAGCTAATAACAAGTTAATCAAATAGGCCCTTAAAATATTTGGTCTCACTGGTTACGCATTAGTGTGTTAATTAATCTATGATAGGCCTGTGGTCGATAATATATTAATTAAAAAGACAAACGTAAATATTTGACCACGTATTTATTCTAATTGTGTTTGCCAAGTTTAGACGAAATAGTTCGGTCGCAAAAATGTGTGTGACTTAATTAAAATTGACGAGCCTTTTATTAAATGTTGAATAATAATATATATTTATCTCTACACAATGTACCGAAAATAGAAGAAAAGCTTTGTTTTTCTTACCATTTTGCCCTTTAAGATCACCTTTCTTCCTTTCGTATTCCAAACGCTTCTTTTGGACCACCTGGAGGAACAAAAATAATATGCCTTTTATTTGAAAAAACAAATGAAAATAAAATGTAGGTTATTACGAATATACCTGCCAAAAGGCTAATGTATGATTAGTATTGTTTTGTCAATAATGGAACTCATAAATTAATTGGCGAAAAGAGAATATTTTTTTATTTATTTTATGAGATAAGCCTGTTAACGAGTAGATGGATCACCCGGTGGTAAAGAATCGGCGTCGCCCTTGGACACCCTGAGCACCAGAGGTGTTACAAGTGCGTTATCATCCTCTTGGGGATTACGTATTTGAGGATTGTTGGGGTTTCAGGGATTGGGGAGATCGGGGAGGGGGTACGTGGGGTAATTGGGGCTCCGGTTCTTCGGTAACCGGAACACGACGAAACAACACATGTTTCACGTCGGTTTTTTTAAAAGGCCGTGATATCACTCTGGTCCTGCCCGCCCATTCGTGTCGAAACATGACTCTCCCACACTTTTTATTTTCCTTTAACAAACTCTTAGAGTATTTTAAAAGATGTTATGATGATTTTAATTGTTAACTATGTCATTCGAGTGTCTCATACTTTCTCAAGATTCAATTTCCAAATACCAACCTCATCAGTGAACTTGTGAGTAAGATCGATGTTATCCCTCTGCTGCTTGGCGTAGGGAGTGAGGTTGAAGATGCAGTCTGGCTGCAGCCAGACCTTAAACAGCCGCATATTCAGGATTTCCATGACAGTATGGCGAGCTCGCAGGTATGGAGTGTCAGGAGAATGCTGGACGTCCATACGCTCACCCATTGCAGTTTCTGGGGAAGAAAATAAGTAAGACAATTGGTATATTTTTATAGTTGACTAGCGACCCGCCCCGGCTTCGCACGGGTGTAATAAGAAACTTCCAAATTTATCAGTGTTTCTCTAATATATTATGCATGTATTATACATATAAACCTTCCTGGAGAATCACTCTATCTACTAAAAAAACCGCATCAAAATCCGACAGATAGACGGCGGATATCGACTTTATTTTATACTATGTAGTGATAATTATTTGCACTGTATTACAGGCAATGCATATTCGATGCTGTTTAATTTGTTACGAAGCTGATATTCGAATGGACTAGTTTAAATAAATTAAGACATTTTTAAACGTTAACATCTTAGTGGTCCAAAACAAACTAAATAGTTACTCGGACATCATTATACGTTAATAAATTAGATACAGATGTTACATTTTCCAAAATACGGATATAACGGGAAATAATAATTGAATACATGAAATAAGAACAGATGTATTCGTAGAATAGACTAAAACTTACCAAAAACGATGTCCAAGGTGCAAGCAGTTATGTACTTCAGAACATCGAACTGCTTTGCATCGACGCGTTCATTCAACCGCTCGACGAGCACGTCTGCCTGCTCCGCAATTACGCCCAAATATTCTTCCACTATTTTGTTATGGAAAACTGGAAGTAGCACTTTCCTATGCGCTTTCCATAGGTTTACTGAAAAAATTAAACATAAATGTACCTACTAAAATCCTCAAGTCTTCCCCTACGTCTTCGTGAGAGCAAAACTTGAGAACATCTTATCTCTTTTAAAAAAAACGTTGCCCCACATTAGGATTTTCTCCTGTGTCGTGGGTGCGTTTACAAACATACAAGTTCACATACACAATGACACCCAGACCCGAAACATCAATTTGAACAACAGAGGAAAAGCATTCTGCTTTTGTACCTAAGTTAGGTACAAATGCAGAATGTTTTTCACATTAGAATGACAAATTCAGGCATTGACGATCACAGGAATTGGTAAATGTAAAGTACCTCTTTTCCACAAACTAAACGTCGAAAAGACGCAATATCAAAAGAAATATTGTATCGGACAATATTTGTAGAGAGACAGATTAAGAATTCAAAGTTTGTACATTTGTTCGCGCTTACTTCACATTCTGATTTAGAATGATTACTTGATTAGCGTGTGTTATTTACTTACCTGGAGCCACGAACAGTCCGTGGCCAAGCCAAGGCCGTAGGAAACGATACACTACATCTTTGTCTAAACAGTTTTCTAGAACTACTTGGGCGTCTTCAGGATCTCCAATGGCTGAAAAAAAGATAGGTAAATAACCATTATATATTTTTTAACATAACATCACGCCTTTTATCCCCGAAGGGGTAGGCAGAACTGCACATTATGCCACTGTACAATGTAACACCCGCTTTTCACTATTTATGTTATGAGTCCCGTGTAATAGGGGGTGAGAAACTAGTTTAGTTTGTGAAACTTCTTGTCGTCATATTTAAACTAATTATCTACCTATTAATATCATTAAATTGGTGAACTGTTGAACGAATGATATTACTTTTCATTAACTTTCTGAGTACGATAATGTAAAGAAAAAATATTTGATTGGCTGAATTTTTGAGCATAATATTATCTAACGACAAAAAGGACCTGTGAATTACCATATACCATATTACCCACTGGTAAAGTGGTAACAGTTTACCAGTGAGTGCTATTTCAATTGGTGCATTCATAGACGTGCAAAAGACCACAGAAGGTTTACCCTTGCATTTACGTTCCTCTCCAATGTCTTTGTTTTTTTAAAGGGGGAAAGTCATTCAATGACTCCGCAAAAGGGAGTGTCAGACTCTCACTTTAAAAACCAACTCGTTCCTACTCCTGTTTCGAGTTGGAACTCCTTTTGAGCTGGTTATACTCCCAGTTAATAGATCCGGCATTATATAGGCAATGTCTAGGTAAAACATTACGAGAAGAATACTTCATACATTACCCAGTTCAATACGACCTACTCTATTCTAGGCATAGAATACCGGTTACTAAAAATTGCCAGTAACACATACATGTAAATAGGAATAGTATCTACGTTTTATAGCCTAAGCAAAAAATCTTGGGCCATTTTTTGACCAATTAACACACGCAGTGTTTGGTTCCATTTAGTATTCCAGACTACGATGTTTGGCGAGCAAACCTCGTTTGTTTGTTGGTGACGCAAAGACTCTTTGGTGTGAATGTATTGGTTATGTACAGTAAGTACATTCCACTTACTATTTAAACACGTGATAACTTACCTACGTATAATTTAGGGCCGAGCCATAGTTTCGCCGAGTTCTTATGTTTGAACGCCAAGTCTGCGAGTGTCCATAGATTTTTGAGGATCTCTGTAATAAAGTATTATGTACTTACTTGAAAAATTACATAAACTAAGTATGATTTGAGACATACATAGATCGATTAAAGTAAACAAAAAAGTTTTCAACATCTTAAGCGCCGTGAGAAAGTTGTTGACGACAACCGGTGACCTACGCGGTGTTTAAAAAACTAAAGATTAATTCGTGTTAGCACCCAGATAGATCAAGGCATTTGAAGAGCTTAACTCTTTGAGTACCGTCATTATAGACACACCGGTTGCGGTCACCGGTGTCCTCGCGGTGTTTGACAGTTTAAGGCCCGTATTAATAAACCGATATCAGTGTAAGAGTGAGATGTTAAGATCCTGTTTGATATTCCGACATATTAATAAACAAAACCTAATACGCGGTTTAAGACCTTGTCATCACCTGAGATCGTATTGTTTAATAAACATTACTCGGGTTTCAAGATCGGTATTAGGACGGTTATCAAGACCACGATTGTTAAGTTCAGTCGACCCTGGACTTAATATCGTGAACTTGTACCTAAGTATTTCGCGGGAACCATGAATATTGAGAATATTATTTCCGAAATCAATTATTATGATGAAGTCGACTAATACGATGATATTTTATGGCCTTTTCAAAATCTATAAAGTACCTACCTAAAGTTTATATAAGGGACGCGACAAATCCCTTCGAATTACCTACACAAAACGGTTTCGATTTAATCAAGAATCAGTGCTGTTGATATCGTATCGTTGATAAGTAATAATTTGGTAAAAAGTGAATTTTTAAAAACCCCAGCAGTACTTTGCCCGACCCGGGAATCGAACCCGAGACCCCTTGCCCGGCAGTCGCACTTGCGACCACTCGGCCAACGAGGCAGTCGATTAATAAGTAACTTGTAAATAAACACGAAACACTGATATGTATGATTGTATTATCAAGTACCTAATAAACAATTGAGAGAAAGAGACAGATATAATAATGAGGTGACGCGCAATCCCTGGCAGGTATGTGCGTTTGTCACAAAATTAAACGTAACTTTATAATGAATAGTGCTTTTTTATGGTCAAACAAATCATAATGTATACAATATAAAAAAGTAATATAGTTTCCTAAAACTTCAATCAATTTAAACTGGAAAAAATCTTTAATTCCTATACATACAGAGTTGAATATTATCGTTCTACAAAGCTATTACTAAACGGAATGAACGAAAGATGTAATAGTTCGTTCGCTGTGACGTAACAAGTCTTAACATCAGGATTTCATTGAGTGTCAAATTACGAATCTTGATAACTCGATCCAAACCGCGGTATCACCTGAGATCGTGTGGATATAGGTTTATTAATTAGCGTCGACATTAAGATGCTGATCGCATCTTGAGAACGTATCAACTGATGCCGGTCTTGACATCGTGATTGAGACTTATTTATTAATACGGGCCTAAGAGTCGACTACAATCGATTCATTCAAACCATATTATCATTTACATGCGATCGTCATTAACACAAGATGCTATGAAACAAAGCTGTACTCAAATATGTTTAAAGAATATCTCAAGTGCTTTCAATGACGACACGGTAAACATATTCGAAGGCGCATCCACAATAGCAAATATGTCGTACACACTGGCCATAAGCCCTGACAATAAGAACCTTCGTCAATAGATGCAATGTGGGGTAAACAGTACAAGTGTCACATTAAACAATTGTACATATGACTTCATTTTCAAGAGCAAAACTAACAAGAATGATGTATAAGTGACGCAGCTACACCACAATATCATGGAATTTACTTTGGCCCCTTCAATTTTTTTAATAGTACCAATAAGAATTTGTTAAGAATTCGCGGTATTGTTAAGGTCGCTCTTTGAAAAATTGTATAAATAAGGTAAACACCTGATTTGTGTGATTTATCCCCAAGAAAAAAATACTTTTTGGTTTTCCACGCACCAGTAGAAAATCAGATAAAATTATTTATACGAAGAAAATGAAGAAGAAAGAAATGCAACAGTAGATCTGTCATAAAGTTATTAACAACTAATACAACAACACTAATTTGAATAGTCTCAGTTCGAGTTTCTTTAGGGCGAGTCAATAAATAGATCATGCAGTGGCTTGGATATCAACTGCCCCACAACGAGTTACATATAATAACATAACATCACGCCTTTTATTCCCGAAGGGGTAGGCAGAGGTGCGCATTATGGCACTTAATGCCACAGTATGTAACACCCTCTCTTCACTATTTATGTTATGAGTCCGTAGGGTTACTTTAATGCAATTCCCAATACAGTCACAATTTATATTATTTTATTTGTTATGTTTAAAAAACGTAATTATGTAGAAAAACACTCACGTTGTGTATCTCCTAGAAAGAGGGAACCATTGCCAATAAGTGGTAAAGTTGGTAGTGCTGGTAGAGACGCTGTCATTTGGTCCATGTGTCGGGCTTTTGCGGCCCAATACAACCATAAAACGCAGGTCGCCAAAAATATTATAGCTAGGATTATCATCGTAATTTACTGACCTGGAAAACAAATGTTTTTTTTAATTGGAAGACGAAACTCGGTGTTCCTCAAGGCTGGTCCGGAATTATAACCCACAGAATTTAGACATTTCATAAGTTTAGTATTAATATTCCATTTATAAAATGATTAATGGTTTAAAAGTTGTATAAAGGAACAGCAGAACGTACATCGAGTCGAGTCGAGTTAATATTCGGACGGTTAGTTAAAAATAAAATCAAACTAAACGTATCGTTGAATTTATATGTCTAAGTTGAGTTATGAAGACTTTATATTTTGTTTCATGAATATGTAAATAATAGATAATTTAACATGAAATAAATTAAAAAATGATTAACACAATTATTTTCCGGTATAGTCAATTAGCAACGGTAAAAAAGGTTGATTGGAAGGATTAAAAATGTTTTCGTTAAGTGTTTTGCAGTTTTTATTTTAAAATACAATAACAATTAACTTTTTATAACGGGTTTTTAAGGACTTCTCTGATATAATGAATTAATAATATTGTAAACCGCACGCTTTACGGTTTAATAATAAAATAAAATCTAGAACCGTATCTAATATTGGCCATGCCATAAAATATACACACATACAAATGTAAGTACTGACGCATTTGCGACAAAGTTATTTATTGTTGATGTTGACCAGCCTTATTGAGTAAATACAATAAGTTAGTTGCCATTCATTCAACTACCCATAGTCATTTTAAAAACTATTTACCGGCAACAAAATATGTTTATGATTAAAAGTTATATTTCCGAGATCTTAAAAATAATACACGATTTAAATTGCGAACACAAATAAAAAAATTGTATCGAAGAATTAATAATTTAAAAATACACTCACGTATTTCCCGCGAAAAATTTGACACAATAGTGATGTTACAATTTCATCGGGAGTTGTAAGCGAGTAGTCTCGATCGCTGACTATTCAACTTATGGTATAATCGTAGCAACTAGGCTGTACGCGACATAAGTCTTGTTTACTCACGACACATGTAAACATCGTTATTTAGGTAACTGGTTGAGTGTAAATTCGACAACTTCATTGTTGAAACTGCTTAGATGGTCAAATTGTCGAAAGTAACAAGTAAGAGTTCAGAGTTCTTTTCCTAGACTGTAAAAATACCCGAGCGTACGGCGCGTCGCGTTCCGCGCGCGCCTCAAAGAGCCATCAGACCACCACAGATGGGGCCCAATAGGGCCGATGCCGATTCGGAGTCGCGGAGAACCTAACGGGTAACCGGGGCTCCGGCTCGACGTGCAGGAGAAGGAACGGGGTGGTTTTTAGTCAGTAAGAGTCTGACACTCCCTTCCGCCTCACCCAGGCGGGAGCAGTCATTCGATGATTTTCCCCCCTTAAAAAAAAAAAAAAAAGACTGTAAAAATAAAAAAATTGGAATGAAATTAAATATAGCCCTTCGTTAAATAACTAATTACTTTAGTATATCAGGAGAGTATGCTGAGATGCTTTAGATTCGTTGGAAAGATAAAGTAACTGAATGACGGATGAATGGATCTCAACATCCGATTCGTTGAGAGGATGAATGAAACTAGGATTAGGTACTCCTACTTTTCATTCAAATATTTAAAAATAAAGGAGTTTAGTGGTGCCTACTACCATAGAAAAACATAAACCTCATAGGTACTAGACATACGGTAAAAGGGTCAAATGCGGAGTAAATTTCACCGTCGTGCACGTAAAAGACTCATGAATTTCATGGAAACGTCAACTTATTTAGTGACGTCGTGACGTGACGTCAGACATATATCAGTATTAAAATACTATAAAAATGTTTAATAGTTAAGTATTTCGTGATACAAATGTTCATTCATGCAGCAAATCATGAATCATTGGATGGGTTAATGCCTTGATGGACATATACATTGACCTACAGCAGATGACGTCACAAATATATCTTTCAAAGAAATAATAATTTACCCAAATTCAAATAATGCGGGGTAGATAGGATAGTATTATAGTTTGCGAGAGTTTTTTGAGAATAAACAACAAAACGAAAAAATAAAAAAATGAAATAATAACAATAGAAAGGAAAATGATGGTAATGATAATGAATAAATAAAATTGTGCAAATAAGGAGTTGGTAGATATGTATAATATGTAGAATATAAACGAAAATCAATTGAAGCAATTGTGGTAATACTTTAATAATATGTTATGTAAAATCTTTGAATAATATAGTGTTTTTTATTAATTAATATAAATTGCAGCGCCCTTACAGGGTCATGTTGATACTGCTTAACCAAAATAATATGTATTATGTATAACACATGAAGCAATAAAGATTTTGAATTTGAATTATTTCGATTGGAGCATTGACACATCAATGGGTTTAAGTCTCAGTACGGGTTTTTTTCTCCAATTACTTTTAAAGGAGGGAGACGTGAGGGAGCCACTAAACTTGCGTTAGTTACCTCTCTAAATTAGGTGTCACTTATAGGTTGGTGAAGTTCAAACTGTCTTAAAGTGTCATCCGTCTTAGTGGTCCCTTAAAGTTTAAGAGCGGTTGATACAAACGATACAAACGGACATTCTTAATTTGTTTCTCTTAGGGCTTGTACACAAAAAATGTAGGTACGAGCTCTCCCTCACTTATCGCAAGAACTTGAGAATTGATTTGCATCGCGCATCAAAATCTTATCTTCCAAAATCTTCTTTGTTTCTTTTTCCTGTATCTCCTAAGAAATAACAGAAGTCCACACTTCTTTTTATGATCCATGTCACGACCTAGTTTTCAATTTAAAATACGTTTAGTACGGTTGACGGTTGTCGAAGAAATGGTTATCCTGGGACACGCCTTGTCGCACGAAATCGCATCGGCAGAAATTAGCATCGTAATTTTTTGTGGTGCGAATTCACATCGTATCGCGTCGCAGTTGTGTACGAGCCTTTAATGACTTTTTAAATGCGTAAGGAGTGTTCTAGATCGCGGTGTGTTGTCTGTGCCCGCCCCCGTAGGACAGAAAAAGGCTGTGATATTTTATTTAACCCCATGTCCTTCTCAGATAATATGAAGACGTGAGTTCTCGGGTGACCTCCGGTAATTTTTCACATATCGATGCTAAAATTTGTCGTTACGCAAATATACATTTATTGATCGCACTTCTTTATAAAGATTATTATCGCATGCTTTAACACTACTTAGGACACCTAGGTTGGTCTAGTTTAGTACAGGTATCCACTTCGGATTTGACTGAAAGGAATGCATCTAGTTTGATTAAATACTAAGTTATAAAAATAGCTGAATACGTATACTATAATTACAGGGATTTGTTTAAACTTTAATTCCCATACTTTTCGTTATATTTGTACAATATTAACGATTTATAAATAGATCAACAAATATTTTTGCTGAACAAAATATTGTTGCAGTAAATTTTGGTATGACGCTACACCTGAGACTGAAACCCAGTTTTTTTAGTACAAATAACACTATAACCTAATAATTTGTAACGAACAGAAATTAAAAAAAGAAGTTTGTATTTATAATCTGTAGCACGGTAATAATATTGTCTGTAGGTAGCCAGAAAGATACTGGCTACTACCTACTTATGGCCAACTCGGCTAAAAACTTAAATGTAACGACAAACATGACGATATTTTTTTATATATGTGTATCGTCCGCAACGTGCAATAGTTTCCTCCAATAATATTTGTCGGATATAGGTACTAATAGAAAGAGCTAAGCTAGACTATAAGTTTAGCTCTTTACATTACGTTGTTCAGTGCTACATAAATCGCTATACCAGTCAGTTCTATGGTGTTTATAACTTATAACTTTAAATATACAAATATTATAATCAAAATAACTAATTAAAAAATGTTGGTCGTTATATTAATATGTATAATAGCAGTTGCTCTTTACATAAAATTCAGATATTCGCGTGTTGCTTTGTATAAGTTCGCTGAAACTTGGCCCACTTATGGTGATCTGCCCATTTTGGGACATACCCACTGGTTTATTGGAGGACCTGAAAGTAAGTAAAAGTACTTGACAATACAACACGTGTCTTAGGTCGTTACTTGAATATAATACACACTTACATAACCAATGAAGTACGCTATGCAAGGCCATATATACGCCATATAGCGAGCATACGTTTCACAATCCGTGTTATTCCAGTCAATTTAAAAAATCACATGTTTGCTTTACTCGATTCGGGTATCGAACCCACGACCCATTGATCTAAAGTTGCGCTTACGACCAAGTAGGTACATTTATTTTTACATTTCCTAAGGTACATTTCCTGATTGGAAATACAATTATGTCTTGAGCCTAGCAAAAAAGTTTCGGAAATAATTTTAAGGTCTTAGAAATTGGTGTTTAACTTTCATTGATTTTGAAATTCTCACCCCCTATTATGTGGGAATCATAACATAGTGAAAAGTGGGTGTTACATTGTACAGTAGCATTAAGTGCCGCAATGTACATACATTAAATTTCTGCTATCCCTTCGGGGATAAAAGGCATGATGTTATGTTATGATTTTAAAAATGTACACCAAACGCGAATAAACAAGAGCTGATATTAACGTTAAACATATTATTTGAATAAAGTGTTTATTTATTTTGGTTTATTTATTTGTTTATTTAGTGTTTATTTATTTATTTATAATAAAGTGTTTATTTTTAGGAATATTTAACAATATACGCACTTTGATGGATGCAATTAATGCCGAAGGGAAGACTGTAAGCTCGGTGTGGATTGGCCCGTCTTTGTACATGGGTAAGTAGGTACAGTAACACTACTAACCAAATCGATATCATATATGATAATGAACCTTATTACTTAGTTTTAATAGCAATTACTGATTTGGCATAACGCATTACCCGAACTTGTGGTTACGACAGGCGATATAATTATTTCTCCAAACCTAATGATGGTTCGTAATTTTTAACATATGTATCGAACGATATAGTTACTATTTGATTTCAGAATTTAACATTTATCCGAAAGTCTCTTCAGTGTTTCACAATGCCTATAGTATATCAGAGAATATAGTTATAACGTAATTTATATGAACTATCTGCCACATAAGTTCCGTAGTGAAATAGCCCTTAATGTCACCATAAATAATTTGTACAACAGTGGAGTTTATTACTTAGACTGATCAATAAAATTAATTTCTAATTGCAGTGTCATTCAATCCAGACGACGTGCAGAAGATTTTGGAGACTTGTCTCGAAAAGGATTACAGTTATAAGTTCCTTCAAACTTGGCTTGGAAATGGATTATTTGTTGCACCAAGTAAGTAACGCGATCACATAATATTATATGCAGTACTTATTATCTAAAGATTCAGTTGGCTATTTTGTGTAAGTCCCATTCCCATAATCCACGTAATCTCTAAGTCTCTAGGTTTGATGTGTACATGTGTATTATTTTTGTATTAATTCCCATAATCCATAATAATATAAATGAGATAATGTAAAAGAGCGAAAAAGAAAAGAACAGCAGTTTATCTGTAGAAATTAGTAAAGCTTTTCTCAGTATATTCACGAGAGTAACCCGCGATTTTCAGTTAAAGTATTCATACATTTAAACTATTCATACAATAATAAAACTCGAGACAGAATTTACTCAAACTAATGATGAAAATATTTGCTATTTGACGATACAGCCATACCTACATCACTACTATGCAATTTCCAAGTAACACAAACATACAAAGTAACAAAACAAAGACGAGTCAGTTGTTAAGTTCAACATATTTACATTTCCTATAATGCTGTACGATTATGTCAATACTAAGTGCAGGCTATTGCGTTTTATTTTAAGCGACTATAAAATAACAATACTTTTTTAAAACATTGACAACCCTTTGCAATAAATTGCATTATCCCGCAGCTCACAGTAGCCCGGTAGTAAACTAGGGTGCGATCTGCTACGGATTCTCCCGTAGCTCTTTCGTAGCGTTGTGACAGCGCTACGGGACAAATCGTAGCAGATCGCACCCCGTAGCATACTACGCCCCCGTGCGTATCGTTGCCCCGTAACCGAAACGTAGCCAATAATACTCATAGTTAGTTCCTTGTAGCGTACTACGCTGTGCACGCTCCCGAACGTAGCAGATATACCCGTAGTGGCTAGGTCAGTCCATGTAGCGATAAACATACATATATCCTTATTGCTTCGTAGTCGTAGTACAAAATTAAGTCTACATTTATTTATGCATTTTTTGTCAAAATTAATAGTTGAATGAAAATCGCGGGTTACTCTCGTGAATATACTGAGAAAATCTCTACTAGTTTCGAACCACAGAGGGATTCTTCCTCATGAGCAGCGTGCGCGGTCGCGGCGAGGTCGCATAGCCTACTCTACTACTACTACTGACCCGCGATTTTTAGTTAATTTAGTATGTTTTACGATAGTTATTATAAAAAATAATAGTTGAATGATTGAAAAATTAACTCACTGAACTTATTGTTAAACAATTACTACTCACTTCTAATCAAATTGTTTGTTACAGTTGACTTATGGAAGGTTCATAGAAGACTGATGCTCCCGATATTTCACAACCGTATCATTGAGGATTACATAGAAGTTTTCGGGGAACAGGGTAATGTCCTTGTGGAGAGATTACAGGAACAAGTCGGCAAGCCGTCCTTCGACGTCTATGAGTACATAACTTCATGTATGCTGGACATCGTTTTTGGTAAGATGGCGTTTTTGTCCTCGGCACGTTACTTCGCAAAATTTTGTCGTAGTGGGGTTAAATTCGTTCGTTCATTCGTATTGTGTATATTTTTTCATTAGTTTATATGTTGTGTGGTTTTAAACATGTCTACTTGGTAAAAGTTAAACTAAGATAAGAAAAGGAATTGGTGTTGTAAAGTGAGGAATAATAAGAAGTTATACCCACTGCGGCAAAATCTTCCTAAGGCTCTAGACAGACAGATGGACCACACAACTGCAAATTGCAGTTCGAATGCAGTTTAAATGCAGTTGACACGACTGAAATCAGACTGCACGTCTGAATTGCAGTTTACTTGTCTGTCTGTCTACAGCCTTAGTTATGTGTCGGGTACCATGTCACACTCTTTTTTCATGTTTTACATAGATACAATATTGACTTTTAATGACGTCACATTATAAAATGTGCTAAGTGTTCTGTTTACAATAACAATGCGAAAAATCGCAGTTAGTACTTACTTTTGTAATGCCTAAATGTTGATATTAATTAAGAATATTGATAAGTAAACACTATTAAGAATAAGCGGATTCATCGGAGAATATCAGCGTGGCTTCTTAGAATATAGGCGTGAAGAAAAGCTTGCATTGTATTTAATTATTTAATATAATTAATTGTATTCTTGATTAAATAACTATTCTATTTCAATAATAGAAACGTCTATGGGTAAGAAAATGGACGTCCAACACAATCCCGACACCCCGTACCTGCGCGCGCGCAAGACAGTGATGTCAATCATCAACATGCGACTGTTCAAGGCGTGGTTGCAGCCAGACGTACTCTTTAATTTGACGTCTCATGCCACGGTGCAGAAAGAAAATATTGACGCCACTCATAAGTTCACTGATGAGGTAAATATTCTTTGCCAATTCCATATAAATCTGGAGCCGCGGAAGTCTTAGTGGGTTGCCTAAGCTCCAGCTCGAAGCAGGAGTGGGAACGAGGAAGTTTTTAGTCCGTAAGAGTCTGATGTCGGAATACTGAAACGCTACTCAATTTTAAGTCGTGCTTAAGTATAGTTTTATCTCTACAAATTCTTTGAAAAATGACAGAGATGGACGATATTTGAGCACGACTTAAAATTAAGTAACGTTTCAGTATTTCGGCATGAGCCTCCCTTTCGCCTTACCCAAATCGATCGATCGATAATTGGGCCTACGGTAACCTCGCTCAAACGACGAAACACAATAAAGTGTTGTTTCACGTCGGTCATCTGTGGGCCGTGGTATCACGCCGGTCGAGCCAGCCCATTCGTGCCGAAGCATGGCTCTCCCACACTTAACTTGTTATACAAATGCAATTTAAATTTCATTGGCTGTATTGAGGTACATCAGGTATAATCACAACAATGAAGGAGAAAGGTTAACTTATAGACGAATAAAAGACATTTTTATCTTCATTTAAGTACTAAATACATTTTATTCTAGAATACGAACGATTTTTCACACTTTTAGCTATAAGTAGTGTTTGTTCAAATAATTATCACATGTACTCTAAAGGCGTAGATCCTAGTACATGCTGAGGACGTAAATAATATTAGTTGGATATGGTTGCAGGTTATACGGGACAAGATTGCTGACTTTGATGAAGAGAATTACAAAGAAGGTAAAAGATACGATGATTTTAATTAAAATAGATTTTTTAAAGGTTGTTAATAACTGGTGAAAAGTGGGTGTTATAATATATAAATCTTTAGGAATACACACAGGCACAGTTACAATACGAGTCCTATGTAATAAGAGATGAAGTTATTGCCGTTGACCGGGAATTTTATTAAGTCACTGGATTTGGCGAGTTTATCCAATTTGAAAAATTTCGAATTACAATTTGCCCCAGTCTGCAATCTAATCTTATTATACTTACTTCTCTAATATTTTTCCAGGCCGAAAAGACATATTACAACTGCTATTGGAGAGAAAGTTAGCGTTCAGTAATATAGAGCTACGGGAACACATAGACTCGATCACTATAGCGGGAAACGACACCACAGCGCTGGTGATTTCTTATGTTTTACTATTATTGGGAGAACATCAAGATGTACAAGAAGAAGTATATAAAGAGTAAGTACTGTTTTTAAAGTAAAATATAGATATTTTAAGCTTTTTGCCATATTAACTTATTGGCATAGTTGTGCTAAGTAAAACGAGAACTTTAGTAAAATCCAAGAAGTAGTAGATAGTGCCTGTACTAGGTATAAGTACAGAAATCCTTTGTGAAACAACGCTTGTGTTGTGTTCCACTGTTTAAGTGAGGTTACCAGCCCTCGCCCTTCCCAAAGAACGCAACGCGGTGATTATTCTCTAGTGTTGCGGGAGTCCATACTCCATATTATTGTGGCACCGATTGCTTGCCATCAGGAGATTCGTATACTCAATTGGGCCTTGACCTCATGTTTGGTAGTCGTATTTACAGCCATTCGACTAACGGAACAGTAATAAAAATATCTACCAATTTGATAAAGTTTTGCAATCTCGGGATTTAAGGAGGCTTCAAGATTAACCTACATATCTACTACACTTGATGACTGGACTAACATCGCAGTCAATAAACTTTAATTGTAAACTTTAAGTAAGACTGAGTTTTTACTTAGCCTTTATTTCGGTGTTCTTAGGACTATTTTCGTATGCTATTCTTATTTAGAGACGTGTGATTTACTCAGGCGTAATATTTACAAAGTACTTTGCAAAATGGATTGCCTTGTTGGTTCAGTGGTCGCGACTGGGAATGCTGAGTATGGGGTCCGTATTTGATTACCAGGTCCGGCAAAATGTTATTGGCAATATTTCGGTTCTTCGAGAATTTCTCAGTTTTGTAAATGTGTGCATTTGCTGTCTTCGGATGTTAATAATGTGTTTATTTCCTCTTTCAGATTGAAAATGATTTTTGGTGATTCTCAAAGAAGGCCAACCAAAGAGGATATAACAAAGATGGATTATTTAGACAGAGTTATCCGGGAAACAATGCGATTATACACAGTTGTACCTATAATTGGACGAAAAACTCAGAAAGAATTAAAACTTTGTAAGTATTTGAATGTTTAAAATTTTACAATACAAAAGAGAAAGATAAATGAATGATTCATAAATAGATAGGTACTATTAAGTTGGTATTCGAATTTTAATTATACACTAGCTGTGCCCGCGACTTCGTTCGTGTGGAATAGTGACTATGAGCAGCGTTTTTTTTTTTAAATATATACTCACGACATGATTCTTTAATTTGACATAACTTTTTTATTTATGAACCGATTGACATGAAACAAACACTAAAGCATAACTGAAGCATACCACAATATATTCGTGAAAACCGCATCCAACTCGGATCAGCCGTTTCTGAGATTAGCGTGAACAGACAAACAGACAAACAGACAAAAAAAAGTTAATTAAATTTTTGGGTTCGACATCGACATAACAATAACCCCTGCTATTTTTTTTTTTATTTTCAATGTACAGGCAGCACTTTTCTACAATTTTATTATATGTATAGAAGATATAATTGTTAATTTCAGCAACGTGCACAGTTCCGGCTGGCGTTGGTTGTGTCGTGGTACCCATGGTGTTGCATCGTTCCAAGAAACTTTGGGGTCCTGACGCTGACAGTTTCAATCCAGACCGATTTCTTCCAGAAAACAGCACGGACAGACATCCATGTGCATATATACCTTTTAGTTATGGTACTAGGAACTGTATAGGTGAGATTTCTCTTAAATATTATGACCACACTATGTGTCTCAGTTTTTATTTCTTTTCCTGCCACAGGCCCACAGGAAGAAATTCCAGTTGAAATATGTGGGGCCTATGTACTCGGTTTTTATATATGTATTATACTCTGTGTTGAATGTGTGTACATAAATTAATAAATAAATAAATATGATAACTATGCAATATTAGGTATGTTTGTTATGTACCAAATTAAATTCAGTACCGTTTTTACCACACTCGCTACACGTTGCACGAGCTCGATTCCCGCCCGCATGGAGGAAATCTTTGTGTGACCCAGAAATTATTGTCATTAGGTGTCATGTGTATGTGAACTTGTATGTTTGTAATGTAAATGCACCCACGATATAGGAGAAAATCCTAGTGTGGGGCAACGTTAAAAGAAAAGAAACATTCCACAAGGGCCACGAATTATTGTATGTCTAAAGGTTGCAGCGTAGGTATTCTAAGACGGCCCAGACCAAACTGGTGAACCAATTTTAAGTAAATACCTACCTAATGAGTTTTGACATATTATTACATTTAGATGCCTGGTACCTACTGTAAAGTGAATACTCGAGTGCAATGTGTAAAACTTATAAGACTCGAAATACTTAAAAATGGCTTATCTCTGAATTTCTATTACAGGTCGATACTTCGGAATGCTCGCAATGAAAAGTATCCTCGCCAATATATTAAGAAGTTACAAAGTTACATCACAAGCGTTTGATCGGCTCAAGATTGAGATTCTACTCTTCCCAGTCAATGGTCATCAAATAACTTTAGAAAAACGACTGTAACACATTAATAGATCATTCATGACTTTATACTTATTTTACCTGTCCTAATTAAAAAAAAAACATAGGTTGCTAAGTCCTTCTGTGTTTTTATTTCTGTTCCCAGAGAATGTCCCTCCGAGTTATACAAGCAACCTATGCAAGTAATACAACCTATGAAGTTACCACATTTTTAAAAAAGTGACGCCAAACGTCCGAATTTGATCGAGACAATAATTTAATAGGTTTTTGTGGTTTGATTACTTACTCTTAAAATATGCATTATAATTATATGTTTTCGGCGTACTCAACACGGAGTAAGCCGAAAACATAATATTAATTTAGTATGTCTCACGAAAGTTATAAAACAAATATTATTATTATTATGTATGTCTTTACCATTCACGGGACCACAGGGTCCCGGTCATTTGGGAGGCGTACGAGGGGCCGAAGCCAACTGCGCAGAGGCCCTTTAGACAACTATAATATAAATGTAATGGACACACAAACCGGCGACTATCCCTGTATGCACTATGGAAATGCACCCAAGGACAGTCCCCGGTTAGTGTAGGACTATTGTGAATAATGGAAAAAAAAAGGTAGGGCTATGGATGGGTTGTTGTGGACTGGTAAATTGGGAACTATGGATGACTATGACACCTGCCGAAACAATGTAATTTTTACACGTAAAAATGGCAGGCGGAGACTCGCCAACTCACCGACCGGGCCCCGGGAATGGTTGCTAGATATAGCAACAGAGGGGCAACGAGAATGTGAGTGGCTGAAGGGTTAAGAAACTACCACCGCTTTCTACTCAGATCATCTGCTCCAGCCGAAGCCTCCTGCATCCCTGGCCCGCTCGCGACTTACGAATAGTTTCTTACCCTCCGAGCAGGTTCACTGCTCTCGCGACTCCACTCTGGACGGCCAATGAAGGCAAGCCAGAGGTGGGAGACCTGTTCCTTGTCATCTTTCACTCCAGCCAGCCAATTAAGGCAAGCCGGAGAAGAAGGAACGGTGACTTCTCCCTGGAGCACTCGGGATGATGGTAGCCCGCGGGATCGCTAATGCCCGTCACCTCGCCTCAAGGTGCCCTGCGGGCATATATATATTATTATTATTGTTATATTTTGTTAATTTAGCACATTTCATTTCAATAACCAAACAGTAGACAAGGTGGGTACCGGCTATTTATTTGTAAGGCGTATGAGGAGCTGGAAGCTTCTTACATTTTATTTTAAATAAAATAGTGCACAAACTCGTCACCACTACCTATCTCTGTAAGTATGCATGCAGGTAGCTAGTTAACCTACAGCATGGTAGGTAGTTAACCTACTTATTATGAAAATTCACATAAGGATAGTATAAAACTGTTGTACATACTAATAGAAATAAATAGCAGTAATAGGCTTTGGCTGGACAACTATGGCAACTAGCTGAAAATGCTGAAATATTGTAATTTAAACTTATACTAGGCGGAGATTCACCAAGTTAATGACCGGGCCCTCAGGAATGATTACTGAAATTGCAAAAGACACGGGCCGCCTTTGACCACGACATTGACCTTAACATTCTGAATTTCTTAGTCTACATTAGCGACATTCTGGACGGTTATTGAACTATTATTTAGTTAAGTTTAACATTTGCCACTGGATAATAGAAGAACTGAATTCTTCATAGAAGGAATATTAGGGACCATAATTTAAAATTCTTTCCTCTTCTTCTTTTTAATAAATCGTAATAAATACAAGAATATAAGAATAAAGGTAATAAAAACTAATATGACAATATGACATTCAATGACAGTTTTTTTATTCGATTATTACTTTTAGTCGATTTTCATGGTTAGTAACTTTGTAGCGTCTGTATTTGTCCCCTCACTATCATTTAGCAACATGGCTGATTTGCTTGGCCTAGCATTCCAAATAGGTTAACGTTGGTTTCTGTTTATAGTTATAAAACGTTGTTTGGTGATACTGACAAAAAATTGTGTGTGTGCAGTTGTGAATAGAGGCGTATATGATGATATAGTGTATTTTATAATCATAAGGTAAGAATAACAACATAAAATGTTCAATTGGCCATATTTAGTACCTACATTCTGTAATGGCCGAGATTGTAATGAACTTATTTCTTTAATTAGGTATCGAAGTAATTAACCATGGATTTCGGACACCCTCCACCGAATATGGGGATACCTCCTCCAAACATGGTTATGAATATGAATATGGGACCACCAGTTAATATGCCCGGTAGAAACAACATGCGCCATATTAGGCCGTGCAACTACCAGATGCGGTTTCCACCTCAAGGCCCACTGAACATGACACAAGATGATTTTGATGGTAAACGCTTACGTAAATCCGTTATGAGAAAAACTGTAGATTATAATGCTGCTATTATAAAAGCTTTAGAGTGTCGCGTTTGGCAGAGGGACTGGCGGGACCGACACGCGCTTCAACCTGACGCTATGTATACTCCCGACTTGTTACCGCCACCCTCTTATCCCGATAATCCTATAAATGCCGTCACTACTCGATTTGTTAAAACTGCTACTAATAAAATGAGATGTCCAATTTTTGCCGTGGCTTGGACACCCGAAGGGCGACGTTTAATAACTGGGGCATCATCTGGAGAGTTTACATTGTGGAATGGATTAACATTTAATTTTGAAACAATTCTTCAAGCTCATGATTCTCCTGTGAGGTCAATGGTTTGGTCCCATGGCGAAGGTTGGATGGTTACTGGAGATCACTCAGGATTTATTAAGTATTGGCAAAGCAATATGAACAATGTTAAGATGTACCAAGCTCATAAAGAAGCTGTTAGGGGTATTAGTTTTAGTCCTAGTGATTCCAAAATTGTCACTTGTTCGGATGATGGTTCACTGAGAATATTTGATTTCTATAGATGTCAAGAAGAAAGAGTAATGAGGGGACATGGTGCTGATGTGAAATGTGTCCAGTGGCATCCTACTAAAGCATTGATTGTGTCAGGAAGTAAAGATAACCAACAACCAATAAAGTTGTGGGATCCAAAATCTGGTACAGCTTTGTCTACGCTTCATGCACATAAGTCTACTGTGATGGATCTCAAATGGAATGATAATGGCAATTGGTTAATTACTGCTTCTCGTGATCATCTTCTCAAACTATTTGATATTCGTAAATTAGGTACAGAGTTACAGATATTTAGAGGTCACAAAAAAGAGGCATCCAGTGTTGTGTGGCATCCAACGCACGAGGGTTTGTTTTGTTCAGGTGGTTCCGATGGAGCTATCTTATTTTGGAATGTTGGTACTGATAAAGAAGTTGGCTGTATTGAAGGAGCCCACGAATCTATTGTCTGGACAATGGCTTGGCATCCTCTTGGTCACATTTTATGTTCAGGTTCCAATGACCATACATCTAAGTTCTGGACTCGAAACCGACCTGGAGATCTGATGAGAGACAAATATAATCTCAACACTTTACCACCAGGAGTTCAGGATGATCATGACTTAGAAGAACCCGCAGTAATACCTGGTATGGGACCTGAAGATAAGGTTGAGATATTTTCTTCAGATACTGATAAGGTTATTCCTGGTCTAGATTTGGATACTACATTTGTTCCCATGGAATTTGAGAAGAAAGTTAAGAAAGTACCATACAGTAAACCTATTCCAAGAAATTTCCAAGCTCAATGGAACCATGCTCCAACCTCTGATGAGACTGCTAATGAAGTTTTGACTCAAGCTCTAGTAGAATCTGTACCGGGGGCTATACCTCTTCAACAATTAACACCATCAGCAATTTTTATTTATGGTAAACTGATTGGTGTGGAGCCCGGGTCAAAATTAGAGAAAGCTATATCTGATGGACCATTGGCATTAAAAAAATATATTGCCTCAGGTGAATTAGAAGAGTTACATGATGTAATGCCTCATTTAGAGGATGATGCAGACGAAGAAAATTTCCAACCATTTGAATATCCTGACCCTGAAAATGAAGATGCTCAAAATGATGAGAATAATGAAAGAGATGACTATGAAAATTATGATCAAGATAATGAATATTATAATAATGAAATGGATGTAAGCGAACAAAACAATCAAGATGATGAACAAGGGTTTAACAACGGACCTGATGCAAATAATATGGGTTCTATGAACAATATGCCACCACCCATGGGTAACATGATGCGACCTCCAATGCCACCAATGGGAAATATGGGTCCAATGGGTGCTCGGCCTAATATGGGGCCCATGCATCCAATGGGTCCTCCTATGCATATGCCCCCTCCTCCTCATATAGCTAACATGATGGCAAATATGCCACCGCCTATGGGTGCCATGCCACCTATGGGCAACATGCCACCAATGAATAATATGCAACCACGTCCACCTTTTCCTGACAACGGATTTAATAAACCTCATTTCGATTCAGGTTATGATAATCAATCGCAATTCTCTCAAAATGATGATGAATATAATGAAGATGATTCATCATATGAACAGAATTACGATGATGAGAATTATAACAATGATGATGGCAATGGTGATGATGGATACAATAATAATATGCGAAATCAGAGGTGGGATGGCGGCTTTAGGGGACGCGGCCAAAACCGTGGAAGAGGTCGCGGCATGAATGGCCACGGAGTGCGGAACAACTGGAGAGGAAATGCTGGTCCTCGTGGTGCCCCTCGTGGACGAAGAGGCACTGGCGCCAACAGAAACTTCAGGAGAGGCGGGAAACCTGTCTCCAACTAGCGAACCGACCTTACCTATATTGTTCTGAAAATTATAGACTTATTAATTTCTTACGTTATAATCCAGACTTTGCGAAGTGTTTCGAAAGTGCTAGACAATACAGTGATGTTGATGCAAAAGGTTGTACATAATTTTTATTTACGCCCTGTATTTTATTTTGATAAGCTAAACCACATAATAAAATTTATATTATGTCACAAAATTATAGATTTTTGTACAGGTGTGTTGATACCCAATTTGCTGTAAATATGGTAAGTTAATTCGTTTCTTTGTAAAGTATTTCTGTTGATTACTATATTAACATGTATTTTATTGTGGTGTCAGGTAATGATTTGGTTAAGAGGACAAGAAACTGCAATCCATTACATCCATTCGGGAGACGGGAGTCGGGAGTTGGGAGCAGCAGCAGGTCGTACAATGTTTCGCCTTACGTCTGGCTGATATCCGTCGTGCGAATCGTGCGATCACCCCGACTTCACCATTCTTATAGTAAGAGCCTGGTATTTTTTGAATTTGTTTTGTCAATAATAAAGAAATAAAAATCTTGAATAAAGTTTTACCCGATTTCCGATTGTAATAAAAAATATATTAAAATAATGGGGACGCAATATGAATAAATAAAAAACACCCTGTCCGAGGGCCATCCTCTCCTTACGTCTATGTCAGTACATACAATTTCATTGTTTTTTTGCCCTGGAATTGTACCCTTTTTGTTACTTTTGTTTTTTTTTTTAAAGATGGTTTACGTAGTTTCGTTTAATTTGACATGACTGTGATTATTTCGCTGGTGGCTGATATTACTAGAAACGCGTTATTAAATTGTGATTAACTCGTTTATGGTGAATGTGATGTGATAAACACTGCACGTAGTAATCGCATTTTGTCGAAATAAGAATTATTTGTCCGATGGTTCCATTATTACTTGCCTGTAATTCTATTATGTATATCCAACTTTATTATTATTTACATTGAAAAAAGATCGATTCGTTTTGGTACAATGATTTTTTTCATAAGAAGGCAAAAGTTTTCTGATTAGTAAAATTTTACTAAGTATTCATTGAATATAATGGTGTTAGGGATGCCGGTAACAAAGAACTACTATGTTTTAACTGCTCATACGTTTAATAGTTTAAACATCCTATTTTAAATTTGTAGCTGTCTTCAGACCTCTTTTTCTTTAACAACTACTAGTCAGACATGTAAATTCCTACATAACTGCTCAAGGTAACCAAATTTTGTTATCCGTTATTGAATTTTTATTTCCAGTAATTTAAGTGCCACCAACTAACAGCAGGATTGTATTCTCTATTTTTACGTCACTAAAATTACCCTGAAAGCAAGAGTTACCACAGTTTCTAAGTATCAGACAAGGGCTATTTGCATTTTTTTTCCTATTAACGCAGGGGCATTAGTTAGGCTACTTCTGTATCAATTGATCGTCAAATATGTAGTAGCTACTACAGGCATGTACTGACACACCAGCACTCACAACACAACCTTTTCCCTTGGACAAACACCGGATTCGGGTATAATATTTCAACCAAGTAACTCTAGGAATAATGAATGCTACAACAATGTTAAATGAATAAAATTTTGAAATTTTAAAGGGTTTCATTTGATACCGTCATCGACCTACATTAATAAAGAATTGTTGAGAAACAAAATGTAGTTTTAATTATTCTTTTTTTTTTTACTTTTTGCCCTGAAATTATTGCTTGACGCCAACGTTCAACATTAGTTTCTTTTGTTCCAGATGACCCCTTGGCGATGGTTAAGTGGGCTGTTACTAATATTAGCATGTCGAGCAAACCAATTGGACAGAGGTGCCGACAAAAACGCTATAACAGATACGAGCGACAATGGTTCAGAACGCCTTGAACAAATTAACGGCACACCAAATTATAGACTGATTAAGCCCGACAAAAATACGCCGTGGTTCCCAGAGCCGCAGATAAAGCTGAAGAGCTGCGTGAGAGAAGCCCGATGTGAATCACTCAATAAGACGACTTGCTTGGGAACGAAATTGCCCTACGATAAGACAAGCGTTCGCCTCACGTTTTATGAGAATCAATATCAAATACAGACACAATTGGACCTCTATAGAGAACTGATAAATGTGCCAAATTGCTGGGCCGTTATACAGCCTTTGCTATGCGCCACTTTTATGCCCAAGTGCGAAATGGTTTTAGGCAAAGACATGGTTTTTTTGCCCTCCTATGAAATGTGCAAGATCACTATGGAACCATGTTCAATACTGTACAATACATCTTATTTTCCGTCCTTTCTAAAGTGCAATGAAACATTATTTCCTCCCAATTGCGAGAATACAATGAGAGAACTGAAGTTTAATACAAGTGGGAAATGTTTGCCACCCCTGATACACACTGATAAACCTCTGCATTTCTATGAAGGTGAGTTAATTGTGTTGTTATTGTTAATATGTGCCAGTTGAGCGATCAGTGGCTTATATTATTATGTGTGCAAAAAGAACGAGCGGCAGATTTGTATTTCATGCATTTGTTGGCTTCTTTACAAAATAATCTATGATATTCCCTCATAATGCCTCTTTTATGCAGAAGAGTTTTTCTAGGAAATAATATAATTATGATTACAGGCATATCAGGATGCGGGCTGCCCTGTCGAGACCCTCTGTATACTGAAGATGAACACCAACAGATACACAGACTAGTGGCCTGGGGCGCCGGAGTATGTCTAGCATTGAACCTACTCACCGTCGCCACCTTCCTGATAGACTGGCGGAGTGCCAACAAGTACCCAGCGCTAGTCATCTTCTATATCAACGTGTGCTTCGCTGTCGCATCTATGGGGTAAGTTGAAATATAAACACAGCTTTATAATTACAGCTTTTTTATTTGGATCAGGGTACAAACGAGATTAATTTATGGTGTCACTTTTAACACAAGGCTACAGATAGCTGTAGCCTGTAGATTTGAATCATAGGATTCAAATCATATTTTATTGTTTCATTGTTATATTATTATGTTCTAGTGTGATGAATTCATATTGTGTATATATTGCAAAGGCCACCATATCAACCATAATACATGCTATAATTATTGTTGTAGTTGTAATAGATTATGGAGAACAATAAAATATAAGTTGTTTCATAAAAACAATTGTAAATTGAGTAGGTACTGGTTGTGATTACTTCTGCTTTCGGGTGTTAGGCCTTGATAATACCTATTTAATTATACTTATGAATTATGCAATTCATTTCGATGTCACAGATTTCAATACATTTCTCTCATTGCAGATGGCTGATCCAGTTTGGCGTGGGATCCAGAGATGATATAGTCTGCTCTAAGGATGGCACTAGACGACAAGGCGAACCATCTGCTGAAGAAAATTTATCGTGCGTCGTTGTATTTGTGTTGGTAAGTTATGACAATGTATTTCTCAGAAGGTAGTAAAAATATTGTCTAGTTGCAAAACCGTACCAAACATAAATAAAACATATCATGATATGTACCTCTTTTTGATTAGCTGTAGTTCATATTTTAAGTGTAAATTAACAGTAATTTGTTTGTTATCAGGTGTATTACTTCATGATGGCAGCCTGCGTGTGGTTTGTCATTTTCACATACGCGTGGCACATGAGCTTCCGAGCATTAGGTAAGTTGCTATTGATATCATAAAAAGTATTAAAGTATTGTCGTAACTCGAAACCAGTGCTGCTCCGTTTTTGTGCGGGTCCTAATGACATTTACGAATTATTCTTACATTTTATCGGTAAAAGAATTATACAATTGGTTGCAGTCACCCAATATATTACATTAATTTTATACTAAGTAAAATGTATCTTTTACCAGGAAAAATTCAAGATCGTATAGACAAGAAAGCGGCATACTTCCATCTGGTTGCGTGGTCGCTGCCTCTGATCCTCACCATAGCGACGATGGCATTTGGCGAAGTGGACGGTAGCAGTGTCACCGGCATTTGTTTTGTGGGCTACGTGAACCATCCCATGAGAGCTGCCCTGCTACTTGCACCACTATCTGTTGTACTCGCTTTAGGCGGCTATTTTCTTCTTAGAGGTATGTTTTGGAACAAATTATTTCATAAATATTTGTATGATTTATTTGTATAAATGCACCTGTTTGCACACTCACTTGTGATCTATAATGTCACTTGCGTAGTTGGCTAGTCTCCATAATTGAGATTGGTTAAAAGACCATCATTGTGGAATGTTAATTGATAAAATGACCAGCAAGATTAGTATTTGCTTGAAATAAATTAAATGGTGGAATTTTATAGATATTGAATGCGTATTAATAAATATATCTAACTTTTTTTTTCTCATTACAGGTGTATTTTCCCTGATCGCGGTGCGTGTGTCCAGCAAGGATGTGATATCGCCGCGGGCTGCGAATAAGATCCGTCAGACAATAACTCGGTGTTCTCTCACCGCGGCGTTGGTGGCGGTCTTCATATGCGTCACCTTTCGCCTGTCATATCTACGAATTCAGGAATGCTGACCTGTGGAAGGATTCCTTTAAGAAGAATATCATGTAAGTATTGTAATGTATGAATAATTTTATAAGAAGATATACGTAGTAACTACTGCAGAAGAAATGGTTTCAAAATTTTGTGTGCACATTTGAACTGGACACCTCGGTATATGGTGGCTTACTCTTGAATCCAATACCGATCGATCGACATTGGTATTGCGAAATTTCGTACTCTTGAGTTGCAACACTAGCGCCCATTGCATCCGTATTGTGTGAAATTGAATGAAATAAATGGTATTGAGATTGGCTTTATATACTATATTCCCATATTCTAAATGCTATTAACAGTACGATTGTGGTTGTATAGTTTTGACATTTAATAATTATTGAGATTTTTTGGATTGAAATTGTATTGACATTGAGATTGGTTTCAACAGTAAGCACCCAGGATCGATCGTGAGTCAGTAAGATAGTCGCCTGAAGAAGGATTGCTGAAGTCCTCTCTAAAATCTATTCTTATTATGTTTTATTTAAATTTCTTGTAATATCTTTATCAGATGCCGCCTAGAAGCTCTGAAGGCGACAGACAAGGAGTGTTCGTCAGGCACTCGTCCATCAGTGTCGGTGTTGCAACTCCGCCTGCTTTGTTGCTTCGCGGCGGGCGCACTCATGGCATCCTGGACCTGGACCCCGGCTGCCGCGGCTGGCTGGAGACGCTATTTAGCAAGGTGTGGTACTTTTGTTAAAGTTTATGGTATGATTAGCTGGCTGGCTGATCAAACTAGATTGGGGAACCAAGGGCCTCGACTCGCAAGTCGAACGAAATATTTTTATTGGTATTTTCGATTTTTAAACATTTTTAGTGGGCATGGAGTATTAGGCTTGCCCATGAGATTACAGATTAGAGATTTTCAAAAGGTAGTTAACCCGTCCAACGGGGTGCACACGTGACATTTGGAGAAGAAAGAAAGAAAATGCATTTATTTGGCCATTGGCACACGAAAACAAGGATCATTACAATAGAAATAAAAAATATAGTCAAAATAAAAACAAAACATTAATAATCTTATATAATTAGTAATGGGAAAGTGAGTTTGTTTGTTTGTTCCGCTTTCACGCCGTAATTTCTAAACTGATTGCTTTGAATTTTTGCAGACGTAAAGTTAGAAGTCCACATTAAATAATAGGGTACTTTTTATCCCGGAAAATTTTGATATGCCCGAGGGAAAACAAAAGAATTGTATAGATGGCGCTGTGTGTATTGGTATATGACACATAGGCTACTTTTATCCTTTTGTGACGCGAGCGAAGCCGCGGGCAAAAGCTAGTAGATTTTATAAAAGAGAAAGCAACATGGAGCATTTTTTTTTATGATCCACCGGTGCTCATAAGGACGCTCGGGGGTTAATAACATCAAAATTTCCAAGAAATTGTTTATAAAGTATACGTTCTAACGCAGGAAATGCGGCTGTTCAGTGGAAGCTGAGGTGACGCGTCGTGCGCGTAAACATGAGTTGATAGCGCGCGCATACCGTCGCCGCGGGGAGTTCGCTGCGAGAGGCAGACTGTCCATATCACTCGGCGGCTCTAGGCAAGACCCAGTAGGACTTTGTATCGATCCTACCTCACCCGCTGATTATCCAGATGATGCCAAACACGAGAGGTAAGTGTCTTCGTGTAATAACACAATTTTCGACTTCTTGACCTTAGTGTATTGTTTGACTGTATTAACATTTTATGATGTTTCATTACAGTGGAGAACTTTCGTCGTCGTGGGCAGCGACCTTGCCTCGTTTCGTTCGACGTCGCGACGCACTGGTATTGCCGACACACACATCACTCGCTCAGTTCTACGCCGGACCGTCGTAATTCACAAGACTCTCAGATCAGTATTAGTCTACGTCACGTTTCTGTAGAGTCCCGTCGCAACTCCTCGACAGCCAGCTGTCTGTCAAGATAGCTGAAATGAAGACAAAGGTGGGGCGGCGCCGGCCTAAGCATAGCAAAGCTAAGCGCAAGGCTCGCGCCGCTAACACTCGCAAGGAGAGCACGCCCTCCATCGAGAGCCAAATAAGTCGCTACTGGTTGCAAGCAGTAGCTGCCAACAATGATCCGTCCCGAGAGGAGGTCAAATTCAGCTTCGACTGATACGAGCCATATCGTGATATATATCCAAATTTGCAATTCATGCATTGAAATACTGATACTTATTATTATATAAGTGAATTGTTTACTTATAATAATTTACACAAACTAGGTATAAGGATAAATGTTCAAATTAATATTGCATACCAGCAAAGACATGGACGTGGCAGGATCAGGAGTACACTGGGCAATTTAATAATTTAAAACAAGTTTCTCAAGATCTTTACATTTCTACAGAGGGTTTTGTACGAAGTGGTTAAATGGAAGGAAGTAGAAAAAACAATTTATTTATTTTTTCTCTTGACATTGGAATGCAAGCGTATTCCATTTTGTACTCCGTTACCGCCACCCATGCCTAAATGATTGCTAACTGTGTACATTGAAATAAGCAAAATTGCACTTGTTGCTGTTTAATGTTTATTATTTTAAGGATAGATTTTGAATTGGACAAATTAATTCGCGATTTATCATTGAAGATAAGGAAACAAAGACTGATCAGAATCTCTAAGGAGTAATGTTTTATATTACTCCTGTTTAACAATATCCATGACAATGCATTTTTGTGATATCCATGACCTCGACAGTACATGTGCCATAAAACTAGCTGTTCATTATATTTCATTGGAATTGACTGAAATATTTTTTAGCTTTTAAGAATCAAGTTTCTTATCATACACCTGTTATATAAAATATTTGAATGCAAAAAGCAATGTTGAAAAGTTGAATGTTTACATTTTTTACTAATATAATTGGGCAATAAGAATATGTTGCTTGTCCATATAACTTATGTACAAGATATGGTTGTGATACCAGTTTTTATTGTGAGGCTATATTTTGATGAATGGGCAATTACATCGCCACTTATTTTTACTAAGTATTTTGTATTAAAGTTGATCTGCAAAATTATGCACTTGGCAGCTAAATTAGACTCACTTTTGTGTTTTAGACATGGATTTATGTTTATTGAAGAAATCTTATATTGATTACCAATTATGGTTTTAATACATAGGTGAGACATTTGTTCGGAGGTAGCGGCGCTCTTGTTGAAGGAGTTATTGGGACCGTTACCTTATATACTGTGTTGTTAGTAATTGTATCCTCTTTTCTGATGTCCTCACTGTGATCACTTGTTTACTGTCAAGCTGGATCATTAAAAGCCATACATTGGATATTTTTGTCTCTCTGCTGGCAACTCTTGACATATCCTACTTTGGAAGTGTACTTCCAGAAATAGTCATTATTCGTTAACATCCTTTTAGAGGATACATTTGGTAGCCTTCTTACTTAGTTTTTTATGTATTTATTCTCTGTCAACAAAGGTTTCACCTGCTTTTTCAGAGTATTAAGTCTGTGCTAGCTTTAAATTTTGATATTAATTTTGAATAAGTTATACTTTTACCAATAATTTAGTAAACTTTAATTGTACAATAAAAAATAATTATTTGATAAAAGTGACTTTAATATTTCTAATGACCTGAAGCAGCCTGGAGATGTAGAGTTAATAAAACAATTGTTTGTTTATCCATTTACCATTTAATTGAGAACGAAAGCAAGCAACTTAATGTTCCAGAAATACTCTTATTACCTTGTAATGAATGTCATGTATTTTATTTACTAGTGATAAAATCTATAGTAAATTAAAATATTAATCAAATCTATAATACCTATTGTACAAGATTTGTATAACTATTGGACGTTAACAATGCTATAAAAATAGCTTATTATCACTGCTTCCGCATTCCCTAATTTAAAGAAGCAAGATAAGATGCAACAACAATTAATTTGCATATATTTGCTCTATTTAATGTAAAAGAATATAAGTATGTAGTGTATAAAATAATTATTATGCAAAACCATTCCATTCGATATTTTAAATCAAGATCTAAAATATAAGTTGCTTGTTAGATCTCTCCAATTTGACATTAACAGAAAAACATGCCGAGTACATGTTTTTGAAAATTTCAAAGTGGAAAGAGTTATTTTTGGTATGATTTACATAAATGATCGAATGGAACATAGAAGTTTACCTAATAAGATCTCCCCATATAAAAGGTGAACAGATTTATTATGCGTTGTCATCACTATAAGGTACATATAATCACAGATGCAATTTATGATTGGCAAGAATAAATCGATTAAGTACAATACAATAATTTAAAATATAGGTCAATTTCAGTATTCGAGTAAAATCAAATAACAATTGAAGATAAATCTTTTGGGAATTGTAAGATACATGTATTTACAACAATGATTTACATCTATTGGGATCTTGTCTTATTTGTATGCCAGTATTTAGTTATTTATTGTAGTAGACAGTCATGGCTACTTACTAACTGGCCATATACATGTTGCATTTATTGTCATCAATAAAATTTATCTTCAAATGTGACTTGCCATGAATTATTTCCATGTGAGAAGGTGAGCAATACATTGCAGATGTTCGGACTTGTCGTCATACTGTTCTCACAGCAGTCGTTAGGAAATGAAGATGTTAAAAACTTGGACCTCAGGATTGATAAAACATTTTATCATAGCCATAATAATAAGTAAAAATGCTGACCAGCATGCATAGTAAAAATCACAAAAGATAGGAAAACAATACCAAAAGGAACATAATAATTTTAAATACTTAACACTTAACTTAAAGCAGCACGGAATGTAGTTGCCACTATTATGCTTAATCCTAAAGTCAAAAATTGCACGATTTTTAAAAGGAAACTCGATCTTTGGTGCTTACAAACTAAATATAAAAAATCACAATCTAGAAATAAATTCGGTTTAAAACCTAGCAAATAAAAATGTAAGTACAACCAAGACATAACAAAATAAAAAACAAAACATAAAAGAAACCTTACAACTAAGTGCCAACTTATACCGTTTTGACGCGACTTACGAGTAATGTGCACACTAGCTATACTGTAACCTATATGAGCTACCTCGTTCCTGACGACAAATAATAAAATACGACCTATCTAAATAGTAACAAAATTATCTAGTAATAATGTCATATCACACGATCACAGCAGTCTTTCCTACGATGTCCTCGCCTTGCGTATATTCTTCTTTTCTGCGTCAGTGAAGCCAAGAATGTTCTCGATGGCATTAAGGTGTCCCTGATGATTCTCGGGATCAGTTAGGAAGTAGTAGATGGCCGATTTTAGGAACTGCAATGTCACTTCTGGATCTACATTGGTCTTGCTACCCTTCTGCGACTCGACAATGCGACGGTACATTGCCTGGAAAAAATAAGTATTTGTAAGATTTTTACATATTGATGTGGCCGCAGGCATGCACTGCAACTAAGGACCGACAAATCTTTTTTTAATTTTTACCTACTCTAATAGGGTTTGTTACTCAATATTTACTGTGTCGATAATTAAATAAAATGTTAGTCACAGTTCAATGTGTCAATAGTATTTCGTAGTAGGCTCTTTCGATAGCGTGTAATCGTAGATCGTGCGGGCTGTAATAAGCAGCGTGAAATATGGAAACATGAAGTAACTTTTAACCTTATTGCATCAGTCAAAAAAGATTTGTGTATAATGTAGATATATATATCAGTATCCACAGGATAATCCATTCTATTAGGAGCAAAAATAACAACTGGTATAAATTAAATACTAAAATACACAATTAGGTACTACAACTACAAAAGACAGCTGTATCAATTGGATGGTTATCAGTACATAGGCACTTACCTTATTTTTATATATCTTATATGGTTTTTTACAAAGCATTGTACCAATTAATTCAGCTGCTTTTTTACACTATAAAACTTATAAAATAATGAAAATACCTAAGTTCCCAAACCAAAAGAGGCTGTTTCAACCAAATAGGTAGGTCACATGCGAAGCCAAGGTTAGGCCAGAAATAAAATAATTAGAAAAGGGTTAGTATTTACATCAGTAAGCCTTGCTAAGAAAAGTGAATTAGTTGCAAGCATTCTATAAAAACCACTACAATCAAAAACTACTTACAAAAGAAAAGAAACCTAAACCAATAAAATATAAGTACCAAATTATACAAATTCCAAATAAGAAACCTACAACAAAAAATGACTTAGGCCAAACACCTGAATCTTATACACTCAAAATTCCAGATGTAACCATAATTGTAACAAAATATTAGAATTAAAGACACAGTTTATTCTTATGAACCTGTGTGGTAAGCAGGGTGTAATATACAAAGTAAAAAAATAAAAGGTGTTCAGCAGAGCACTGCTATGTCCGGAATAAAAATCCAACCTTTCGAGCTCCTAGGACCCATAAAGAAACAGCCTCCTTTGCACTTAGCAGTACTTGTGACTTTGCTGATCGGTCCTCTGTGAATGCCGTGTCCTGTAATGCACTACACGTTAAAGCTGGCTCATGTTAATGGGCACTACATGCACACACTAACACTAAAACCGTGAACAATGCTGTGGTTAATTTCTGATCAAAACTGTTAATTGACTTCTGAATGGTGACTCAGTCTTCTATATCTAAAGGTCTTATTATATATTTGAAAATGTTAGAGTTTGAGAATGATTCAAGAAGAGGATAGTGAGTGTCAAAGTCCACTGTGAAAAAAATACATTTCACTATGAATTGAAAAGATGAGTGTTTCTGGATTATTTTTTATTGTTATTCTACATATTTTAGTGTTGTAGATATCAATCAAACTGGGAACCATGTACTTACTCGAACTTTCTCGAGCTCGGTCTGAGTTATCTGCAACTGCTCCAGTAGTTCCTCTACAGATACACGGTTGATTTGCCCCTGTGAAGTACCAGGCTCATTATCCTGTAATGTTAAATACAATTTTTTTTAATTCAATATGTAGATTTCACCTAAAGTACTTGTAGGGTATTAATTGGCCTAGCCTTAAGTGGTTTTAGTAATTTACAAAAAATAAATGAAATGTTTACAAAAGTAGATTGATAAAAAGGTACACTGAAAATTTGAATAACTAGGTTTTACAAAAAACAAATCTATATTTTTATTAATATAAATCTTTTTCTAAGACATTTCATATTATGGGAAAATAAACTGATTACCTTATCTAGCTCAAACTTGGCAGCCTCAACCCCTTTGTTGTACATTTGTAGGTAGATGGACGATGCCTGGCCTCCTCCTCCTGCAACTGCTTGCTAACTTCTTCCAGCTGCTTCTCCAGTGAGTGAATCCTCTCCTTGGCTTGCTCATAGTTGGGCAGTAACTCACAGTACCGGGTGTTGACATCGGCCAACTTTTGTAACAATGCTTCCACTTTATCATTATGCTGCTTTTTCATTTCTTGTGTCTCTCCAACATGCGCTCTTACAACATCTTCTACCTTCTTCTCATAATACGATATCAAACTGCGACGTTCCTCATCTCCATCTCCTACGTCAGTCATACAGGACGCCTCATGTGTCAACATGTGTACGGACTCTTTAGAATGCAAAGATGAATTTGTGAGGTCGTCAAAGTGTCCAGAGTCAGTGAATGAACCTTGCATTTCATTGCGACATCGGGTTGGTGTTTCATTTTTGAACAATGGGCTGTCAGTAATGTCATATGATCTACAAGCATCTCCATGTTTTGGACTGTCATGTTCAATGGAAGCTTCATCAGCATTTTCTCTTATTGTAACTATTTCACTAGAGTTAGATTTTTCATCGGGTGAACATATTGATGCTTTGTAAAGCCGCAGTTCCACAACTTCTTTTGTGAGTTGGAATATTTCACTATCTTTTTTCTCCAAATCTTTTTTGGCTTGGTTCAAGAGGTTTTTCAGTCTCCGTATTTGTTTTTGTGCCCTCTGAGTTGGTGTTAGGTATTCTTCTCCAGCAAGTCCTGCATGTGATGAGCAATGTAGTACATAACGCATTGATCTCCCACTAAATGTTGTGCCGTTGAATGGTGCATAGCCTGCATCAACTGAAGCAGCTGTAGCAGCACTTCCATAACTGTGGAGTGATTCATCATCAGGGAGATCTTCTGGAGAGCCAGGTGGAGTGTGAGCAGAATCAGTCATACTCAACTTCCTATCTAAACCATTGTCTTGTGGTTTCAAGCAGGATTTTTTTGGCTTTTGTAGAGGGTTTGAATTAAATGACTGAAATATGAAAATATTCTTGTCAGTACAAGGTCAAATAAAAATAGAAAAGCTAGGTTGAAACTATTTGTGGAACAATTCTTTGTTATCATAATATACATGTTGATACCGTTAAAATTAACAAAACCGGTCTATCTATTTAACCTCAATTTTAAAATACAATGACAACGAAAACAAATGCTGTTTAGATAAAATTAAATGGTTTTGTTTCATTTTTTACGTTATTACAACATATGTGTGAGTGTGGATTGACCACTGTCGCTATGGTGATGCTTCGTAATTTATGGGGAAAAATCAACATTGAAGGCTACTTACATGGCTCCGCTGGCGATGGCCAGGCTCTTGGAGTCGTGGCACATCGCTGCGTTGTTTTTGGTGTGTATTTTCCGTGATTATTGGTATTAATTTTCTGGTTGCCAAAGGCGAGCGCTGCACCATTTTCTCCCCGCGCAGCCGCAATGAAGAGCTGCGCCGGAAGTTCCCGGTGACATTACCCGCGCAGCAATGTTCATCGTGGAAGTCAGCGACCCTTCTACTATAATTCCGGTTCATTTTCTTCAATTATTCACATCAGCGTAGCGTACTAAAAGAAAAACAGCTGTTTGAAACTCAAGTACTCAACTCACGCACGCAAACACTTGTTATGACGGTGTAACAAAACGTAGATACGAACTTAAAATGTCATTTCACTATTTTTTCAGCATTCAGCGTTATCAAATAAAGCAATGCTAATGCTATGCCAAACGTAGGTAGGTATTATGTACAAAAAATATATTCTACCTATTTACAAAGATTAGGTATATAAGTACGTTATAAATACATATTTACCGCACTATAATAATATATTAAGTAGGTACTTTGTGAGCCGTAACTTAGCAGGGAGTTAAGCAAGTTCTTAGGTAAATGGGTACTTATGTACTCTGTTTTTGAATATGAAATTGTACAGACTACAGTACCTATATACGTAACAACCTAACAGGTACCTAAAGCTTACCTTTAGTTTATTAGGTTTTTAAATGAAGTAGTATTAATGAGCACAGACTATTAACTTGATTATTATTTTTAATAACTACCCACGTACACAATTTTAATATTATAATATTTGCAGTTTTATTTGCACACAACAATAGCACTTTAAAACACACGTGTGAGGTGTTATCGTCTTAGCGTCTCAGATGTGTATGTGTTTAAATTACTAACAATGAGACGGAATTATGCCATATAACAGCTAAATTAATATTTGCACAAATACAGTGACAGACAGTATGGCTACAACTTAACTTTGTTGTAAAGTCAATACTTATACTAAATTGGGTTATACAAAAATAAATTATTTCGACTGTTCAATAAAATAAAATATTAAAAAATAATCACACTTTTATTAATTGACTTTATGACTGAATTAATTTTAGTATTTTTCCAGCGAATTTTTACCAAATATGAATGCTGTTTGACGCTAAAAAACGTGACGTTACAATACACAATCTCATACAAAATTCATAGAAAACTGTCGTTTTTGACAGATCGAAGCAAGTACCCAATTGAAATATTCCCAGCGCTATTCATGTTTACCTACTGACATAAAAAGCACAAAGCGCTCGAGTAATTTCCCAGGCCTCTAAAAGTGGCCTAGTTCCCGCATTCAACGTGGAAAACTGTCCTTCGCAAATATTAACTGAATGCACGTAGCGCATAGATATAATATGTAGCGCAACGCGTTTAGTTGACTACCTGCTTAGTGCTTCCTACATTTTTAATACCGTTACGTAGGTACGTATCTAGATGAAAATAGGTAGGTAGATATGTTATAACATTACCTAGGTACATTTAATTAAAAAAATATTAGGTACTTTTAGTAAATCATATCTAATTAATAACTGAGTTCGCTAAATGTGTGTGAGTGTACCTACCCTTTTGGGGTTTGGCAAGCGCGATGTAGGTAACCTATGTAACGGCATGTACATACGTAGGTACGTCACAGAATACAATAAAGTTTTATAAACTATTATTTAATATGTAGTTAATTTTAATTTAACCACTTATAATAAACCTATCTATCCACTAATCTTTGTTAATTATTCTTAAAGGTTAGGTAAGGCACTTTTTGTTTAAAAGAGTTTCTTGACAAGCGTTCGACTGCTTTGACTTTAGCTGGCTGAATATGACGGTACAAAGGATCATCGTGCTTAAATGAACAAAAATAAAGTCTTCAATTTTATTAAATTAACATATAATTACCTTGAGAATGTAATCTTTGAAGCGTAAGAAAAAAGAAACTTACCTACATATAATAAGGATTTTTATATTCATGCAGGCAAGATACTTACGAATATCTATGTGTGACGTTCGAGTAGATGTAATATTTCATGCTTCAAATTCAAGTGTTTATCTACAAATTCGTTTGGTTTTATCAGATTTAATAATAATACGACCCGCCCCGGCTTAGCACGGGTTCAATATTCATGTATTATACTTACATTATACCTTCCATAAGAATCACGCTATTAAAAAAACCTAAGTAAGTAAGTAGTTTTAAAGATCTAAGCATACATAGGGTCGTCGCGGAGAACCTAACGGGTAACCGGGGCTCCGGCTCGACGTGCAGGAGAAGGAACGGGGTGGTTTTTAGTCAGTAAGAGTGTGACACTCCCTTCCGCCTCACCCAGGCGGGAGCAGTCATTCGACGATTTTCCCCCCTTAAAAAAAAAAGCATACATAGGGACAGACAGACGGTAGATAGCGACTTTGTTTTATACTATGTAGTGAGTGATTGTTAATTTTACATAGGTATCAATGTACAAAAATAATTCTCACATGTATTTTAACAAACAAGGTAGAATGTCGATTTACCACTACGAGTGCCAAAAACATTGTTTGTGCTAGGTTTAAATTAAAACTTATTACCGTTCCTAGCACTGCATGTTACTTGATGTTACTAGGTACCTAGGTAACCTAGGCAACAAATAACTAACTTGGCTGTGTACCAAAACCGCCAAAAGCTGTGTGAATATTTTAATCTACTACTATAAATATGTATAAAAATAAGTCGGGTTTTCCTTCTTGACGCTAGAACTCCAGAACGCACGAACCGATTTCCACGATATTCCATTCGTTGGAAAGGTCTCAGGCTCCGTGAGGTTTATAGCTAGAAGAAAATTCGGGAAAAAAAATTTTTTCTTCATCTTTTAATCACGAAACGAAATGTTACGTAAAACGAAGCCATCTGGTGGCGAAACGGTTTGCTAGTTTTGTATAAAGAGTTGCAAGGTTGCAACCAAACATGCACCTTGCACCAAATTTTATGATTTTAACAATAAAGATATACCTAATGCACACAAAATCAAGTCACGTGGTACCTATAGGTAGATACCTGAGAGTTTATAATCGAAGAGTTACTTAATTCAAAAGAGTACTTAAATTAGGCCTTTGTCTTTATTATGCTATTTGTGCTCCTAGGCAGATAAGTTAAAATTTAGTTTCTTAACCAGTGTTTGATTAGTAACATTATAGGTAGGTACCTACAATACTTCAATTATTCGGCATTATAATCGCAATGCAGTAGTTATGTAATCAATCAATCAATTTAGTTTGCCCGCAGTATTACGGCATTTTGTTTTTAATAACTATAATGTACTTCGGAACTAGAGATTGAGATATTAAAGGGCGTAGATGTGGCGTAGCGTAGTGCTACGCTATGACTACGCATGTATTTAAGTAAGTTTGTGTGATGTATCAATTATAAATAGCTATTTATTTACATATGTATAGTGTGTATGTGTAAGTAGATACAATATCTATATGATATTAAACATACATTTTAATATGTTGCAGTTTATTGGCAAGACTATACTTGCGTAGAAGTCAATCAATCAAATGAATGAATTCATCTACAATGCCTATCTGCATTACTGTGTAGTAACTAATAAGCATCCAATTTACAATTAATAAATACACGTAGATACATACATATTATAGGTACCTACTTAGTTGCCAATTAATTAATCATTGTGTCGACACGAACTATAATTACTCACGAGAAAAAGTGAACACCAAAAAACCGTCGTGTGCATGAAAGTTTTTGTTAATAAATCTATAATTATTGATGGTTAATAAAGTCGATAGATCGATGATCTGTGATTATGATTAGTTAATAATTAAAAAGAAGACAATGTATGCACTTAGCACGCACAGCAAACTATACACTCATAAATTAATTTGCCCCCGAGGCAATTCAACCAAATCATCTTAAAAATGTTCAAACGTTATAATTAATATCTTCATTGTAATTTCATCTTGGGTACGTATATTATAGGTAAAACTGCGACCAGCTACCACGAGGTAAGCAACAGCATCCTCAAAATTTTCGGTGACCTTAGTGGGATCTAGTAGTCGTTGTCAAGTGTGGAAAAGATGGGAAACCTTGGCGTAAAATAGTGTCTCCTTTTTGTTGAGAAGAATGATTCAAATTCAGAACAAAACGCAACCAAACGTTCAACTACCATCGCCAAATTTGGAAGCAAAATTAAGAAAAACAAAGCAGAGGTAAGCATTAAACAACACCTCTACTTAAGTAAAACCATAAAATGGCTCGTTGAAGTAATTACCCGATCTTTTGTTAAGAAATTAATTACATTTTTGACACGTTAGCGTAATAATGAGTAATGAAATAACTTCGTAACCCAGTTAGCAGCGTATTTGCGAGCTACAGCGAAAATATTGCAAGTTGAAGCATCGTCAAACTAAATTAATGTACCTACTTATAAGCAGCTGAATAGGTAAGTGTGCTAGTGTATTTTTTGGAAGGAATCTATTTATATAAGTACAGTTTGAAACATAATATATTGATCTTTTTGTTTTTGAAGGCATTTCTGTTGTTACACATTGTGTTCATTTTAAAGATTTTACTTATAATGCCCTACGAAAACTTCTTCGAGCTTCTAGCCCTATTTTTGACCCCAAGGTGGGAAATCCTCATGAACCGCCTCGCCTGGGGAGGATGAAAGGGACTGTCCGACTTCTAGAAGTCTGACAAGGCTAGCCCTGTCTCAAATATATAATATATTAAAGACAATTTTGCCAATCTAGGAAAACAAATCGATCTAGTTCAAATATTAAAAGTAACCGTGGAATATTTTAGTTTTTGGTTATTTGTATTGTAAGTTGTATATATTGATTAATATTTAAGTTATTGTAAGTTTATTATATAAAATATAATGGTCTTCAACTAAGTAGTATCATTGTGTAAACAAGTAACATTTGTTAAAGTGCCTACTGAAATTAATAAAATCATATATAGTACCCGTGGAAAACGTAATGGGTAACATATTTGTCGTAGTCTAGTACCTATGTAAGCCTAACTGTAAATATTATTGTAATGTTTGTTTTTCCTTAAAGAATAAATAAATAAATAAAACAATCATAAAAACTTATTTTAATTTTGCACATCGATGCATACATAGGTACGGTAAAAAAGAAATGTCATTGACTGTACCTCATTGCACTATAACATCGACCAAAAAGTAGGGCGATAGCAGAATGACGTGCGATAGCCT